TTTGGATACGGGGTGATGAAAAACCATGTTTTGATGAAGAGGATAATGAAGTGGATGGCGTTCGAATAACAAGTTGAAGAGGGATGGAAAGGGATTTCCTTGGATCATTTAATCTCCAAAAGGATTTGGTCACTAAAATTGTTTCTGACAAGGTCGTCACCCTTCTAATGGGGTTCCAACATGCTTCAATGAGCGTATCATCCTTTTCGTGGAAGGTTCTAAATATCTCAATTTTCTTTTCCACTGTCTTAACAATTGTTCATTGTAGCATAAATTCAAATTCTCTCAAACAAATATTTTAATCTAATTTTCCAAATCTTGTAACCTCCTCTTCAACTGTTTGATTTGCTCAAGGGATTGAACATAGTTATATTTCAAATCTTCAATTTCTTCAAAGAACTCTGGATCAAAAGCGCTCAATTCTCCTACCATACGAAATGTAATGTTGATATTGTTGTGTGTCTCAAAAGAAAACGGCACTTACCTTTAAGCTCTTCATTTTCCTTTCTCAACTCCTTTACCTCTTGTAATAATCTGTTCTTTTCCCTAGTTGCTTCTTCCTTTTCTCTTAGAGCCTTTGTCAAATTTAGAGACATGTCTTGTTGCTTCTTCTCAAAGTATTGTTGTGATTTCAGTTTGGCTGAATTTTTTAGCTCTTCCAATTCTTGTTTGACTTCTTCAAGCTCTTTCTTCAAAGAGTCTCTTTCTTCGATGACTTGCTCAAGTTCTTTAGTGAGTCGTTTTAATTGATCATTTCTTGTTTGATTGGTCGACTTGGTGGTAGAGTCGACAATCATTTTCGTTTGTTTGAGATCATCATTTTCCTTTCTTAGCTCGTTCAATTGTTGTTGTAGGATGCTATTTTCTTGTTGTAACTTGTCAATCTTGGAATTTAGTGTTGACTCTTTCTTGGCTGACTCTTTTTGAGCTTGCATTGTCAAAGAGTCCTTTTTAGAGAAGGTAAAGTTTTTGAGCTCGGAGTTTTCAACTTTGAGAGATTCAATTTCACTCATCAGTTTTTCTTTTTCTTTCTTAATTTCATTGATTTCCTCATTATTGGCTTGTATTTGCTTTTGGTATTCAACTCTGGTTTTTTCAACAGCGTGCTTCTTTTCGATATCTTTTTGATTTTCAATCTCCGCCAGCTCTTTCTTCAAGTTGGTAACTTCTTGTTTAATTTTGTCTCGTTCTTCGAGTAAATCGTTATATTTCTTTAAAGCTTTTGCAATTTGTTGAGAGTGACCCTTTTTTTCTTCCATGTGCATTTGTTTTGCTTTCTGTAGCTCTTCATTTTCCTTTTGTACTTTCTCAATATCACTCTTGAGTTTCTTCTTTGTCCTCACATGCTCTTGAATTTCTTTCTGGAGGTCAATAATCTTGTTAGCCTTTTCTTGTCTTATCCTTTTAACTTCATTAAGTTCATTTGTGAGTTCTTCAATCTTTTTTAACGATTCTTGTTTATCCTTGAAAATCACTTCGTCCTTTTTAGAAAGTTCCTCAATTTTGTTCTTCAGTCTTTGGTTTTCGTTGATAAGCATTTTGTGGGTATCCAGATTAACACTATTTCTCAATTGGTCTTCGATTTTTTCTTTGAGCTTTTCTTCTTTTTTGCGCAGTTGCTCAATTTCATACTTGTCAACATTGGTTTTGTGAAGTTCAATAGCTGCAATCTTTTCTTCAGCTTTCAAAAGATTTGATGTTAATTTTTGAACGGTATTCTCTAATTGTTCCTTTTGTTTGGCCAATTTGTCGTATTTTTGTTGCTGAGCCGCAAGTTGTTTTTTCAAAGCATGCTCCGACAGTTGTCGTTTCAGTTTCTCACATTCTTCTTTTGATCTTGATAGTTCTATTTGGATTTCTTGAATGGTCTGCTTGTACTCTTCAACCTCCATATCAAACTTCGTTTTCATTGTATCAAACTAGAGTGAAATAGAATTGTGATAGTGTCAATTACATTTATAAAAATATAATTTAGGTACCTACAGATTTCATTGCTTCATGCAATATCTCATCCTTCTCTCGCAATTGTGCCTCTAACTTGGAGATCTTGTCGTTGAGATTTTTCATTTCACCTGTTTTGGCAGCGATCATTTCTTCCACCTCCTCGATACGAACCCTAAACTGATGAATTAGCAAAATAATCTTGAAATCGAAGTATTACATACCCAGCTTCATGTGGTGTCTCAGGCTCCCCCTGATTTTCAATCTTGTCAATATTCATTTTAAGATTTGTTAATACGTTATTATTGTCATCATTGATCCGTTTTTGCAATCTCAGTATCTCTTGTTGAGCTTCATACTTGTCTCTCATGTGCTCTTCTCGGATTTCATAAATTTTATGTTCGTACTCCCGAATGGTGGCCTCTTTTTGTTCGAGTATTTCATTCAAATTTTCAATGGTATGTTTCATGTTTTCTGAAAATCTGTTAATTGATTCTAAATCCACTTCATGCTCATGTATTAATTGCTGTTGATCTAATCTTAAATTTTCAATGATGGCTTCTTTTTCTAGAAGCAACCTCGAGTTATCAGCAATAGTATCAAGTTTGTCGGAAGCTTCTTTTAGTTTCGTCTCAGTATATTTACATCTCTTCTCTAATTTCAGATTCGTTCGTTTTAATTCTTCGGCACATTCTATTTTTTCTTCCAAATCTCTCTCTAGAAGCTTAATTGTGCTCTTAAAACCTTCAATCATGTGAAAAGCTTTGTTAATTTGGCTTTCTCTTTCAGTGAGCATATTTTGTAACTCTGTAATTTCCTTATCTCTGACTTTCTTGTCTTTGTCAATAGAGTTTTTCTCATTGATCTCACTTTTCAGAATTGTCTGCAGTCTAGAGATTTCCTCATTTGCTTTTTGTATTTCCTCGTTCATGACAACCATGCGTCTTTCTGACTCTGCCTTGATCACATCGACGGTATTCTTGAGGATTAAATTTTCGTTTTGGTAGTACGTCTGGACTCTTGTTGCTTCATCCAACAAGGCTTGGTTGCTGAGCTGTATTGTCTCAATATTTGTCTTGAGCTTGTCTATTATTGTTTTGTATTGTTCATCTCTCTCTTTCATTTGATTTCTTAACTCAAGAGCTTCTTGATTGATTTTTGGAGGTTTAGGAATTTTGATGGTCTGACATGCGTTGTCTTGAGATTGTGGTTTGAATGCAAGTTGGGCTTCCAAGACCTTAATTTTTTGGTGGAGATTGTCTATTACTTCTTGAGAGTTGTTGGCAATTATCATTGTTTGAGTCTGGCTATGCTTCAAGATAGTTCCATCAGTTTGAGATTCACATTCTTCCTTTGTAACTTTTGAGGTAGATTTGCTCGAGGTCGGTCTTGATGGAGTTTCAATGTTACATTGAATCATTCGGTCTGTCTTGTCAACTTGTACTGTAACTGGTACTTGTCTGTCTACGTATTTTACAACCTCTTTTATCACTTCTTTCACTGGAGGTGATTGAACAACAATTTCATCTGTTTGTGTCGTACGACCTGTTGTTGTGACTTGTTGTGGATTCGTTTGTGTAGAGGTTTCCGCTAATTGTCTAGTTAAGAATTTTTTTAAATCTTCCTTCATAGGAATTCCTAGCTTGTTTCTAAGATACTTATTTTCGTCTTCAAATTCTTGGAGGCCAGTATAATATAGACTTAATTTTACCTTGTATTCCTCAATATCCTTATCGCGAAGCATCATTTGTTCGCGCAGATATCTAATCTCTTTGAGAGCTTCATCAAGTCCATTCACCCCTTTCTCGTATTCATGAAGCTTAGCTTTCACCATCGCAAGCTCATTCTCTCTATCCGAAATGGATTTGGTTATTTGTTCAATGGTTTTTGATTTTGATGCATTCTCTGCCAATGTGTTCTCCAAAGATTGGGAAAGCTTTTCAATTTGATTTTGTAAATTGGTGAGTTTTTCTTGTTCAATGGTTATCTTTGTGATCTGTTGATTGGTTTCCGATGATTCATGTCCCCCAATTATGTTATTCTGTGTCAAGTTGAGATTTTCTTGTCGCAGTTGCTCAATCTCATTCTCCAGATCGAAAATTATTTGCTCTTTTTGATAAATCTTTTCTTCCATGTCGTGGATCCTAGATGTTGTTTCTGAGATTACAGTTTGAAGTTTTTCAGAATTTTCTCGTTCTTGGTTAAGCTCGACTTCGAGCTGAGAGACAACTTGTTGAAGGTCAGCCAGTTCAGAATATTTGTTTTCATTCTGTTCTTCGAGCTGTTTTAACGATTTTTGAGCTGTACTTGCGATAATTTGTTTTTCCTTTTCCAATTCCGTTATTGTTCCAGTGAGAATGGATATTTCTTCTTCCAATTTTTTCGTTGTTTTACTCATTTCTCTTGTGAGTATCTTACTTTCTTGTAGATCTCTCTCATACCTGGCAAAAAACACGATGAAAACACTTGTGAACGGAAATATAGGTAATACTTACTCTGCAATTTTTGTTGTTAATTCTTCCACTTCTTTGGTCTTTCTTTCGTTAAGTTTCACTGCATTCCTCAGCTTTTCATCGAGAGATTTAATCTCATAAAGAAGGTTTTGTCTTTCTTCTTGAGCTCTCTCAATTCCTTTTTTACTTTTTAAATTTTGATCCATATCGCTTTTTAACCTCAGATCAAGGTCCTTATTTTGCGTGGTCAGTTCTTGAATTTCGTTTTGGAGACGTTTTATCATGTCTTTGGATTCTTTTAAGTTTTTTTCTAGATTTGTGGTTGTTATTGAATTTTGCTCATGCAATGATTTGGTTGTTTGGTGATTTCGAATTTCATTTTCTAAATCTTTCTGTACTTTTTTTAAATTCTTTTCCAAATCATCAATTTCTTCTTCTGCTGATTTTTCTTTGTCCATCATGATTCTTGATAAGAAAGAAACCATTCAATAATTGCATTCAAAATTCATTAAAAAATGATAACATCACAACGTACTCTAGTGATAATTGTGTGACATAGAATAATTTAATTAAGTCTTCCAGTGCGGTTCCGTCATGGATTGGGACTTGAAACTGGATGAGTTTCGGAAAGAACTCTTCAAAACTTGCTGCTCGATCTTCTTCAATGTGTCCATTGTCCTATCATACGATCGGAATTTCATCGATAATATTTCGGTAAAACGATAATTTCAAAAGGAGCATTTTGTGGCCATTTTTGTTTGAGGAATGAAATTCAGCAAGACAACAACTATATACATCTAAACTTACCATTGCTCGTTCACATTGAGCATACAACCGATCAACCAACTCCCAATACGTTTCCGTATTGATGTCAATGAGTTTAGGCTGGATGATAATGTCTATTTCATCGCCGACATGGCCCCGTTGATGAGACATTTTTTACTAAAATCTTTGCGCCAAATTCAAGTACAATTTTATTTTTCACGGATCAGTTGGGGAGGACTCCTCGGTGTCGGTGGTCGAGGACTCATAAACGAGTTCAGGTTTCAACTCTGTCTGTGAGAAGGATGAGGAATTGCTGCTTGATGATTTTTCTGATTTGGTGGGTGTTGAAAATTCTAATCTCTTCCTTGATGGTGATGTGGTTGAAGTTGGGTTGGCTCTCGCCAAATTGAAGAAATGTCTTGGTGATGGTGTTACATAGGGAGTGAAGGACTTTTCTGTCATGATGATTGGTGTTGCTGAGGATGATGAGTTGTTCAGCAGTGCTTTGTCGTCCTTAAGGTTATTACCTCCGCCACTGCTGCTGGACATTAGTGACTGTTGTTCCTGTTGTTGTACAAGAATTTCATTTAACAATTCCTCTCGACTTTTAACTTTGAATGAAAGGCTATGCAACACATAATTTAAATACTTGGAAAGGAGAGGATCCTTGTTCTTGTTGGCAACTTCCCTTAAAAAAGTGTCAGCTCCAAGATCTGTAAACTCTTTTTTACAAGAGGCTATTCAAAATTTACAAAGAACAGACGAGGATAATTGAATGAAGGGTATAGGTCATGTGTCTGACTTCTTAATACTTACGATTTTGGCAAAGCCAATAGACGAGGCCAACCACAGGTATTTTTACGTTCAGGTCATCTGTTTTGGTGATGATTTCTAGGGCAGAATTGCACATGTTCAATCGTTTCATGGCAATACAGCTTTCCTCTCCATCTTGAGCATACAATTGAAGAGCCCGTGCTGCTAATTCCTTAAATCGATTCTCCTTTGTTTTGAGCACAAGAGTGAGAGTTGAAATGATACCACATTCTTGTACCATACTTTGTCGGTGTGAGTCTATGATCAAGGATTAGAGGGGAGAATGATGGAGCGAGATGTTGCTGATGAAATACTTTCTGAGATAATGATGAAACTTACGAAACATGCTTAAATTATACAATTGCTCCAAGGCGTCCATAGCTTCATCTACACTATTTTCCAAACGCTTGATCAAATTTCTTGCCTCCGATTTCACAATTGATGGTGTTTTTTCAAGGTATTTCGAGGTTACTGCAAACAGAATGGATGAATTACTTTGGGCTCCCGTTGCTGAATCTCCAACTTTAAGAGGAGTGGATGCCAGAGGAGATACTTCCTTTTGCTGCTTTGAGGCTGTGGTTGAGGGTGTACTGAGAACCACCAACTCACTCAACGATCGCGAGAGCTCGCTTGTTGAGGCAGTTGAAGAGCTGTGGAAATTATTGTGGAACATTTTTTTTCCAACTCTCAAAACACGGAAGGCCCGCTCTTTGGTTGTTGCCGCCACAAATCTACAAAAAAAAATGATTTCGGATCGAACGACCTCTCATCATCCTCTCTACGTTTCTCAAGGAAATAAGAAAGTACCAATGACGAGCTCTAGAAAAAACAACGCATCATCGCCTCCTCCTCGGAACCCAATCATCAATTACGAAGAATTACATGCAGATGTCAAACAAGTATCGTCGTCGGCTTTCGCCAGTAGTAATGGCCACAAACATCCATCGACCAACCTTGTAGCACAGAAACTCGATCATGGTCGATCCCATTCGGAGAGAAACAATAACGTGAGAAGGAGTTATTCATTCGGGATACCAACAGGTTCTTCCTCATCGAACACCATTAACAACAATGACTTTATGGTGACAGATTTGCCACCCAGCTATGAAGCCGCTATTTCTCAAAACAATAACAACAACTTTATGGAATCCAAGAGAAAGGAATATCTCATTCAAAAGTTGAATCATCTCAAAAAACAAAACTCAACGTCTTTGGAACATTTTCAAATTGTTAGAGACGATGTGAGACAAAGCAAAGTGGTCATGGAGAAACAAATACTGCAGGCCTATGGAGCAATGAAACTCAAACTTGAATCCTTATTACAAGAGTCTTTGAACAGTCTTGCAGATATGGAGGCGGAAATGACCGAACCTCTCGATGTAAAAATTGAACAACTCAAACGGAACATGCGAGCAATTGATATGACTGAGAACACCTTAGCCAGACAACCATTTTCAGAGACAGTAAAAGAAAAAGTGGATGCATGTCTGAAGGCCAATGTTCCTCCTTTTACATCTGATATTGACATTTACAAACTAACAGATATCAATAATTATCCCATGATTCGAGTGAGTCATTCGTTTTTGGGAGCAGATGCTTCGAAAAAAAGTCCAATTCCAACCTCATCAAGGTTATCAATGGATATCGATCCTTCAAACAGAGAAAAACGGAACAATCTCCACAATGATTATGATACCTATCATAACCGAGTGATAACTGATGACTGTAAGAATGATTCTCTTAACATTAGTGAATGTACAGATTATGACTATGCTCCAAGGACCTACCCTGAAAGAAATAACACAAACTACATGTCTTCATCAAAGAGAACAATTGATACAGAAAGGGTTCCAAAGGAACATCCTTTAACTCCTTCAGATTCTGTCATTGGAAGTTATCAACAGCTAGAAGATTTGTATTCTCAAACTAAGAATTGTGCCGTTTTCAAAGGTACCAACTTTTAACGTATTTCATAAACACCACACTGCCCTAGATTTTAATGTCACAACACTCAGTACAGTTTACATTTGAAATGAGAATGGTTCAATAATTGTAACACCACCCTGCTTTTTGGAATGAACCTTTGGTCGAAACACTTCCTCGTATCGTTCCTTCTTTTCTTCCTCAATTCTCTTTGCTCTTTCTCCTCTCTCTAAATGCTTTCCTAGACCCTTGATAACCACAGGAGTTTGGCCATCCACAACCGATTTTGATTTGAGGGATTTGGTAATGGCAGGTTGAAATGTACATTCTTGCAGTTGCTCACACTCAAGTTCCATCATGACTTTTGCTCGTTTCATTTCTTTTTCCTTCAAAAACTTCTCGGACTCTGTCATTACAGAGAGTGGTTTCCTGTCATGAAGGTATTTCTCATTGTTACTCACTAATTTGGGCTGGAAGGGACAATTTTCTTTCTCCATGATTTTCATGGTGAGCTCTTCTTTTCGTTTCTTAGTCCTTGTGTTGTTCACAAGCTCGTCTAAATCGGTTGGAGCTGCAATGACATTAGAGACTTGATTAATTGTGGGAGTGAATGAAAATTTCGAGTAATACTCTTGAGCTATGGCATTCTTGATGTGATCCACCCTTTTCTTGTCTCGGTTAGTCAGTCGATCATAAATGTCTTCCACGGTATTTGCTCTGCTTAAACTCTTTTTACAAATTTCTTCCGACACTTTGGAGATTGAGGGTTTAAATTCATACTGTTCTTGTTCCTTCTTTGTGAGGGCCTCATGTTTCAGCTTTTCTTTTGCTTCATACTCTTGCTGACGCTCTAAAAAGGTTTGTTTTGACAGTTTTGTTTCTGTAATCTTTTTGGAAACTGGGTTAACGCTTGGTTGAAATGTACATCCGTCCATTTCCTCCTTTTTAACTTCAAAGAATCGCCTTTTGGATTTCTCCTTCTCGAACATGGTTTGTTCATCCTCTTGACCGCTCTTCATTATTCGACTTGTGAAGGGAATTCGATTCTTCATCATGGCTACAATTCGTTTCGATTCTTCACTAATTGACGGAGCACTTCGAAGATTCTTTCGTTCCTCTTCATATTTAAGCTGTTGTCGTAGTTTCTCCTTTTCCTGTTGTTCCATTTGTATTTCTCCAACCCTCTCAAACAGTGGTTTTCGGTGATTGTTCATCAACAGATCATCATCAAGATACGATAAATCCCGAGGATGATGATGATGGTACTGATGACTGAAACCCGATGATGTGGAGGGTCTGTGTTGGGAGAGAGGTTCCTCTCGTTCCTTTTTCATCTTCTCCAACCTCTTCTTCTGCTCATCAGGAGATTCGTTAGCCTTACTTGGAGCCTTTGTGTTCCCATTTAGTTTGGGCCCAAACTTGAAAGAACCTTCTTCAATGTCTTTTTCGTTTCGCTCTTGACGAACCCGTTCTGTATGATGTTGTTGAACGTTTTTTTTCATTTTTGATAATCGTAACGTTTGTTTTGAAAATGGCGCGAAATTTAGCACACAACCACACAAATTAACTGAGGTGAGTCTTCATTCAACAGAAATTGGACAATTCATCCAAAGATACTCAATACACACACAGATGAACGATGATTGACCTAATTCCAAAAGTTCACTGGTTGTTTGGATCTGATACACTTGTTCGGAATCATGGAAGGTCGTTCATTATTTTTTTTGAAATTTTGAAAATAAAAATCAGTAAAAAAATGAGCAAAAACAAGCCATCCACAACCAAAACAACAACAACACCACAATCATCATCATTAGCCTCAGAAAAAGAAGAAGCCACGGTAAAACCTGAAGATTTATTTGCAACAGGAACATCGGTGGACGAATTTGGAAACGAAGATGAATTGGTCATAGATGAATCTATTCGGAAGGAAGAGGAAAATGAAAACAACAGCAATGCAACAAAAACCTCTGAACCCGATTGGTCCGTACAATTGAGAAAAGAAGAACAAAAATTGAAGCAACTCATTGCTGATTCAAATTGTGAAATTGATGAGAGTAAAACGCTCACGGTTTTACAAGTTCAAGAATTATATAGCATTGCAAAGAAGGAACACCAACAAGCACAAACAAATCAAGACTCTGAGGAGGGAGAACAATTTGAAAAGGAATTCGTTGAGAAGGGTACAATCATGGATAAAATTGCAGCCCTTTCATTACTAGTCCAACAAAAACCAATTTACAGATTGCAATACATTGATGAATTGATGAAGATTTGTCACCATCCAAAAAATCACAGAGCTGCAGAATTAGCTGTCAAGACATGTACTGACTTGTTTCAAAATTTATTGCTCACAACAAGATCTTTGTTGAACTTTAAAGAACGAGAGGAAAATGGTTCCTCAATTTCTTCCATTTCCATGACATCTATTTATCAAGCCACACATCATTTTGAACGTTTAAATAATAAGAAAAAAAAGAAGGAAAACATGCAACAAGTCGGAGTTGTCTTGGCCTCATGGTATTTTGAAGAATTGTTGAAGAAGAAATATCAAAGTTTTATCAACGATGTTTTAGCCGAAAATATCAAAGAAAAAGCAAACTCACTGGATGTTGTGGTCATCAGAACTATGAGAAATATTCGTGACTTGATAAAACGAAGCCCTGAACGAAGAGACACCTTACTCACCCTTCTAATCACCAAATTTGCAGATCCTAAAAATTCAATCAATGCAAGAGCTCTCTACTACTTGACTGCTCTTGTGAACTCGCGAGTGGAGAACAATCCTCATTACGTACCAACTCTAGATAAGATGTATTTGTGCAAGGGCATTTGTGAATTTTTACTTAATACCAAGATGGATCCTTCTAAGAGAGCATTTGCTGCCTCATTCCTCACGAACATGACCTACACACCAGATCATGATAACCACATTGCAGAGTTTGTTTTGAAGAGTTGTATGGATGTGTTGAAAAAGGAATATGGCGATCTTATTGCTAACAAGAAAAAGAAGAAGAAAGACGAGAAGAAAAGCTCCCATCAATTGACAAACTCATCATTCCTTGGCTCTTTACTCTCTGGCATGTTTAAAAGTTTAAAACACTGTAGAACTGCATTCTTGGCAGATGCCGAAACTTTGGATTTACTTTTTAAGATTGCTAGAATTACCCCCCTTGTGACCTCAGTGAATGCATGCAAACTTATTTATGCCATTGCATTCATTTCAAATGATGAGAAAGTACTGACTCGATTTTACACCTTACTCTATGACAAGTTACTTGATGAAGGCCATACAGGTTCGAAAGTACAAACCCTATTGCTTGTAGTCTATGAAACTGTTCGTGAAGATATTAATATTAATAGAGTTGCTGCATTTTGCAAGCGTTTGTTACAAAGCTGTTTCACATGCTACAATCCTGGATACACGGCAGCTGTTCTCATGGTCCTTGATCAAATTCTGAAGGTCAAGCCTGGAATTCATCTTAGCATGCTCCAACAAAAGAACTTTTTAACCAAAGATTCTCATTCAACTGCAAAATCAAGAAACAAGTCAATCGAAGAAGACGATGAGGAAGAAGCATTTCAAGATATTGATGAAGAGACCATTCAACAAGAGGAAAAGCCAAAAGAAACAATCGTTCTTTCTAAGGATAATTCTGTTAAAATTGTTGACAATGAAATTGTGATTGAAGGATTTACAAATAAGAATAACGACAAGAAACAATCGACAACCGCATCGTCAACGACAGCCTCAAATGACAAACAAGATGAAAAGAAAAAGACAATACCTTCACAGAAAGCTAGAGGTACCAATCCTTTTACCGAATTTTCTGAATACGACCCAACAACACCAAAACCTGAAGCAGCTAATGCTCTCTCTTCAGGATTATGGGAACTTGATCTCATCAAGCACCATTTCCATCCCAGTGTTTGTGAGTTTGTAGATAATTTGGTTTCCCGTTCTGGTCAGCCTCTATACAAAGGTAATCCAATTGTTGACTTTTCAACCACTACATTCATTGACAAGTTAATGTTCAAGCCCTTCTCAAAGAAATCCATGAAAGAAAAGGGCTCTGGTCTCTTCTCCAAATCAAAATCAGCATTGGCTGCTGAAAAATTAATTAGAGGAACCTCTTCCATCAATTCTAAGGAATTTGCAGATTTACCAGAAGAGTTGGTTAAAAGTGATGAACGATTCTTCCACAAATTTATGGTTGAAAAATTCAAACGAAAAGAAGACATTGAAAAAGAAAGAGAAGCACGAGAGAAAAGAAGAAAAGAAGCTAAAGCAAGAGAAGAAGAATTTCTTAATGCTATGGATGAAGATTTTGGTTCAGACACTGATCCATTCGATGAATTGGATGACGATGCAGTGATGGAACTTTTGGAACAAGCGGAAGAGAATGCAGAGGATGAAGAAATCATTCCAGGCGCTAAGAATGACAATGCTTATGGCTTTGATGTGACCAGTGTCTCAGAAAAACCCTCTCAAGATGAAGTTGCCGAGTTATTGGAAGAGGATGAAGATGAACTCTTAGAACAAGAAAAACAAGAGTTTAAAGAAACGAAAACTCCTTCAAAGAAACGAAAACAAAAACCATCCAGCACAGCCACTCCTTCAAATCATCAACCACAAAAGAAGAAAGTGAAGAGAACAAGAAAATAAATCAATGTCATCGATGATTTTAATTAATTCTCTCTAATTCGTCTTTGTTGTGGAAAATGTAACACCCATCGGAGTTGCAGACTGACTCTAAACCATTCCACAACAAAATGAACCAAACACGACCCTCATCTCTTCCTTGCGAGATTATTTGCGAGGTGATGATCTTTGCTTTGAATCCCTATTCTCTCATCAACAGTATTTGCAGAATGAGGCATGTGAATCGTGCTTGGTTCGCTGCAACAGAGAGTCGTGTGTTTTGGCAGATGGTGGTAGAGGCTTGTCGTCGTTCGGCTCGACCTTCTTCAAGACCCTCCAAAAGAGACCAGCAGGATGAGGATCACGAAAGCATCATGATGATGATAGCTGAGCAGTACGGTGATGATAAATTAGATCAAGAATTAGACCATGAAGAACAAGAGATGAATCCGATAAATGATAATGACGATGATGATGATCATGATGATGACATTCGTGAAGAAGAGCCTCTTGATGCTATGAGTGCCAGCTCCGAGACGCTATCTTCATGTAGTACTACGAAATCTGGTAGTAGTAACAACAACAACACGTTGGATAACAACTCCAATTCATGTCCTACCACTCAGTATCACTATTTCAAGACTCATGAATTCATCGATCAATTGTTGCATCAAACCCACTGCAACCGATTTTACTTTTTCGAACATGATGATGCAATTCGACATGACGGATTTTTAGGATTCCGACGATTTGAAGAGAACAGTTACAGAGATCCCATTGACAAGTTCCGAGTAGATGATAATGGTGATTCGTTTTTACCAACATCTTCCACAGATCAGGATGATCAAGAAACAAGTGAATGTTCTCTCTTTCATGAAAAAGTGGCTTCATGGATTGAAGCATTTGGCAACTTGAAAGGAGAACATCTCTTACTGAGAGCCTTGTTGGAAATTTCACTGGGTCATGAAACCACTGAATTTGTGGGAATGAAAAGCATGGGCACTTGTGTTCAGGCGTTTTTCCAAAAGCTTTTTGAACCTGCCATGCTGCTAGTTCGAGAGTGGCAACATTCACCTCAAAACAAGCCCAAAGAACTTCATGCATTCACAAAAAGCAGTGATGAAGAGAAGAAGAATTTGGAAATGAACATGTGTCAAGACCTATTTTTCAACAAGAATTTACTTCAATTTTTGAAAGAAACACGCAAAGAAAAGTCCCTATTTAAGCAAGACATTGGTGTCACTTGGAATGATTATGATTTCTTTTATCATGTCATTCCAAGACAATACATCTTATTTGTGATCGAACACTTTACAAATATGAACATTGTGAATGAAGAAGGTGACAAACAAGATGTAGTAACTTTTATCATGGACAATTTATTTCAGTGTGGACTTCATGTAGAGAATATACTTTTTCATGACTTGTCTCTCAATTTAAGAAACTTTGAGAGAACGGACATGCTTAAGCGAATTCTCCCTACCATGTCAAGTGGTTTTTATTTACAACATTTGGCTGTATGGACACAAAATCTTTCCTTGTTGAATTGGTGCCTTACTGTGAACGATAAGGACGGAGATACAAAAGTTTTGGATCATTTAACACCAAAAGCTTCATTTTCCGTCGTGCCAAAATCATTGACCTTTCAATCCTACATGAGAACGTATCTATATGACTCGTGCGGACTGAATATTCTTCACTACGCAGTTGGAATGAAAAGTGTGGAATTTGTTAGAGTCTTATTGAATGAATATTTATGCAATCCATTTGTACCAGCACGTTTCAGTGAGACGCCCATTTCATTGGCCTACAAAAACCTGATGCAACATGTCGGGAAATCCAAAAACAATGTCGAGCAAGCCATTCTGGAGCTTTTCACACAACACTATCATTTACCTTCGACTTTTTTAGAAATAACTGAACCCATCGAGAGTACCTGGCGTCCCAACGATGAAGAAAAGTTAGCAGCACAAAGACAGGAAGGACATATATGGTTCGACTTTAGAAATAGTGAATGGCAAGAACAAGAAGATGACTTGGAACTCAATACCAACAAGGTGGTCGAAAGAAATGGAAATATTATTACGTATGACACCTGCACTGATGATGAGGAAGATTATTATTACGAATCTGATGAATATGAGTATGAGGAATGTATATCCTTGGAGTGGATGAAAAAACAAATCAAAAATCTATCGTCACAGATATTTACTGATGAAAAAAGTAGCAGCAACAATGAATCTGCACAGTGTGTACATTCAGAGAAAGAAATTCATACCGATAAGACTGATACTAGTCAAGGTGAGCATAACGAAAATGAATCAAATTCATTGAAAAGGAAAAGATATGACCCTGTCTATCAAGAATTTGGACAAATGGAAGCTTTTACAGGCCAACTTCAAGAATATTTATCAAACTTTGAGCTCTTGGAAGTCGATGATGACATGCATTGGTTTTGTCCAACTAAATTCGTTAAAATTTTGGAAAGGACTTATGACCGAAACAAAAAACAGAAGCTTGACGAAAATGTGGATGAGATTTTTATTAATAGAGGAAATTGTGACATTCCAAAGAGAGCATTCAATAGAGTGATCAACGAAATTGGTCATGATTACAAAAACGAAGTATTATTCATGCCACATGCGAAAATGATGATTCAACAACATACAGAAACACTCATGAAGAGAGTGTTTGAACTTGCTTCACAAATTGCTCTTTTTATGGGTTACGATTTTATAACAAGAGAATTTATGTTGGTAGCACAGAGCATCATTTCACAAACATCCCCAGTGTTAAACTTTGATGTTGAATCACATCTAAAGGAGATTTGTGAGAGTGATTTAGACAAGGATCTTATGAAAATCATCGAAAGGTATATTGACATACATCTCTTATTGGAGGTGTCTGCTGCCACAGATACTACATCTGACGAGGATGACGATTATGAAGATGTTAATTCCACATGCTCGGATGACAGTTGTACCTCTATTACTGCAATTTGTATTTCACACGACAAAACATATGTAATGGATGAATTTGACACATATTTAGTTTACACGGATAATCCTACGAAAAAGAAGCAACATGCAAACTTTACCAAGCATTTCACAGGATTAGATGGTTTTAATAGAAGCTTGCAAGTTGAGGTTCACATAAACTCATCCAATTTCTACATTTTTTCTAATGAAAGAGATTTGGTCATTCAATGGATTGATGGACATTTGGATAGCTTTGATGAAATGCAGAAGAGTTTACAAAATAAACAACACGATTGAGATCACTCCAACCTTTATTTGCACTTCACATTTGCATTGTAAAGGATCAACAATTCGAACAAACGTTGAAGACAATAAAGTTCGATGTATTGGGATCCAGAACATGAACTGTTCAATAGGTTTTGAAGATCCTATTTGAGTGAAAAGGGGGTTTGACTTGATTAAGAATAGTCCATTAATTCAGTAATTGTTCGCATTTCTCCTTCAAAGGATCCGAATTGTAGAGTTGTGAAATATTGTACAAGTTCACTAGAAACTCCTTATCTTGAGGTTGATTTGACGTTTCGTTGAGTTGTTGAATGATTTGCTGCTCTGCAAACTTCTTTAAGCCATACAGTAAGAATAAATCTGATGCTATTAAACACTCTATAAATGTCTCAGGAATCAATGGTTGATTTGTTAATTTCTTGCGATAAATATCTGAAACATCATCTGTGCTAGTGGTTAATGAAACATTGGCAAGTGTTTTCAAAACATTCTGACCGCAATAAATGAATTGTAACACCAAAAAGAGGGTTGAATAGGAAAAGTTTGGAATTTCAATAGTTTTCACAGAGCAATCAATCACATTTTCAATATTCGATTCAACTCCTTCCACAATTGACAAGCATTTTGGTGTACATTCATACTTGAACACTTTTCTCATGTATTCACTTCTTGCCGCTAAAATGCAACGGTGAGCAAAAACTCCTCCTCTTTGTCTTGTCGGTAAGAGAACTTTTTTCACAAATTTCAAATATTTGGTGTGATAGGCGTCACTGCTTAATATCTCCAAATCGATCGCTCCCAATTCGTTACACTCTGTTTGTATGACCACATCAGACGCAGATGATTCATCTTCTTCAGTGATGGATATAAAAAGTTCAGTCATGTCTTGCTCGAGTCCACCTGTTTGAATGGCATTTCTTTTAATTGCATCCTTTCTCGAAAATAATAATTCTTCTTCATGTCGATCACGACGCGTTTTGCTAATAATTTCCCATTCCTGTTTCACTAACTGTTCATCAAATTCATCAAATAGACTCTCCTCGTCTTGATTTCTCTCTGCATGATGATTAGAATAACCCATGTTAAGAGAATGTAAAATAGCTTCTTTCGTAGATTCATTCTTTAGTGAATCGAGTAAGAGTAATAATCCTTGTTCCTTCAACATGCTGTCCACTGAAAATATTCGAATAGTAGAATCATCTTCTTTCTTGTGTTCTTCTTTTGTTGCTGCGTCGAATTCTTTTCGTAAAATATCAATGTCTTTGGATGAGATTACTAAGGAATCTGTATACACAACTTGAATGAATTTCAGCAAGGAAAATCTTGAAATGTTTTGATCTTTCTTCAAAATGTAAAATCCAAATACTTGATTACTTTTTTGATCAGCATTGCTGTCACCATGTGAATTCTCAAAATTCCATTTCACAAAAAACTTTTCAAGGAAATCCTTTGTTCGTGTTTGAAGTATGATACCATGTAAATTAATATCAAAATCATTCATACGAATAAAGTATTGTGGGTTTGTGTTCGTTCGTACAAATTCATTAAATGTTTCCTGAGTCCATGTCTCTAGTGGTAGATCAAAAGTTCCAATAAATACGTCACAACATTGCAATCCAAAGTTATCGACCTCTTCTGCTCGCTGTGAAACTTCGGTTTCATTAGAGTCTCCAAATAATGATCTATTTGCTGATTTTAACAATTCTGCAAAGTCGGCAGAAAGTGACATACCAGACGACAAGAGTTCCATCACATCATCCATATGAACAATAGAACTCTCTACCGCAGCATTGTAATTCATTTTGAGTTTGTAAAACTTTTTGTTTTCCGATAATAAAGCATTTTCTGCATTATTCTCTGCAGCAGAAATGGCACACAATTGCTGAATGACTCCCCAAATCGAATACAAGATACCACTCAACAACATGACCTTTCTTGCTTTTGCATGTTCAGCCATCTTGTACAAGATGAACGAACACTCACTCAAAATCTCTTCAAAGAGTTTCCACATTTTGGAATTGTGTTCATTCTTGGTTCCTCTAAACATGTACACGGCGAGTTGATTAAACAACAAACACAATGTTTTCAATCCTCCACATAAATACATTTCATTCTTTGCAGGTTTCATAAAGATTCGATTCGAGATCCGATGAAGTAATTCTCTCAAATGATCAAACATTTCAAAATGATGTTCCAATGATAGATCATTCTTGTTGAGTGTTTGAATATCTTCTTTCAATTGGCTCAAGATTTGACATTTGTATTCCATGTCGGTGAGAGGACTACTTGCTGGAACATTGAGAGGATAGGGTTGAAATTCCTTTGTTGTTTTTGGAGGATCATGATGATGGTTCAACACGACAACAATGGAGGAAGAAGAGCCTTTACCATTAGCGTCATCATGATTGTCCTGGATGATGGGTTGTTGGCCCCTTTTCACTATTCCTGCAACTTTGGACAAGATTTCCTTGATCATTTGTTCTTTTTGAATGATATATATGGATTGAAAAAGTGAAGAGGATGATGATGATCGAGATTGTAGTGATTCACGAATCAAAGTGTTGTTGTTGTGGTTGTGGTTGAATTTTTGTGATGAAATTCAAAGCGTGATGAACAGGTGACGAGGAGTAACAAGTGTTTGCTAATCTGCAAGTTCAAACTTGAAAAGAACCATGTGTTGAGTTAGCGAAATTTCTCAAATGGGCCCACAATCAAGGTCGAGGTCACCTCGAGAGGGGAATTTACAAACTTGATCTAGTTGTCATGTATTTAATATTACAATTGTATTTCATTCAAAGAATTCTTAGTTGAAATAATCAAACTTGGGTGTAGAAATGTTTTTAGATACGTTCCAAAAGATATTGTTGAAGACAGAGAATTTGTGCTACGAGTCGCTAAACTGAATGGCCATTCTTGCAGTTATTGGATACGATGACTCACCATTTTGCAATGACAAGGAAATCATGATGGAAGCATTGAAGAACAATGGATGCACATTGAAGTTTGCAAGTGATGAATTGAAAAAAGATCCTGAATTGGTGATGGAAGCTCTCAAATGCAATGGATATGTGTTGGAGTACCGTGATGAATTGTTGCATTCGAGGATGGAACCATGTTATTTTGGTGCTTGTTTGGGATCACTTTAAAACGTATTCACTAAGCAATGTATTGTGGTGGTTTGTGTTGTTGTTGAAAAGCAACCATTTCAGTACAGCATCAATGGTTATCTCAGCAGCTCTTCTCTTGTGAAAATTAGAGCCATTGAACATATACACAAATAAATCTTGGAAAAACCTAAGAAGATTAAGATTATAAAATAATCTCAAACTTATTCGTGTCACCTCGTAGATACTCTTTCAGTTCAAAGTCAAAAAAGAGAAATCATGATCTGATTCATTTGCAACAAAGGTTCTCATGAACAATCGATTGGTATTCAGTTCTTTCTTTGAAGAGTACTTGCAACACACAATTTTAGAAATCCATAACAATATTAATTGAATTAAGAAAAATGTCCTCCACTCCAGCAGCACCATCATCATCATTACCAACCTCATCATCATCATCGGGAAGTAATAGTAAAAAACAAGAGCCCTTGGTCTATCGTGGAACTACTTTCGAATACGTTCAAGATTGTTTCCGATACTACAAGACATTGGCAGAACGAAAAATTGATAATGTCAAACACTTTGTGGTTACCTATCCAACCGTGTTCATTTCATACGCAATTCTGTTTGGAAGTATGGGACTTATTTACTTCCGAGTGCAAAGAAAGGTTAAATTGTCTCATAATGAATTGAAGGCGAATCTGGAGAAAGTAAAGAAACAACGTATCTATGATTTGGTGAAAGAGGCTAATGAAATTAAACGATTAGGAAAATAATTGTGATAATAGGTTAATAATTGAGAAAATTTGATATCTGAATGAAGTATTCTTTTGGTTCATTTCGACGAAAAGGAATAGAATTCATCTTTGAATCAACAATGTTGTTGTTGTTGAGCATTTAACACTATTACCACATGGGTTCAGGCGAAAATCTCCAAAATAATTCTCATCAAATTATGATTGAATTGATTGAACGCTCAAGTGGCTTCACGACTCTTCTCCGAGATTTTGGATTGTTCGAATAAATTCTCTGACTCAAAGCGTCATCAAGAGAGCACCTCTTTCACACGCCGACAAGAAATCTCTGTTTAAAATTGTTAAATTCTCTTGAGATGGAAAACATCTGAGTACATGCAAGTCTCTTACAGTAAAATACGAAAGCCAAACGCCTGGAAGATTCTGAGTCATGACTTTTGTGATTGAATTGAGTGTATGCAATGAGTTCCACATTGGATGCAATTCGATAGAGTTGGTGAGCTTTGGAAATTCTTGGATCTTCTTTTGTTCTGGATTCATTCAACGATGCCAACTTGTCATCATCTTGAGAGCTGAGATAATTAAGGGCATACCATCGAGCATATACCACCAAAAGATAGGCTAAATCAATGGGATGGATCATGGCGGATGGAAGATTGTTTGTCTTTTCGTTGTTGACAACAAGACTAGGTATTGCTGAGCTAGATTTATCATCAAGTAACTTTTTGTAATCTATTCCATACCACTGTGTCAGAGATTTGTAAACATAATTTTCTAGATATTGTAGATGATGATCGAGTAGGGTCCTCATGTTTGGACAATGATTCAAGAAGTGCAAATAATAGTTCCAGTATTTAAATATGGAATAATATGGGCTTTGTGGAATGTTGCTTTGGTTTTGTTGTGTTTCGTTATTAATAATGGTGGTGTTGGTGTCCCCTGTTTTGTTTGTCGCATCAGACAGTGAAATATCCTCATGAATATAGAGCTCAATACATTGTTTCAAATGAGAATTCATCTTGTTAAAAATGTGTTCAGGGAGATTCCAATTATCCACAAGATTTGAACATCCATACATTGCAGCCAATAGTTGAGCATAATTAAAATGAGCTTCAGCATTAAAGGGAAATATTTCTTCACAACAAGTCACAAGAACTCTCTCAGCATGTGAAAATTCGTATAAATGAAACAAAATCCAAGAATAAAGAATGAGGGGTTGAATTCGAATGTTTTTAGGGATTTCCGTTTGAGAGGTTGATATTCGAGATAAAAATTCGTCACAATTAAGTTCTTTTTCGATAACAATATTGTTATTATTTAACATAATGCCGATGCAAGAGTCACACAACAGCAGAGCTGTATCGTACCCTCGTAATAGATATCTACACAAGCTTTCCAAATATAATAAAATGTAGTCAGTTTTGTTTTGCATTCTCATCTTTGCATGTTGAATTTGTTCAAGTACATTTTCATAATTCCCTTTCAATAAATTGATATAGATGGAAATTACATAACCCATCGATTTTTCCTGTATTTGTGTAAATTTTAAATTTTGTAATTTAGAAATTAATCCTTCAGCAGTAGATGGTGCTGTTTCACTTTCAGATATTTCTGGAATAATTAAGTTAAACAATGAGTATTGAAAATCATTTGGCTGTGCATTCATCTGGGCCAAATCTAAAGGTAAGGGTAAATAAATCCCGAAATGATCAAAAAGTCGAGTGAATGGTCCAATGTTATCCGGAATAGATACATTCCATTTCTCTTTGTTTTCATTTTCTTTCAAAATTTGATCGGACCATGAATCTTGATCATTAAACAATTGTCTAGCTCGTTGTAGCAAGAATAATTTTTCTTCTCGAAAGTCCCCGAGAGAATTTTCCATCCATTCTTGTTGGACATGGATAGAATTAAATTTCAGGTCATTCATTGATTTTTCCATCATTGGAGGACAGTTTTCGGGAGTCAAATGCCGAATCATCTTTTCGAGTCGTCTTCTCGACGTTGTGGCGGAATCATTTGATCGTTCTCCAAATTTCTTCATTTTTTTCATATCGAATATATTAGACGATGACAGGATTGCAGAAGTAGAAGTTTGGAACTTGCGGTTGTGTAACCTGAGATGTGACAAATATCTCACTGAAGGACAAATCTCCTTTCATTCAAACAATTTATATCAAAGGCCTCTTATGAAATATAAACAGTGAATGATCCCCAGTTCTATAATGCACCAAATGGAGCAATTAAAATAATTCGATTAATTATTCTTGAAAACGAGAGCACTTCAGAACTTCATCAAGACCATTGAATATGTTTAGTTGAATTCCCATTGACTTCTCTTAATTGACGAACTGGCATATGCTATTTCGCCTGAAAAAGGAGTTCAACAGTGCGTGGAGCTGAGTCTCCACTCTTTACACCCTCGTCGTTCAAAATTGGAAGGTGAAAGTATGCTCTAACCCTCCCCGCGAATACTGTTCTGAAAGAGCTAAAGTTGATTTCATTGCTCTTGCTTAAAAAAAATCAAAAGACTCACAAAGCTACAATACCACAATGTCCAGCAGTAAACAACCCGAATATGATGAAAGTGTTGCTTCAACGGATATCATAAACCAAATGGTCCAGCTGTTGAGGGTGGAGACAATTGTACTGGCGGAAAATTGAGTTTCGATTATTCTATGCCTGGCATTGAGATTTTACAACAAGACCTTACGACCTCTATAGGCAGTGCCTCTCCCAATTGTTTATGAAGAACAGGCAAAGGATTTGATCAAGAATTGCACAAAAAGTCCATTTGGAAGAGGTGAAGCAACTATTTATGATGATAATGTCAGAAAGTCCTGGCAACTGGAACCTGATAAGTTTCGAATTACCAATCCAAAATGGGATCACTTAATAGAAAAACTAGTGAACGATTACATCCAGAAGGAATTGGGAATTGGAACAGAAAAAACAATTAGTTTTTCACTTTACAAGGTGTTGTTGTATGAGCAAGGAGGTTTCTTTGATTTTCACAGAGACACTGAGAAGGAAGATGGAATGATTGCAACATTGGTCGTTCAGTTGCCTAGTCATTTCTCAGGAGGTGAAGTAACTGTGAGACAAAATGAAAGAGAAAAGAAATTTGAGTGCAACGAAGATTCAACCTTCAGTGCATATTATGTGAGCTTTTACTGTGATTGTCCACATAGGGTTGAACCAGTGACTTCTGGATACAGATTGGCTTTAATTTATAATTTGAAATATTCTGGATCTGACAAGATTTCCATTATCGACAACAACAGTCAAGTTCTGAATCTTGAGAAGATTATAAATTATTGGTTGAAGGCACCAATGTATTCAAAACTATGCTACATCCTTCAGCACAAGTATTCAAAGGCAGGATTGAGTCCGACCTTTTTGAAAGGAAAAGATGAAGCTGCTTATCAACTATTGAAACAACTTTGTTCTGTTGATTTATATTTTGGAATTTTGGAAAAACAAGAAAGTTCATGTGGGAATAGCGAATATGATATTGATGAGACCAGATTTGAGTACAAAGCGAACATCTTTTTAAGCAGAACAAAGAAACAATGTGTAAAATTGGTTGAGGAGGAAATATTTCCTGGAACTTTGAGAAGGTCAATGCCAATGACTTCCCGCGATGTAAGTGATTCTTTTGACAACCATACTTGGCACGTTTTCATCATCAGATTGAACACACTGGTAATGAGGGTACCGTTGTTGAAAGGTCATACCGAAGTGCTAGTTATTTGTCCAGCCGAATTGAAACCTCTATTTTACAAGGTGGACAATAGATATTTAGAATATGGAAAGGAGGAGGTCTTAATGAGCGATTCAACAAGGACACTATTCCAAAGCTGATAAAACACCATGGTTCTGAACATTTCATACCTTTATTTGAAAAATATACCCAAAAATGTTGTAAGTAGTCAAAGACAAACGTATATACGTAGTACTTGATACTTTTTCATGCACAAAAGTTGGAATATTGACCAGGATATTGAAGCTATTGGATCACTTGTTGCACAGTTGCAAGATCCAACCTGGATGGATGTTTTTTTGAACAAGTTATCTTCTGTGATTGGCAAGAAGTCAGACTTGAAATCAGACAGTTCTTTGTCTGTTGCAACTCAAAGACAAATTACTCCTCCTTCAGAAAGGATTGACAAATTGATCAATAACTATAAAATATTTAAGTGGAGCTGTGTCCAATGGTGTTCGATCAGTATTCGTATTGGTTTTCCATTGATATGAATTACATTGAGAAGAGCTTGTTATTACTGAGACATTTTGGATTAGAAAAAACAGCCCCCTTTCTGGTTCAGTCCCTATCTCAAAAAAGTGCCCCACAATTGAATCAGTAATAGATGTTTTTGAAAAGATAATCACCAAAGATGGAAAGGAAGAGCAGTTCTTGGCGTCAAAACTTTATGAAAATATTAAGAAAAGCAAGGATCTTGGTGTTCCAACAACTATCAAATTATTGAATGTTTGTAGAAAGAGTAATATCACTCATGAGGAAATTGAAATTGCAACATTGACAATTGAAGAAAGTAATTATTGTGAATATCAAACACTTGAAATCATTCAAGGGCTCATTGAGGTGAACGGAAATGATTTGGAAAGGATCAGGATTTCGATTGCTTTTAGATCATGGTATGAAGTTAATGAGTAATTCCTCCATTTTAACCACATGCAGAGTTGGATTTGGGAAATGACAAGTGGATATTCAGACACATTCGCATTCCATGCACATGTGAATATTGTGGTCGCATAAGAACCTTCCTAAATTCTACGGATCAAGTTTTTGATTTTAAAGAAACACAAGGCATAAGAACACATGTGGTGAACAAGATGCCCAAAGTTGCTGATCTCCAAACGGAGACCATTGGCACAGGCTTTTTTCAAACGCTCTGAATCAAGAAAGTATTAAAAAGTGCAGAAGAGAAGAAATCCCTGAATGAAAAGACAATGAAAAATTTTATTCAATGTGCGAAACTATCAGATCAGTCATCTCCTCACACCAAACCATCATCCTCTAGCACTCTTGAACCATCAACAAAGAAGGTTAAAAAAGGTTAATTAAATTTAGTCTTCGTTATGAACTTGATTATCTTACAAAGATGACTACACCAAGCGAATAGGGCATAATATGGCTGTCGACAATGATGCTGAGTTGTGGGCGTAATAACTGATGACATTAAGGTGCCGTCACATCTTAAAATGATTATCCAAATCTTGTTTGAAAAATCTTCAAATGGTTCTGCAAAATATCCTTGAAAGAATGGTTCAAATTCAATGTTCAGTGCTTCTTTATGTCTCTCGTAATCTTGTTCTTGACTGTCTTGTTTTGCAGATTGTTTGTTGATTTTGGTAAAAAAAAGGATTTGTATTTGATTTAATTGTAATATTAGGGATTAGGAATTTCGGTAATCTCGGTATATACCCAATTAAATTGGCTCAGAAAATACCGAGATAATACCGGGAATATACCGGAAAATACCATGGCATATCCGGTATTTGTTCTTGTCTAACCAATCTGTAAACTGAATAATACGAATATAATGTTCCAAAAAATTTGATCATACGCGCTTTCTAAGGCTCTTTCTTCACACAATCCTTTTGTCCATGTAGATAATGAGAGAAGCAATAAATTTACTCCCTATCACCAGCATGTTTAACAAGCACTTGTAACACTTTTTTAGAGACACTTATGGGGCAACAAAATAAAATGTAATCGTTGGCAGTTCGATGACCATTGAAAAATACGCTCTCTCCATTCTTTCTTAATAGACATCCACCTGCCTCCTCTAGAATGATGGAAGGAGCAGCACTGTCCCAATAACTACTCTTGCAGCTTGTGTTGAAATATAAATCACCATTACCTGCAACAAGGTGACAGACCTTTCTTCCAAAACTTCCACATGGAACTCTATTTTGAACACCTAGCTCGTCGAGGATATTTTCAGTCATTTGATCATAGTTGTTTCTAGAAATTAAACATTTAGTTGTGGATAAATCATCAGGATTGAATTGATTGCATTGCACCTTAGATAAATTTTGCTTATTTCGAATCACAAATGTACCATGACTTTTGATAGCATAAAACATTTCATCTTGAGCTGCACAATAAATACAACCCATGACAGGTCTGCCATCTTTGCAGAGTCCAATCATGACCGCCCATTCACCATTATTGGAAATAAAATCTCTTGTACCATCAATGGGGTCCACATAGAAAACAAGACCTTCGGAGAGGTCTCTGTTTTCGAAATCCTTGTTTTTGGTGCTCACACCCTCTTCTCCAATAATTCTAATATTATTATTGGATTGAATGAAATGATGTTCAAGTTGTCCAATGAGAAAGGCATTGACTTTCTTGTCAACCATGGTGACTGCCAAGTTGACCGTCATGGTCGTAGAGTTAGCAATATTAAAAAAGGTTATCATAATAATAATCATGTTCATCGAATTCGCACGAATTTAACAATCAAATAAACAACAACAACTATTGTATTCAATAACTAAAAATGATATCATTACTTACCCGGTGAATCATCTTGTTTGATTTCAATTTCCAAACTCGGAGAATTCATTCGATCAATACAAAAATTATTAGCCATCTCTCCAGCCTGATAGGCCATCACTAGACACTTTTTAAGTGTTTCATCATATTCCGATCCGAATGGTTTCACTAAATCGTTCACCAATTTTTCATAGTCCACAGTGGAAGAGAAGGATTCGGGTTGAGACATTTTTTTGGCTCCTGTAAATCAAAGTGTTGCCATCGAATGAATGACCTCCTCTATTACAATAGAGTTGGCAAATGCCACAAGAATTATTCTGAAGAACACATCAGATCTTGACATTATTTCAAAACTCACTCGATAGGTTCATGTTTATTCTAATAATGTTTCAAAGCAAAAGAATCCACTTTTTGTGCAAACTCTTCCATTGCCTCCCAACAACACCCTCTGACTTCATCAGTCATTGAATGTGACAAGACGACACTACAAAAATCTACACGATACAATTCCAAACATGAACGACTGTTGAATATTCAAATATATAATTATATAGGTTCACTCTCCTTTGGGAGAGTTAACACAGCTAGTAGTGGTTGGAGTGATTCCTCTTCTGTCTTACTTGGCAAGAACAGCACCACCAACAGCACCACCTCCACCAGCCACAAATCCTGCGCTACCCACTGGTCCACCAATGAATCCTGGAGCACCAATGAAACCTGGAGCACCCAAATATCCATCAATTGGAGCTCCAATAGGAGGAATGAATGGAGCACCACCAACAACAGCGCCACCACCAACAACAGCACCACCACCAACGACTGGAGGAACGAATGGAGCACCACCCACAAATCCACCATAGAATGGAGCACCATAACCACCATAACCACCATAATATGGCAATGCAGGAGGATAATATGGCAATGCAGGAGGAGCATAAGTTTGATAGTATTGATTAGCAAATTGATTTCCATATGAAGTTGGACCCACATAGTTGGAAGCATAGCTGGCATATGGGTTGTAATTCACAGAGTTCATTTGATTGTTGTAAGCTTGTGTGTTTTGAGCATATTGGTTGTAGTTACCACCCTGGACACCATAATTCTGTCCAGCACCTCCTTGATAGCCATAGGCTGCTGCATTGTTCAAAGCATTGGTGGCTGCGAAACCCGGCAATCCATAAACAGGTGGTGCATAAATATCGACCGACTTGACGTCACCACCAGCCAAAACTGCTGCAATGGAACAGAGAGTCACAATTAGACCTAATAGTAAACGAGAGGAAAACTGCATTCTCTTTTGGTTAAGGAACGTCGTTGGTTTGTTTTTTTGTGTTGTGTTGGCAAGTGTGGCAATGAGCCTGCATGATTTATAGCTCTCGAATTGGCGTGGAATTTTACGAATGCTTTTTCCTTCATTCTCTGAGCGTGCGTGAGGAGTTTGGTGCATTGATGTCTTTTTGTACAATGTTTGGAGATGGACATGATCTACAAAAGAAACATCTTCAAATCATGGTGATTACTAGAAATGGACGAGTGGTTTTTCTCCAAAAATGGAGTGACAGATCACAAACTACTCTCCTCAAGATATGTATTCTATCCCTTTGGAGACAATGTGCTGAGATTGGAAATTTACACTACAATTATATTATGGATCAGTGGTGGTTTGATCTCGACCGGTGGTCTTTTGGTCTTCTTTTCCTTCCTCAAATACCTTATTACTCGCTCGCAGTAACAGAGGTCGAACAGAGTCTAGACGATGATACACAAGTTCTTGACGTTCATTGTCACCAATGAACGAGCATTTGGAGAGTTTGTTTCGACATTGCTCCAAAAGATTCTGGTATGATTCGGTCTGTTCATGAGTGATTGTGTTGAGCATCATTTCATAAAACTTGAATTTTTTAGGACCAATGCTTAATAAAATTAAATCCATGACTCTCAACAAGTAATAAGTGCATGGATGTGCATTGGATGAGGACATTTGGGAAACCATCCGCTCAACGAATACCAATGAATCCTGTATAATGCTATGCAGTAATGGGCCATAATCACTCTCGCTGTGCCCATTCACGCCAAGTACTCTGCTAGTTGAAATGTTTTGATTATTCGTACTTTTTAACAGCAACAGCAACACAAACTTGTGGAAAAGGTTGCATTGAATTTGAAATGGGAATATGTACCAAAATCTTGACATGAGACAGTTGAAAAAGTATCACGGAAAGAATGTTTTCAAATACTTGAGGACCAGATCACCAGAGAAGTCTGACGTTAAATCTGTTGCCTTCGAGTCGGAAACATAAAGACCAAACCTCCTCATAGTTTCTTCAATGATGTCAATGTCGTTTCGTCATATCTACCCAGAAGAGGTCTCTCTTCATCATAAATGATACGAAAGGTGCGCAGAGAAGTGTTTGTTGTCGGAAGTCGATTTCATCATTCAAGTTACATGTGGTGAAATGATTTTTGAAAATTCTAACATGAATCAAAAAGGAAGCAAGTAAAACTAATTCTAATTCTTTGAGAGAATCCACAGAGCTTTTCATATCTTGTACAAACTTTTTAAACAATGCTGAAATAAAAATTCCAAATTTTTCAGAAATAATTTTCGACAACAAAATAGTTTCATCTGGAAGTTTGAACGTGAAAATTTGTACTTCTGATTCTGTGCTTGGCGTAATATGAATTCCACATTCTTTAAACATTCTAATATAATCTTTAAATGAGAATGAAGTCAAACAGAGATGACTAATCTTAATAGAAGGCACTTGTAGCTTGCATGTGTATTCAACACCTTAAGAATTTCCAAATTTTTTTTCATGATATCAATATCATTTGCTTCTTGGATAATCTTTCGTTCGAAATAGAATCCAAAATTGAAAATACGAAATCGATTAAATTCTCGATCGATTTGCGCAAATTCATTTGATGTTCTAAGGATGACACAAAGTTAAAATAGACTTTTCTATTAATACTTTCATACAATTTTTCTAAATTGGCCTGAGAATTATTTTGTTGCAATTCTTTAAGGCCAACCAATACTCGACTTTCTGTACTTTGTTTGGAACGAGCTTCGCCTAAAGCTTTAATTTTCTGGACCTCTTGTTCGATTTTTTCATTTTCTTCTCTTCGTTTTTTAGCCTCGAGAGCTTTTCGCATTCTTTGATTTTTTTCTCTCGCTTTCTTAAAGTAGGCCTCATCATAAACTTCCTGAACTTCAGTTTCATTTCGTCTGCTCTCTGACCTTCTTGATTCATGAGAATTGTGCGAGGGTGTCCCCTTCTCCAAAATACTCACATCGTTGTCAAGGATGGAAGCGTTGGCTGGTGATGCTAAATTTTGAGATGACTCAATGTTAGTCTTCTTCTTTCCAATATTCAACGTTGAACGATTTTGAGAAGGAGTGGTTTGCTGTTGTTGTTGTTGTTGAATGGTTTTTCTTTTCGGAGGAGTTCTGAAGGAAGGAGGTTCATCATCCTCCCGATGATGATCAATTAATTTTTTCTTCTTTTTCTGATTGGTTGTTGCGAGGGAGGCAATCAATGCTTTCATGCTGCATCCTTCGTGTGGCTTCTCATCCTTCTTCTCATCCTCCTCAAATGTTAAATTTTGTGAAGTACGTTTTCGTTTCAACAACAAGGACTGTATGAGCGATGTAAGCGAAGGAGGAAAATCGTGATTGGAGTCAAGGTTGGCAGAAGATTTTGAGGGGATCATTTTGAGTGGTAGCTTTTCAATTTTTTGTAAGTGCGACCCGTTTGTTAACTGTTTTGGAGCGGAATGTAATTGTCATCTGTTGGTGAGAAGATGAGGTGACAGACAGTGGCATACAAACATACTTTTGGGAGTCTGGTCTCTTGGTTTAGATGGGTTTATTTGTTGGGTTATTGTAGTTTTGGTTTGGGTTGTTGTTTGGGTTTGGTTTTATTTTCCGTTATTTGTCGAACAAAAATCCATGAACAAAGGGCGAGACGAAACAAGAATGACAATTTTTGAAATTCCACCAACAACCTGAAAATATTTCAAAAAAAAATATTGAAACACAAGTGAGATGGTGAGAACTCGAAGAAAGGAATATTCTGCCGCAGCGAACAACGATGACGATGGATTGACTTCCAAAAAAAGGAAAATGAAATATAAAACATACGATGAAACGGACGAGGAAGATGATTTTTTTGCCGATGATTATCGCCCCGAAGAGGATGATATGATCGATTCCGAGATGGAAGAGTTGTCAGAAGAAGAGGTAAAGAAACTCAAACAAGCGAAAGTGAGAGTTCCGAAAAAGAAAGTTAAAAAGACCACAGAAGAACGATTAAAACAAGTGGTAGGAGAGGATAATTCCCAAATTATGGAAGAGGAAGCGGCAGACCAAGAGGACGACGATGGATCAGGAGGTTTAAACACCAAACGATTATTGGATGCTCGTTCTAAAAAAAGCAAAGAGAATGGATTGGGAACAAGGTGAGTACTACGATTTGATATATCATGTCTTTTTTCTAATGACAATCGTCGAATTATTGATCGCAAATGTTTTATTTCGAATATTGATTGTATTATTATTATTTCGAAATAACAATGATACAATCCTATTTCATGAAAAATCATGTGCAGGTTTCTTTTATTTACCGAAATTCGATTGTTATTTGCCAAGACATATCTTGCACTCGATTTTGGGATATTTACCTGCATTCCCTTACTATTTGACCATAAGACTGACAAGTCAACAGTGGCTGGACGATTTCGATAACGTCATTTGCCAAGAAGTGAAAGAATTGGATTTAATTCAAAGAAACGAAAATCCAGACGCCACCATTAAATACAGATATCCATGGTACAATTCACAAGTGTCCACAAGAATGAACAACGATTGTATCCGATTTCTCGGAGTTCTATTTCCAAATATTGAAAAGTTGATTTTGCCTTGTGTGAATGACAGACTCCGCGTACCTCAACGACTGCTCTCCAGCTTTCCCAAGCTTTCCCACGTTCAGATATTTTTTCTTCCTCCATTTAATTCATGGAGATCCTGTTACAGACAAGATGTGATTGATTGCCAAAATTTAGATTACACCTTTGTGCAAAATTTTGCCAAGATTCTACGGTTTAAATCAGATCAATCTAATCTAGTTTCAATTCCAAATAATGCAAAAAGCGAAGATGTCATTAATACTCTAAAATACTTTGTTGAAACTGAGAGATTCTCTTTGGACAAGACTGATATCATCACTTCTTTACATCCTACTAGCTTCACTCCTTCCTTAATTGATTACATTTTACAAGTACATGAAAAACAACAAAAGGCTGGATATGAACGTATCACTTTCACCCAAGAGAGAATCATGAATAGTTCATTATTTTTTGGTTTGCCTGATGCTATTATGGACTACATGTTAGAAACACAATTCTTCAAGAAATTAACATCTACTGAGAGTATCATTAGTTCAAGCTTTGTGAATAGCCTTCTGACTTCCATAACTTCATTGAAAATGGCCAAACTTTTATTTGAACAAGCAGAGTGGCCTTTTGTTTTTGATGAAGTCAAGAATCCATTATTGATTCTCATTGCAAATTCCAGAAATACTTCTGTCACCTCAGAATTAATCTCATTCTTTTGCAATTTGAAACCTGGCCTGATCTCTTTGGGTGACGAAAATGGAATCATTTCAAATGAAGTGGCTTCCTTGAACATTCTAAACTTGTACCTAAACATGCAAAAGGGTCTCAACGCTGATGATAGCATCATTGAAGCGCTTCATCGAAATGGAGCTGACATTACTTTTGTATGTCCAAACACAGGTAACAATTTTTTACATATTTGCCCTTATTCGGAATGTAAGTGGAACTTTTTGCAAAAAGTGTTGAATAACTCTCACAAAATTTAAATTTCTCGCTATTCCTTTATAGATTTGGCAGAGCATCTCCCAAAAGAATACTTTTTGGCCAAAAACAACAGAAACAACAATCCTTTTGAAAGACTTTTGAAACGTATTGAAGTAGATAATGACCTTACTCCAGACAAGGTTCGCCTAGCTATTCATGTATTCTGTAAAGCCTACAAAAAGTATGATATTTCTTTGGATGATTTGACGTTTGAAAATGACATGAGTTTGTTGCACAAAATCATATCGCTACAGAAATCAGTTGCCATTCCAGAACTTGTTATGGCTGATCTTAATTGTAACAAAACCGATAATCAAGGGAAGACTCCCCTCCATCTCTATATAGAAACTTGCCCCGAACATACAGGATTCGAAACTGCTGAAATACTAATTGACGCCATGGATGTTGAAGTTATTAACAAGGAAGATCATTCTGGAAAGTCACCTCTTTGTGCTTTATTAGAGCGGTACGCCCCTCTTCCTTTTGCAAGTTCATTCTCTTTTATGTATATTCGAGGCCCCACTGAAGATAACCACCTCAAAATAATAGAGTTATTACTTTCAAAAGGAGCTGACCTAAATCGATCAATTCAATCCTTGGATGGTGATGTATTTGTAAAGGGCAACATTGAACATAACAGAGTTATTGTTTTGGCATCTTTGCTTTACTCAGCTCCCATAATGGCGCCAACCACACTTGCCAATGTACTAAAGTATTGGGATAACCTTAATGAATTGTTGGTCACTCCTACCGAAGTGCAAGGAGTGAAAATTACTCCATTGTGCTTTATGCTCTCTTCATGGGTTTACAATAGTACAAAAGTTTTAGAGATGCAAAAGGTATTTGAAGGAGATCACTCAATTCTAGACAAGGAACTGCTCAAAAAGAGTATTATAACATTGAACGATCAACAAGTAGATCCCGTTTTGTATGTCCTATTTAATAATCCTTATATTGTTGACCACATATTCCAAGTTTTAAACGCCATACTATTCATACCTATTCAACCAAACAACACTGGGATGTGGTGGACTTATCAAGAATGTAACAGGAGCGATCTTTGCAAAGCATTGCTTGGATACCAATACGAAGACCTTCAATTTGGAACAATGAATATCCTCCATAGTGTTTGCAAAGCGAAAAGCGAAAACTTGTTGAGTCATTTTTTGACCATGTTGACCTCAAACGCTCCAGCACAGTGCTCAACACTATTAGCCTCTAAAACCTCCAAAGGTTATGATGTGCTGGACATTATTAGTCAATATGGAATTTACAATGCTGGAAAGATGTTAATCACTTATGCTGAACAATATTTATGTGACAAAATCAAATGGTCCAAACAGAACTTGAGATCAGCATTTAGCAACCACAAGTATGAGTTTTGTTTTTTGATATTGTGTGAAAATGATGAGTTGGTGGATGAATTTACTTTGGATGAATTAATGGAAATATGTATCGGATATACATTAGAAAGAACTGATTATGACAAGGATTTCCAAGTCTCAATTATTGATATGCTTGAATTTATTTTCAAAAGGACAAATAACGAACAAAAATCTAAACTGAATTGTCTTACAAAACCTTTCGCAATTACTAGATTCAAACCTAACCAAATACGAAGTGATAATTTCTCAAGAACCCTCTTGTGGAAAGCTGCACTTGTCAATGCAACCTCTGCATGTTCAAAAATTTCTCGATCAATAATGGAAAGAGAAACAATCAAACGTGACATATCTTGGTTGGAGCTTAGTTATTGGAAAGGATTGAATTACTTGGTGGCCTATATCATACAAAATGACACATCACACAGAAAGAGGAAACAAATTCTTACTAATAGCAACTTGAAGGCATCTACAGTAATTGAATGGATAACAAGAAAAATCCAACCTAAAGGTGCTACCATTTTACATTTACTGTGCGAAGATCTTCCATCAGGACGGAATTACATGCCATCAGTGAAGCATGAGTTGCTTGATGATTTGCTTAAATTCCTCGATAAAACAGACCAATTCGATGAAGTGGTAAATATTCAAGATGACAATGGAGAGAGCCCTCTTTTCTATGCCATTAGAAATCAATCGTGTTATGAAGAATTTTTGAGAGTTAGTGATCTCAAATTGAAAAACAAGGAGGGCAAAACTGTGGATCAATGTTATGATGTTACATTTTGCGCCAAGTATTTTGAAGAGAGCAGTGAAGCTGAAGAACAACAACGGATGAAAGATGAAACAGATGAGGAAAAGAAAGTGATAGAATCAAAAAAGAAATCAAAACGTTCAGTGACCTCCAAAAAACAAACCAAAAAGAAAAAGTAAGAGGTCAATAAAAGCATGTCTTTACGAAATTAAGAGTGACACACATTGGTTTATGTATCTCACCAAACCAACTTGGTGCACCAACAAATTCCCTTTGGACAAATTTTGACGATTTTTTAGAGATGTGAGCAGACATTTGGCTTCCATTTTAATCAAAAAAATGTCATCACTAACGGACAGCAGTGCTGATTCAACATCCAGTTCCTCTCGGGACAACACCTCTCGCCATTTTGTTGGTACCTATTGGACTCTACTCATTCATCAACTCAAAATTGCAAAACGCCAATTACTCGAAAATGAAAAATCTCGGAAATTGCTTCAACAAACAAAAGAATTCTATGCCTTTGCTCTTGAATTCTCCAAACAAGATTTAATTCAATTCCTACAGGATCGTATGAAAATTGTATTCTATTGTTTTATTGCTGGATTATTGATTGGATTTTTCCTTTTGAGTCATTCTCATGCCAACCTTTCACAACAACAAGAACCACACTCCTCCCATCCTCGCAATTCCTTTTCATTTCCATTGCCAGAAGGTTTCCATCCCGATACAACCTCTCAACATGATTTGAATTTACTGAGACACTTTTTTATGGTGTCATCTCGATCGTTATTGAGCTATGAGGGTGGAAACATTGATGCTTTTGATTCCAAAGTATTGAAAAGTTCAAATCTTGCCATTGCCACATCAGGAATGACCATCCAAAACTTGGATCCTACTTTGTTTTTCAAGAATTTTACTCTGAAAAGTAAACCGTTACTATTGGAGAAGGCATGTGCAGGATGGAAAGCAAAGAGAGGTTTGTAGAATTGAATTATTCATCTTAATGGAGGATCGAATGGTTCATGAATGTGAATTATTATTCTATCAATTAATTTTACAATTCTGATGCCTATCATGATTTGATGAAACGACAATCGTTGTGAAATAATATATTGTCAATGTTTTGAACACTAATGTTGATCATTCGATTGAACCATTAATATGGAAAATTTTAATTCATCATGAATTCCATCAAAATATGAACAACAGAATGGACCAATATACAGTATTTACAATCTAGTGTGGATGCATCCACTCAAATACTTGTTGAAAAAAGTAAGAACGACTTGATCTATGGAACAGTCGTTCCAGGACAAACCACTCAATTTGAAACCACTGTAGGTTGATCAAGATTTGAATCTTTTAAGCATTTCATGATGATGTGAAAAATTACTTCTGAATGAACCATCAAGAATTTTCAAACCTTTTGGAGCAAGTGGTGGTTGAAAAAGCATCGAGTGGCTCTTATTGAAAATATCAAGCATTTCAAACAGTTACAACATGACATTCCTAAATGGCCATTCCTTTTTTCGAATGGATTTTATTCACACATTTCCACACACTTGATCATGATGAGTCATGAATTGGCAACTCGATTGAAATTGAGTAAGTGAAATTACTTCTTGATGTGGTGATTCATCAATGCAAAAGACCTTTATGAAACATTGCATTGCCAATTCGTTGGATCTTCATCCTTCTTACTCTATGATCCATTTCAACTCGATTTGTAAGTTTTTTAAATTTCTTTCAAGAAATCTTCTCTCTTCTCATCAATGATGATGACGATTATTTCTCACCAATGATGATTATAATTATTTCAACAACATGATGGATCCAATAACTGCTGTTCAATGGAAAATTTCAACAAAATTCAAATGTTGAACTCAAATTTTCTAAAGACTCTACTCGAATCAACAAAATCCCCTTCACATTGAATTTAATCCTTATCATCCAGACTTTGAATTACATCCTCTCTCTAAATTTGCGAGATCATTACATGCAGAATTGAAAGAAGGAGATTGTCTTTTCATTCCATCCTTTTGGATTTATTCACACAAGACGCACTCACACAACCAACAGGATGATGCGACGAGTTTGAATATTGGAGTTCAATATCAATATTCACCAGTGAGTACAGCTCAACGTGTGGCTTTTGAATCGGTTCGACAATAAATATTCATTCACAAAGAAATTTCGAGAATAGTCTCAATTCTATGATAATCATTCCAAATCTGGTTTTATTGTTTTGGAATTTAAATTTTCTTTACAAAAAAAATGCAACAATTACAACGGAGGCTTCTCTCGGTGGCGGCGAGGGACAGAAATCTGAAACCGAAGCGATCATTAGATATAGCCATAAACAAGGGATCGTATGGGATGTAAGTACTACCAGTTTTTAATGTTTATAAATACAATTTATATGGATCGGAATTTTATAATTTGGATGGCATTCAATTGATGATGATTTTGAAAGAACGATAGAAGAACTTGATGCTCTCACAAGTAAAAGAGATATTTCGGAATTGGAATATACCTATGGAGGAGTTCAAAATATTGCAAAATCTCTCGGAACAGATATTGATCAAGGGATTAATAGTCTGCAAGTGGAAGAACGAAGAATTTATTTTGGAAAACATTTAAGCTCTCCAAGAAGAACAAATTCGTGGTTTAAATTATTTATTGATTGTTTTAGAGAGCCATTCATGACTACTTTCTTTATTTTGGCTATTTTGTCGATACTTTTTGGAGTAAGCCTTCCTGAAGATCAGTCAAAACGAAAAAAAGGCTGGATTGAAGGTGTCTCCCTGTTATTTGGATGTCTATTTGTTTGTTTGGCAAATAGTTTTAATGAATGGCAAAAGAAAAGAAAATGGAATGAAATTTACACGAAACAAGATAGCGAATACAGAGTGAATATAATACGAGATGGAAAACTTTGTTCCCTTTTAATGGAAGATAGTGTTGTGGGAGACATCATTCAAATTGAGCCAGGCGATTTTATTACATGTGATGGAATTATCATTGAGTGTTATAATTTAATTTGTGACGAAAATTTGTATTTTGGACAGCAAGAAATGACTCTCAAAGATGTGAAGCGAAATCCATTTATCACATCAGGGACATTTGTGACAAATGGATATGGAAAAATGCTCGTGACAAATGTTGGAGTTCATTCCAAATACTTTGAGCTTGGTTTAAACACGGCAAACGAAGAGGAGGAGGGAAATGATTCTGCATTGGAAAATCGATTAGCCAAAATTGCAAATAATATTTGGAAAATATCACTTGGATTTTCAATTGGAACATTTCTTGTTCTATTTGGAGGTTGGATGATTTTCAAACTTGTCTCAACAAATTCTGATTCCTGGGATCAATCTGATCTGATTACTTTTTTGAAAATTTTCACCCTTTGCTTTTCTGTGTTATTTGTATGCACTCCAGAAGGAATCTACAAAATTATTACCACATCACTTGCCTACTCTGTACGACGAACAATTAAGGATAATATACTATGCAGCTTTCATCAAACACCAGATGTTTGCGAAAGACTCGGTTACACGTCTCAATTAATTGTTGACAAGTCTGTCCTCACACAGAAAAAAATGGACGTTGTGAAAGTGATAATTGCTGGAGAGACCATTGAAATGAATGGAGAGAATCAAATTGATGAAACACTTTTGCAAATACTTTCAAGTGCAATTGCTGTCGATTCGAGAGCAACTCTCAAATATTCAGAAACACTTGAAAATTACGAAGGAATTGGAGATCACCTCGACTGCTCACTTTTACTCTTTTTACAACAAGAAGGAGTTGACTATGCACCCATTCGTAATTACTATCTCAAAGAGTACAAAATTGTTAAAATGTTCCCAATCGAGAAGGGTAAAATGACCACTATTGTCAACGATGGTAAATCTTACATTATTTTTACAAAAGGAGACTACGAAAGTATTATTCAGTCTTCTTCAGGTGAGCTACTGAAAGAAGGAATTGTGTCTCCATTGGATTCTACAAAAAAGAGTGAACTATTAGACAGAATGCACCATTATTCATCTGAAGGGTATATCGTCATTGCATTAGCATATCGAGAAATTGAAATTGATTGTTCAGATTGGACCTCTCTTTCTCCAGAATACGAAGAAGATTTTGTGATTATTTCCTTTATCATTTTAATTGATCCTATTAAGCCAGGAATTCAGGAGAGCATTGCAGAGTTGCACAAAGCAGGTATCAGTGTCAAGCTCGTCACCAGTGACAATATTCACATTGCAAGAAAAATAGCCACCGAATGTGGCATCGTAGGATCCAACACGTGTTGTGACGACGACACTGAAGGTTTAATGATGGAAGGTCCTTCATTAAGGCATTTAACCCAAGAAGATGTGACAAAAATTTCGAAAAATTTACGTGTCCTTGCCAAAGCGGATCCCTATGACAAGCTCCGACTCATCACCTCTTTACAACGAAGAGACGAATTTGTCACACTTTTTGCCTCTTCCTACAAGGATTTGACTGCCATTCAATGTGCCAATGTTGGAGCAGTTCAAGGAATAAGTGGTTCTCATTCTGCAAAAGCAAATTCAGATCTACTCATTACTGATGATAATCTCTCATCGTTGGTGAGAGCCATTGCATGGGGCAGAGCATTGTTTTACAATATTCAGAAATATCTCGTCTTTCATATGACCATTAATATTGTGGTGATGATTTTTACAGCTGCAACTTCACTCACTTCCTACCTTTTGACACCCACACAACTACCTCCCTTCAATCCAGTTCAACTGTTCTGGGTTCACATTATTATGGACATTTTTGCTGCCTTGTCATTGGCCTCGGATCCACCACCAAGTGAAATAATGTCGCAACTTCCCACGAAACCAAAACATAGTATTGTCACCAAGAATATGAAACTTCACATTATTGGACAAATTATTTATCAATTTGTTGCTTTGTTGGTGTTACACTTTGCTGGTCGATACATGTGTATTCATGACCAACAAGCGAACAAGATTTGTCTGTGTGATCCAATGCCTCCTTCTCCGAATCAAAGCAATAGTAATATTACTACCATTAGCATTACACAAGTGAGTGACACCATTGTATTCAATGCTTTTGTATTTTGTCAAATATTCAATCAATTCAATTGCAGAAGAATTAATAATGAGTGGAATCTGTTTAAAAGTATTCACAAATCACTCATGTTTGTGGGTCTTTTCGCACTCACTGTGAGCTTTCAAGTATTGTTGGTACAAGTTGGACTTGCAAGTTTAGTACCCTTGACATGGTATCAATGGTTGGTGAGTGTTAGCGTTGGCATGTTGTGCATTCCTGTTGGATATCTATTGAGATTCCTCAGCAAAAACATTCTAAGCAGTAACAAATTTAAAAGAGGAATGAACAAAATTAGAAATCGTGTGATAGGAATTCATCACTAGTAGTCCACTCTAGAAATGTCGTTTTGGTTTTCTTTTGCAACCCGTCATATGCGCCTGGCAGGCACAGTTGTTGCTGGTTTAAAGGTGAGCTAAAAGATCACACAGACAAGCTGTGATGGTTGTAGTTCAAAATTGTGCATGCATAAATAAAAGGAAATAGCAAATCTTGAAAGGAATCATTCTGGCTGCTTAATTCAAAATATTGAACTCGTGTGCAAATTCCTGTAAGACGTGGACACATATTTTCCCAAAAAATCATAAATTTCCTTCCTGGTGACTTTGTGTGGAAGATCTGCTTTCAGTCCTAACAATATAATACATGAATCAATTGATTCTAAATATTCACAAACATTATCGGTCCCATTTTGTGATTTTCAACCTTCAATCATGGATGTTGTTTCTTCAAAGGGTGAATGATCGCTTAAATCAAAGCAAAAGAAATAACTTCCGTGTACTGCAATAAAGTTCATAATAAGTGGTCTTAACCTTAAATTTCCCGTCGTATCCCACAACTTTATGTGATATTGTTGTTTTTCAGAGTAATATATAAATTTGCTCGTACTCTCAATTCCAACATAATGTTCATTACCCTCAAACGGGTAATCATTGAACGCTTTTTTAGCGAGAACACTTTTACCTCATCCGTGAGGGCCTGCAAGTATGAATTTTAACAAAACTGTGGAATTTTCTCGACTCCCTGCTGATAAATATTTGAATGAGTTCACAATTTTTGGCTTGAATCGTTTGTGAATAAACAATGAATTCTTTCGTTCATCATTTTCGTACACCTGTGGCAAGAATAACATGGAACAATCATTTGAAACATTATTCCACAATTGTGGAAATTGAATCCAATACTGATAAAAGTTTTTCGAGACTCTTCCCAATTGTAGTAGACATTCCAAAGGTAAAAATTGTAAAATGTACAAGACAATCTCATCAGGTAAATAAAACACTCAAATTCTGAAAATTATACACCTTTTCTTTTTCGGGAATCATCATTTTCTCATCATGATCCTGTAAAACCGACTTTGGTTGATAAACTAACGGATAATTCATTGAAAATAAACAACAAATAATTTTGTTTGTATTCAAAGTGCTACAATCACTACCGCCACTATTTTTACTCAGAGGGTTCAGTTGGTCGGAAATCAAATAAGAGTCTCCTTTTGGCGTTTTCATGTTATTTCCCATTTTTTTTAAAAGAAAATTCAGTGTTGTATGATGAGTTCATTCTTACTTTATCAATCATTGGATCCAAATTTCGATGATGATCTTCAAGCTTATTTCGTTCTTTAATCTTTCCTTTGTCTGTTTGATGAATTTATTGATTAAATTAACTTCGGATTAAATTTGAAAAACTAAAAAAAAATGCACCACAGCATCTCTCTCACCACCAACTTTGTGAAAAATTTCTTTCCTGGCAATGGACTGACGAGTCAGCAACAGACAAGCAGCCATGATGCTCAAACAGCCTCGTCCGTACCGGAACAAATTGCCCACGTACCTCTCGAGGAACAACAACAACAACAGAATATTTCAAACTCCTCAGTGATGAATCATCAGCAACAAAAGGCTATTGATGTTGAGCCATCATCATCATCCAACACTCTCGAGTCGAACAATAATGCATCGGAGAGAGTTCCTACTGCTGAAACTACACAAGTATCATCACCTGCAAATTCACGAAGCGTGGAACAAACTCCAGAAGTAGTGGAGAACGTAAAGCCTATTTCTGCAGAGGAATTTAGATTGGTCAAGTTTAAATATGATCAATTGAAGGTAAGCCTTTTTGTTAAAGAACGTTGTTAACGATAACGATGTATCATCATCATTGTTATTTTCGTTGGATGTTTTCTTGTTTCGATGGATCTTATGATGATGAAATTTAACAAATTTGGACAAAATACCACCACGACAACAACATTCGGACCTCAACATAGAATCAACAAAACAGACTTTTGGAGCATTTACAAGATGCCAGAGTTGAACACTTACAAGAAGAAATAGCAAAACTCGACAAATTAATTCCACATCATCGCACCATTCAATCCTACGGTTGTACAGCAGAAAAATCTGCTTTGGTTCAATGCCTTAAGAATAATGGTAATGTGCCATATGGAACTCTTAATTGTAGCAATTTATTGAACGAGTTCTCCAAATGTGCCCAAGAAAAACGCAGAACATTTTTGGGAAATCATGATCTCTAAATTAACGTCATTATAGGAAGTACCATCTGTATGAAATTAAAATGCGGCGCAAGGAGCCATGACACATTTTATTTTGTAAAGAAATCTATATCCTCAAGTGTTGGTTTGAGTAAAGCAAAAACATATTTTCAAAGATTAAGGTCACATGAGCATTGGAGATCTATCTCTATGAATTAATTCAAATAAATTTAATTCCATGGCGAATTATTCGGGTAATGCATACATGGGCCATATATTATTTGAGCCATAAGTTATTGAAGAATATTCACAGGTAAAGCGTTTGGTTTGGAATTCAAATATTCTGACCATTTGTGAACAAGAGAGTTGTCCAAGGTGGCAGCCTGGCTGAACTTGTTAGATTGTTCAAACAATGTGGTGGCCATTCCAAAATCTTTAGTTACCAGTGCGAGCATAGTTAGTGATTGTCTGTATATGACTTGTTCATCTTCAGAAGCTGATTCCATCTTGGTGTTGATGTCATTTCGAATGTCGTCCAACTTTTCAGGGAAATATTTCGAACAAAAGATGATGAGGTGCGTCAACGTGCTTGGATCGAGTACTGAGGCCCTACGATAACTCTGTTCAATAATGTTTAGAGCCTCTTGACGTGTCAATTCATGATCCTGCTCATCCTGTGGATTAGAGGTTGTAACTTCTTCCTCTGTTGTAGCAGGCCGTAATAAATGATTATTGTAGTGAGGTGAGGTAGTTGTAAAGGTATCCAATTTCTTTTCTCCGACGGATCCAAGTCTCACATACAGTCGAGCAAGATCAATATCATCCTCGTGTGTCTTGCTTGACGAGTGTATATTATCTGTTTTAAAGAAGTATCTATGATCATCCAAATAGGTCAACGCATCCAATCCATATTTAATATGGCCATGTTCATAGCAGAGCAGCAATCTCTTGTAGGAAGATAAAGAATCGATGGAACAAGCTTCTTTTGTGTATCCAAAAGCACACAAGAAGTCAGCTAAATAGTCATGGATTTCTTGGGCAATGAATGGTATCCATTCCATGGCCTTCTTTGTTAATCCAGCAGCAACCAACATTCTAAATTTGATACTTGGAGTAATAGAGATATTGTTAATGCTGTAAATTTGTGATAAATAATCCAATACATAGAGATTGTCTCCAACAACATCCATAAATGAAATAACACCTTTGGGTTTTGGTAATGGAATTGGATCTAAACTATTTTGCTCGTCGAGAAGGGTTTTTTGGGAAATTTGTGAATAAATGGCAACGTCTAGACTTGCTAATACAGTAGTAAATATTTTTCCACTTGTGACGAAAACTGCCTTAATATCATGTTCTGTGTTTACAAATAATGTAGAATTCCACCAAAAAGCGTTTTGAATTTTTTCTTCAACATAGTACTCCATCTTGAAAATTGGATGACATGAAAAGATAGCGTAAGAGTCTGAATAGGCCATTAAACATTTTCCAGAGAGTGGGTCCCAAGCAACAAACGAAGGTTTTGGTAGATAGGGTTCAGGTGATTCTTGTCCAAAAGCATCAGAACCCTCCCATGTAAACAATTGGTAACCGTTCTCATCAGGATAATTCGTATATCTTACACCTAACAACAATCCACCGAAAATTTCATCGATACTACCGCCAAATGTTGGGATACTATCATGAACAAGCTTGACACTAAGAAGAAAGTTAATATGAAAAATCTGCTGAATACGTTTCACCTACCTTGAATTTTCAATTTTCTTAATCGAGACCTTTTTGGTTGTAAATCCTCCTTTTAGAATGGCAAACGTATCACTAGAGGAGCTCCAAACAATGTGTGAGCAGTCTCTCTCAGATGCAACAATTTTCCAGGCATCCTTACCAAAAATGTCATAAATGAAATACTCTCGTTCACTCTCCACTAATACTGAAACATATCTTCCACTGTAACTCACGTCTAATTTAACATTTGTTAATTTTCCCAAGTTATGTACAGGTTTTTCGTTTGAAAGATCCTTCTTGCCATCAGAACTATTTCGGAAAGATTTTGTGATATTCAAAATAATAATTCAAAAAGTACTTACTTGGTTTCAATAAATCTCTGATAAATTGTTTTTTCTCTCACATACAAGACAAATTTTCTTTTGTCTTCATGAACCTCAATGTTAAAAAGAGATGGGTCCAAGGGTGGCGAAGTTTGTTCAATGAGAGGGGCGCTAAATAATTCTGGTCTGAAAAATCCAGAGCAAACGGGAGGTTTTCTATTAAAATCCATTTTCGTCATCAATAATCCAAAACTGGTTCCCAAGAAAATTATATCATGGTTCAGTGGATGTTGATGGATGGTATAGAACTTGGCATCCTTGTGATGAGAGGACGCAAGAGCCTCCACGTCCACAATGGACTTGTCAAAAATGACGGGATCTGTGTTCAAAGCGGCTGACATTCTGAAAAGACTTCTCTTTTGTTTCTTATTTTCTAACATTAGAAGCCACGAAGGATTGCAGTTGCATGTTGTGACCATCGCCAAGTTTTTCATTGGTACTTTTGTTTTGGTTTGTTTGATGATCTTACCAGAGTTTAGACCTCTCAATGCAATTGTCTTATCATTACCAGCAGTTATTAAATATCCAGTATGAGGATCTAGAATAATGCTTGAAATGCCCTGCTGACATTTTTGTTCTGTATATTCAGCTTTATCATTGTCCAAGTTCCAAAGTGATAAATGTCCGTCGGTAGAGCAAGTAACAAGTCCAGGATACTTGCTAAAAGGGTCCTCCTTGGGAACCGTCAAAATATGTGACACACTTTTTGGATGAGCATTAATCACCTTGTTGAGTACTCTCCTTTGTTGAAAATCCCAGAATCTAACAGATCCATCGCTGCACCCTATTGCTATAACAGGTTGCCGATATAAAAAGTCAAAGCAAGTAATGGTCTTATTGTCCAATTGACTCGACTTGACATCATCAAAAAAGAATAGCAGAGAGCTCACCTCATCATATCTCAACATGATGATTCTAGAATCTGTTTGAAGAACCAAACATTTTGGAGGTCGATCATTTACAAAATTTCCACCAATAACATTTCCATTCACTCCGACCATTCTGGACCTATCCTCGTCATCATCGATTGTTCGGGTTGATGTTGGTATCTGTACTTGTTGTTGTTGATTAGAGTCAGCTCCCATCATGGAATTTAATTGTCTGAGCTTCCAATACTGAACGTGTTCATCATAGAATCTCACCGATTTCAAATCTCCAAACTTTTCATTCTTTGTAAATAATTCCTCATCGTACCAATACGGAAGTTGTACGTTTTTAAAATTCTTATCAAGAGTCCGATATAAATTTGTTTCCTCCTTCTTACTCTCAAACATTGAATTCAGCGAAAAGGTGTGCAACAAATCATTTTGAACGTAATCAAATAAATAGACTGAGCCTCTCTTATCTGCAAAAACCACCCAAGACTTGACCGGATGTACATCACAATAATGTACTTTCATATTAGAGAAGAAACTTTGTCCCTGATTTAAAACTTCAATCACGGGAGGCTCATTCGGATCAAGAGCTCGAACTTGTTCGGGTGTGAGTTTTTGCAACTGTGGAGCCATTTTTTTGAGTGGTGAACACAGATGATTTGTTTATAATGGGAACAATTTTAATAAGGAGGACAACAATATTTGATGGTTCATCCACTCATGCAACTGTTGTTGCAATTCTTCTTGTTGTTGTTACGTTTGGATTTCATGAAACTTTGAGGATGGATCACCCACCTTTTGGTTTGACCGCTGGTTAATCATATTGTTAATAACAGATCAAAACTGGTCAAGTTATGTGAATGACAGCCAAATTCCTTGTTCATCTGCCCTCACCTGTCAAACTCAAAACCATTCACCATCAAAAAATTGACACCACAGAGCGATCCTTGAGACAAGCAGGTCCTCATCATCATCTTTGTAAAATCACCCAATCTTCATTAAATCCTTCTTCTAACACATCCAAACAAACAAACACAACATCATCATGTTTGGTTCCAAAAGGAAGGAATCCTCCTCCAAGAGTGCTCCATCTCTCACTCCCCAACAACAACTTTCCATCCAATCGGGTGCTTCCAACAGCAATGTTTCCTCTCCTCTCTCTTCCTCTCCACAAGTCTCTTCAAGTGGTAGTGGTGGTGCTGCTGCTACTGCGAGTATGTTCTCATTGCCTTTGAATGGTGGTCTTGTTGGACAGCAACAACAACAACAACAACACTTACCCACGGCACAACAATCCATTGCAGCACTTCAGAAGGAACAACAAGATCGATTGCAACACATGCTCTCTTCCATGGGAGAGGATGAAGTGAACCAGGAATTTGCAGACATGTTACTCGAGATGGGTGTTCCTGAAAATATTAGGAGAAAACAATTAACGACCAAGAATGTACAGGAAAAATTGAGGTAAGTCATGATGTGTTGTTTTCACAAGAATCACCATATCTCTTCATATTGACTCGTCATATTGATTTACATTTAAATATATATATTGAATATTGAATGAATGGGTGTTGAATGAATTTCAATATGTGAACTGTTGAATGGTAATGTCTGTTCATACGTTGATCATCATTCACGACTTTTGGAACGATCACACAACCACCTTGTTGTGAAATCATCCTTTGCATATCATCATTGCTGACACTCCTCCTCACTTCACACACCATAGACGGTTGTATCACTTTAAATATCACTCCACAAATAACAATGAAGAGCAACAACAAGATCAAGACACTCCTTCAATTCTTCTCTCTGCTTGGGAAAAACATGATTATGACATTATGAGATTGGCTCGTATTCGTGAACTCTTGTTGGATAAACCAATTCGATGGGTCAATCAATTCATCATGCAAGGAGGTATCAAACAATTAATTCATTGTCTCAACTCTACCAATATTCTCTCAAGAAAAGGTGAACGAGATGAATTGATGGATATGGAAAATGTAACTGCTGTAGAGAATGAACCAGAAAGTGCTGACGCTTACTCAGATGCAGGTGGTGAATATGGCACATCGCATTTAATATCAAACATGTCACATTCCAATCTTTCATCCTACAATAATCAGGACCAAACGTCGACACCAACTAATTTGGTGGATCAAGACAGCCCACAACCATCAACCAATCAAGTAGCCACAGTTGAAGATCTTGAAAAACAATCTCTCTGTATTGAAGCATTGAAAGCACTTCTCAATACCAATGTTGGTATCGAGGAATTTCTTGCAGAAAAAGACGCCATGAAAAATTTAGTGTTAATTCTCGATACACCCAATATTGATGCAGCATGTGACATTTTACAAATTTTAACAGTCCTGGCAAGTTGGGCAAGTCATGGTTTTAGTTTGGTTGTGAGCGCTTTGAGTCACTACAGACTTGTGAAAAGAGAAAAGGCAAGATTTTACGATATTATTAATCGTATGAAAACGACCAAGAATTTGAAATATTCCTTCTTTGCCTTACTCTTGTTTACCACATTACTTGAAAAATCACCTGATGAAGGTACAAAATCACTCTTCAAGAAGGAATTTAGAAACCTTAAAGTTGGAGAAGCAACTGCCGAATTGAAAAAGGAAGTTTTGGAAAGATCGATCGAGTCCATGAATGACCCAGAAGCTCAACAGCTCTTATACGACTTGAATATTCAAATTGAACTCTTCGATGAAGATGTGAGTATTTGTCAACCCGAATTCTTAGAGAATGATCTCTCCGACTCGGTCAATGTTGTGAAATTATTGAAACAAAAATTGAGTAGCGCCGAAGATGAAACTCTCAGAAACATGCTCCACGAATTACTCACTGAAATGATCATTTACAACTCAATTTCAATTGATAAGAGTCAGACGGAACAACAAGTGGCTGAAAATTGGAGTAAGATTCGAAAACTTGTCGATCAAGGTTTGGCACCCAAACGAGCTGAAGAAAATTCTAAAATTACCACTGAGAAGGAGAAACAACTCTCAGACAGAGTCAAGACCCAACAATTCCAAATTAACAACTTGCAGTCAGAACGTGATTCCCTTCTTCAAGAATATGAACAGAAAATTGAACAAGCGATCAAGCGTATGGAAGAGTACGAAAAGAAAATTTCCGGATTTGAGGAAGAAAAAGCTCAATATTTGAAGGAAATTGAAGAAAAGATTTCCACTGTTAAGAATGAATTATCCACCGTGGAGAAGGAACGTGACAGCAAGCAAGAAACTCTAAAGTCGATCAAGAATGAACTTGTGAAAATCAATGAAGAAATTGAGACCATCAAGAATGAAGTCTTCTCACGAAAAACCAACAATGAACAATTCCAAAATGCTAAAAAGATTTTAGACGATAAGAAGAAACACTACTCACAAGAAGAGGAGCGAGTTGAAAAGTTGATTGCATCGACCCAACAAAAAATTGAAAAACTCAAGAAACAAGAAAAGCAATTAACAGAAGAACGTGACGAATTGAAAAAGAATCCACCCACAATGGAGGATCCAACCTTAGCATCTACAACAACTACCACTCACACGAATATTCCACCACCTCCACCAGGTATGGGTAATGTTCCTCCACCACCTCCTGGCATGGGTGGCAATATTCCACCACCACCACCAGGTATGGGTGGCCAAGATGCTTTTGTTCCTCCTCCTATTGGTTTTGGAAATGTTCCTCCACCACCTCCTGGCATGGGTGGTGTGCCTCCTCCACCAGGTATGGATGGTGTTCCTCCTCCTCCTCTAGGCTCAGATTCAGGATTTGTCCCACCACCACCTCCTGGCATGGGTGGCAGTATTCCACCACCTCCTCCTGGCATGGGTGGTGTGCCTCCTCCACCAGGAATGGGTGGCGTTCCCCCTCCACCTCCTGGTATGGGCGGTGGCGTTCCCCCTCCACCAGGAATGGGTGGTGTGCCTCCTCCACCAGGTGGTGGTATTCCAATACCTCCAGGTATGAGTGGTGGTGTTCCAATGCCACCAGGTTTCGTTCCAGGTGTGCCAGGTGTTCCCATGATGGGTCGTGGTAAGCCAGCCGACATGTTACCCTCTCTCCCAAGTAAGGCTCCAAAAGAAACCACTCGTCAAGTTCACTTTGATGCTATCAATAAGAACAATCTCTCTAAAACTATCTTTATTAAGAAGAATATTGCACAAGAAACCAATGAAATTATTGAAATGTTTGATTTGGATGATATTACATCGGCCTTCTCCACACAAAAGAAAGACACTGGTGACAAATCCGATCAGTTACCAAAAGAAAAGAAGAAGGAAGTCAAATCATTGCTGGATCCAAAACGTAGTTATGCAGTCTCACTTCAATTAGGTTCCATTCGAGGTGTTTCCTATGAACAACTTCGAAAGGCCATTATAGAGATGGATGAAAGTGTTGTAACAGCCGATAATATTTTGACCATTAAGCAAATTGCTCCAGAACAAGAAGAATGTGATACTGTGATGGGTTACGATGGTCCCATGGATGAGTTGGCTGAACCTGACAAGTTCTTCCGTGTGATGAATGGCATTCCGAATCTCATTGGACGATTAGATTCTTGGTCCTTTAAACTCCGTTTTCCAGAAATGGTTTCTAAAATTCGTCCAGATATTGAAAACATGATACTAGGATGTAAAGAGGCAAGAGAAAGTGAAAAATTTATGGAAGTGTTAGCAGTGATTCTGACTTTTGGTAACTTTTTGAACGGACAACAAAAGAGAAAAGTATCCTATGGTTTCAAATTGAAATCACTCCAGAAATTAGCAGATACTAAATCAGGTGATGGTAAAACGAGCTTGTTGCAATATATTGTAGATTTCATTGCAGAAAAGAAGAAACATTTGATGGATTTTGATACTCAGTTAACACATATTCAACCTGCCACACGTGTCTTGGTTGGAAGTATTGATGATGATATTAGTGAATTGAAAAAGTGTCATTCACAACTTGTTCAACAAATTGAAAAAGCAAGAAATAATCCATTCGAAGGGGACATGTTCATTGAAAAGATGGAAGAATTTGAAAAGAAGGTCGTTGGTGCTCTTGAAATAATTGAAGAAAAGTTCAAAGCCATGAAGGCTGAAATTGATGAACTTGCCAAAGCATTTGACGAGAGAAGTGAAGATTTACAGAAAGAACCTGACAAGTTCTTGGCACTCATTGATCAATTCATTCAACAATTCAAACAAGCAAATGAAAAGAATGAACAAGCCAAGAAGGCAGAAGAAAAGAAAAAGAAAGCTGAAGAAGAAAAGCTCAAGAAGGAAGCTGCCAAACAGCAATTGAAGATCAATGCTGCCAAACAGAAATTGGACACTCTTAAAAACAAATCTACACTTGCAGAAGGTCGAGGAGCCATGGATGACAAGATGCAACAACTCAAATCTGCAGCAGCTACACGACTTGGTGTCACCCTTAAGAGAGGTGGTGTTCGAGGAGGTGGCAATGACGATTTAGAAGGAGGTGGCAATGTCGATAGCAGTTCTCTGAATAGTGCTCTATTAGGTCTCAGAAAGTAATGTATGACGATAACACTTAAACACTTTTATTTAATTGTTTGTTCTCATAAACCGTGGAATGATTTTCTCGATTCATCTAGATTGAAATTCGAAACTATCAACAACAATTTCAAATCGTGTGAGCATTCATCGGAGACTGTTTCAATGAATGCATGAGAAATGCAGTTCATGTCTTCTCTTTTTCTTCTGCACGTTCAATCAGAGAATGAAACAACAGCAAAATCAGAACGAAAAAAAACAACAAAAAAAATGCCCAATGATGACGAAGTGGTAAAATTCCGTGACTATGATTACCGATCAAATTCGAATGTGGTCTTAACAACAAAGAGAAAGAAGAGACCACAGAATGAAGAACCAACAGGAGAGCCGGAAACATTGGCCGGAAGGGAATTACAAAAGATGGGTTCTCGAGTTGAGTTTTCAAAACCTCCTTCATCAAAACTTGCATCAAAAAAGAAAAAGGTGAAAATAGTAGCATCATCATCAGCAAAGAAAAAGAAATCAATCCTGGATATTGATATTGATCAAGGACACTATAATCCAAAAACAGACGAAACTAGAGTGGCGTACGAGTTAATTTTGGGCCATATCCAGCCATACCTAGGAGACGTCGATCATGAAACTCTGCGCGGAGCAGTAGATGAGATTCTAACAATATTTAATGATGAATCTCTTTCGGATCGTCAAAAACAAGAGGAAATTACTCAAATCTTAACATCAATTCCCGATGATGAATACGCTAAACTTTTGCAACTTTCGAAACGTATCACTGACTTTTCAGTGAGTGAAATCAATGAAGAAGGAGCTGATAAATTAGATGAAGAAGGTATTGCAATTGTGTCTTCCGATGAAGAGGAAGAAGATGATACTGAGGGTATTAAAGACCAACTTGTTGACTATGTCGTATCGTCCGATGAAGAGGAAGAACCACTTGATGAACAGCCAACTATTGTTGAGTCAGCTGTATCACGAATGGAGGATGAAGAAGACAAAGATGCTGTCGACATTCATTCCATTGATGCATACTGGCTTCAAAGAGAATTGTCTCACTACTACAGCGATTCTAACGAAGCACAGAAATTATCTAATGATGTCTTTGAAATATTGGCAGGCTCAGATGACGAGCATGAAATCGAAAATCAACTAGTTCAAGTTTTAGAATATGACAAAATTGATTTGGTTCAAAAATTGATGAAAAATCGATTAAGAATTGTCTATTGTATCAAACTTCAAAAAGTCTCCAGTGAAGAAGAACGATCACGAATTGAGAAGGAAATGATGACAAATGATACTCTTATCTCCATTTTGGAAAAGTTGAAAGGAACAAAGATATCTTCAGTAGCCTCCAGCAAAAAAGCAGCCACTTCCGCTCGAACGGCAATGGATGTCGACACTGACACTGAATACAAATGGAAAGGAGAACGTATCATTAATTTGGAGAGTTTGGCATTTGAAGAAGGTAACCATTTGATGAGCAATAAGGACTTTACCCTGCCAAACACTGCCGTGACTGCTCAACTCAAGGGTTACGAACAAATTTCCATCCCATATGCTGCTCCTACCACAAAGAGTGCCAATAGAGTGGATAAATTAATTGAAATTAAGTCACTACCAGAATGGACTCATCCTGCTTTCCCAAATATGGTCACTCTCAATGCAGTGCAAAGCAGAATTTTCAACTCTGCATTTTACTCACCAGAAAATTTGTTAATCTGTGCTCCTACAGGTGCTGGTAAGACAGTAGTTGCTGTTTTAACAATGCTTCATGAAATTGGACTGCACATGACTGAAAGCTTTGATGCATTGCAAGACAAAGATTTCAAGATGGTTTATATTGCTCCCATGAAAGCTCTCGTACAAGAAGTTGTTGGAAATTTAACAGAACGATTAAGTTCTTACGGTATTACTGTTCAAGAGTTAACTGGTGACAGAAATATGACCAAACAACAGATCGATGAAACTCAAATCATTGTCACAACACCTGAAAAATGGGATATTGTGACAAGAAAGTCAGGAGATAGAACCTACGTTGAAAAGGTAAAATTAATCATCATTGATGAAATTCACTTATTGCATGACGAGAGAGGCCCAGTCTTGGAATCGATAGTAGCTCGTACCATTCGCCAACAAGAAGCCACCAGACAAATGATTAGGTTAGTTGGTTTGAGCGCTACTCTTCCAAACTATAAGGATGTTGCCACATTCTTGAGAGTGAAGCCTGAAAATTTATTTTATTTCGACAGCAGTTTCAGACCTTGTCCTCTTGATCAACAGTACATTGGAGTTACTGAAAAGAAACCATTCAAAAGACACAAGTTAATGAACGAGATTGTGTACAATAAGGTGGTCGAAATTGCTGGCAAGCATCAAATTATTGTTTTTGTGCACTCTCGTAAAGATACCTACAAGACTGCTAAAGCACTGCGAGATATGGCCATTGAGAACGATACCATCAGCAAGTTTGTCAAGCAAGGAACTGCAACCTATGAAATTTTGAAAGAAGCAACCAAAAATGACGCACAAGGTACAGAACTTAAAGAGTTATTACCTTATGGTATTGGCATTCACCACGCTGGTATGTCGAGAAATGATCGTACTCTTGTTGAGGACTTGTTTGACGATGAACGTCTCCAAGTTTTGGTCAGTACAGCCACATTGGCTTGGGGTGTCAACCTTCCTGCTCGAAGAGTTATTATCAAAGGTACACAAGTGTACAGTCCAGAGAAGGGAGATTGGACAGAATTAAGTGCTTTGGATGTTATGCAAATGATTGGTCGTGCTGGTAGATATCCTCGTGACAACAGAGGTGAGGGTATTATTATTACTACTCAATCTCACTTGCAGTACTATCTCGCCTTACTGAACCAACAACTTCCAATAGAAAGTCAGTTTATTAAGAGCCTCCCTGATAATCTTAATGCTGAAATCGTTCTGGGAACGGTTCAAAACATTGATGAGGCAGTGATGTGGCTTGGTTACACGTATCTGCATGTAAGAATGTTACGAAACCCTCTACTTTATGGAATCACCAAGGAAGATGCGGAACACGACAAGAATCTATTGCAGTGGAGAAGAGGTTTGATATATTCTGCTGCTCTTTCTCTGGAGAAGAATGGCCTCATTAAATTCGACAAGAGATCTGGAGAATTCCAAGCGACTGATCTTGGTAGAGTGGCAAGTCATTACTATGTAACTCACAAATCCATTGCCACTTTCAACAGCAATTTAAAACCAAATTTGAGCGATATTGAATTATTTAGACTTTTTTCTCTATCTGATGAATTTTCTCACATGACCGTTCGTCAGGAAGAAAAGCTCGAATTATCCAAACTCACCCAAAGCGTTCCAGTACCCATTAAGGAAGCACCAGATGATCCCTCTGCAAAAGTTAACGTTTTATTGCAGGCCTACATTTCGAGACTTCATTTAACTGGATTCGCTCTAGTTGCTGATATGACTTATATTACACAAAGTGCTGCTCGTATTGCACGTGCTCTCTTTGAAATTATTCTAAATCGAGGTTGGGCTCAACTCACTCACAAAGTACTAAATCTGGCCAAAATGATTGAGCATAGAATGTGGTACACTCAAACTCCACTAAGACAATTCCCTAAAATCGAACAAACCATTCTCAAACAACTAGAAGGAAAGAATACTCTCTGGGAAAGACTTTATGACTATACACCAGCAGAATTAGGAAGATTGGTACATCACACACAACGAGGAAAAGATCTTTACAAGTATATCCATCAATTCCCCCGTTTAGATCTTACTGCCAGTGTCCAACCCATTACTCCAAGCACTTTGAGAGTTGATTTAACAATATCTCCAGACTTCCAGTACAATGTTGATATTCATGGTGCAGCTCAAATGTTCTGGATTATTGTTGAAGATGTTGACGGAGAGGTCATTTTGCATCATGAACCATTCATTCTAAAGAAAAAAGTATGCAGAGGATGACCATTATGTTAGTTTCACAGTACCACTCTACGAGCCACTTCCACCTCACTATTTTATTAAGATTGTTTCCGATAGATGGTTACACTCTGAGCAAACATTACCAATTTCTTTCAGACATTTGATCCTACCACAAAAAGCTCCTCCAACAACAGAATTATTAGATTTACCACCGCTCGAGTTGTCAGCACTTAAAAACGAAGCATACGAAAAGTTATTGGGCCAAGTTATCACAAAATTCAACCCAATTCAAACACAAGTGTTCAGATCTGTGTATCAAAGTGATGACAGTGTTCTCATTGCGGCACCTGGAGGTAGTGGCAAATCGTTATGTGCTGTTTTGGCAATAATGAAACTATTTGCTGATGATGCATCAGCCAAATGCATTTATATTGCTCCTATTGAATCTGTCGCTGCTAAGAAACGGAAAAAGTGGCTTTCCTTTTTTGAAAAGATTGGAAAGACTGTGGTAACCTTAACTGGAAATTTAGCCAAGGACTTGGTGAGCATGGAGAATGGTGATATCATTGTCTCTACTCCCGAAGTGTTTGACATGTTTTCTAGAAAATGGAAGACAAGAAAGTCCTTGTCCAGTGTTAAGCTTGTTGTTGCAGACGAGCTTCACATGATTGGAGGCGAGGTTGGACCAATTCTTGAAGTAGTAATTTCTCGTGTGCGCTACATGTCCGAACAACTTCAAAGTAATATTAGAATTCTTGGTTTGAGCGCTTCTGTGTTAAATGCCAAAGATATCGGTGACTGGATTGGAGCCAAGAAAGGCAATGTCTTTAACTTCCACCCAAGATATAGAAGCATTCCTTTGGAAATTAATATTCAAGGTTTTACTCAAAGTACTTACAATGCCATGCAAATTGCCATGATTAGACCCACCTACAAAGCCATCAAGCAAAAGTCAGGTGGCAAACCAACCATTGTCTTTACCTCCTCAGCAAGACAAGCCACTTTCATTTGTTCTGAACTTGTTGTCAATCTTACCAACGACACAAACGAGAAGGAATTTGTCGGTGATGCCGCTGCTATTGATGCTGTGATTGGACATGTAGAAAGTGCTAATTTGCGTGAATTTTTACCTTACGGAATTGCATTCTATCATGAAACGGTTTCTGATACAGACAAATCAATCGTGGAAAATCTCTACAATTCTGGTGCAGTGAAAGTTCTTGTTGTGACATATTCAATGTGCTGGGGTATGGCAATGAAATCTAAATTATTAATCATTATGGGAACGGAATATTACAATGGAAAAGAACATAGATATGCTGACTACTCTATCATTGATATGGTACAAATGATGAGTAGAGCTGGCAGACCTGGAATTGACAAAGATTCTACTTGTTACATTTTCTGTAAAGCTTCCAAGAAGGACTACTTTTTGAAATTCCTTTATGAACCTTTCCCTGTTGAGTCACACTTGGATCACTTCCTTTATGATCCAATCAATGCTGAAGTTGCAGCTAAAGTTATCGAGAAAAAACAATCTGCTGTGGATTATTTGACATGGACATTCCTCTATCGAAGAATTCGAAAGAATCCAAACTATTACAATTTGAGTGGAACTACCAAACTTCACCTCTCTGATTACTTGTCTGAACTTGTAGAAACCACCCTCGAAGAATTACAAAAATGTAATTGTATCCTTGTTGAGGAAGAGGAAATCACTGCTATGAATCTGGGTACTATCGCATCCCATTACTATGTGAAACATTCCACTATTGAAATTTATAGCACCTCTATCAATGTCAAGACCAAACTGAGAGGTCTATTGGAGGTATTGAGTTACTCGACTGAATTTGAACAATTACCAATACGACAAAAAGAAAATCACATTCTACGAAAACTAGCAGCTCATGTTCCTCTTAAAATTGAAAAACCTAGCTACAACCAAGTTCCAACCAAAGTGAATATTATTCTTCAGTCACACTTCTCTAGAACCAAACTCACACCTGCAATGGAAAAGGATAAGAAATCGGTGCTTGTCACTTCAACAAAGCTTTTGAGAGCCATGGTAGATGTGATTGGTAATGAAGGATTTTTGAGTCCTGCTCTCGCAGCTATGGAATTATCACAAATGATTACTCAGGCTGTGTGGGATAAAGATCCATATCTCATGCAATTACCTCATTTCACAAAGGAGCTTTGTAAGCGATGTGAAGAAAAGGGAATTCATACCATTTTCGATTTAATTAATATGGAAGACGATGAAAGAAATCAATTACTTGGTCTAACGGATGAACAAATGGTGGATGTTGCAAAGAGTTTGAATAGATATCCCAATATTGAATTGGCACAAGAGATTGTTACACCCAGTGAGGACATTACAGCCAAGTCAACTGTCACTCTTGCAGTTCGGTTTGATGCCGACGAAGTTGGAGACGAACCAGTTTATGCTCCTTATTATCCCGAAGAAAAAACAGAAGAGTGGTGGATTGTTATTGGGGATCCTGCCAGTAATGAAATCAAATCCATTAAGCGTTTGCCCATTAAGAAATCATGCGAAACTATGGTGAAATTCCTTGCTCCAAACAAGCCAGGAAAGTACGAATACAAGTTGTACTTTATGTGCGACTCTTACACTGGCTGTGACCAAGAATACCCAATCTCCTTTACTGTTTTAGAGGGAGAGGAGAGTGAAGGTGAAATGAGTGATGAAGAGGCATAAATATATTCATGTTGTTGAAGTTACACATGAGGATACTCGATTGAACACAAATATATTCATGTTATTTATTTTGAAAAAACCATGTTCACTCTTTCTGGCATAACCTATCACAAGCTCTAAGCAGGGATTTGACCTTAGACTTCCTGCTAACTTTATTGCTTGGTATTAGTCACGTCATACGAAATGAACGATCCATCTTTGGTTCCAATCAACAAAATGTTATTGTATGCTAGAGTCATATAGGTAGCATAGTTATTTGGGTCCAAATTTAACAGGGTTCCTCTTGGAAGAAAAGCAACTCCTCCCCACACTGAAATTTCTCCATTTGTGTGAGCAACAAATATGTATTTTCCATCAGGACTATAACAAACAGCTGAAAGATCTTTCCACTCTTTAGAGCTCCTTCTGCTGAATGACTTTCCAGATAAAGCAACCACATGCACAACAGTGCCGTATTTGATGAGTATTTCAGTTGGTCTTTTTGGATGAACAGTCATGTAAGGAAGAGAAGCACTTTGTGGTATATCGGGCTCATATTTGAAAATGCTGTTGGAGTCAATTTTTCCCTCTTTCCATTCCACTCGGAAAACTTTTCCATTTCTCATTAAGATATATCTGACAGGGTCATCGAAAGCAGCTTTCAAAATCATAACAACAGGACTATTGTCAATATTTCCCAATTTTGTAATAGATTTGGCCTTAATGTCGGCCAACCCAAGATCACCTGTGGCAGTACCAAGAAGTGGACAAGCTGTATCTCCTTGCATCAAAATACTTGTGATTGTTACATCAAAAGAATAAGGATAATGCTTGTCAGATTCTAGTTTCAAAAGGAGAAGCTTATTTTTGTTGGCAATCTCAATGAATATAGGGTTCACAGCAAATGTTATGGCAGGCGAAATTTCACTCTCTCCCATGTGAACAAATTCGGCTAGCTTTTCAGGTGGTACGCAATTCTTCATTTCTTGAAAATTCGATATGTGGAAAGCTTTAAACAGCAACTGCTTATCCTTTTCGCCTCCTATAATTGAGGTGACAAGGGCCTTAGGTGGAACATTAGTTGATCCAGAGTGTATCGAAATTTCATAAATTGGAGAGTCAAATACCTTAAGCTCATTCAATTTGCTAATTGAAAAAATGCGTTCCGGTTGCTTTTGTGTTAAAGAAGCACTGGATGCATCCTTTGAAGATGTCATATCGATTTGAGGTGAAGCTTCTGATCTTTCAGAAGATGACACGTGAGAGAATTTCTTTTTCTTACTTCTTGGACCAGAATATTCAGACCATATTGAGGTCGTTGTCGCTTCCACAGTCATATTTTTGGAGGTATTGATGAGCTTGGTTGGATGATAGTCGAACACGTATTGCAAAGAATTAAGAAGAGCAGCGTGATCGAGTTTCTCGAATTTTGTTGGAATATCTGGCTTATCTCTACAAAAGTGATCCTCAATACTTTCCAAATCTTTGGTGACCACCTCGGCACACTTACCGATCACCATTTCCCGAGAAATGACACTTGAAAGCTTCTCAAATTTTAACAAATCACCATACTTAAGCTTTGCTTCTTGATCGTAGAGCCCCATGTTTTCCATCTCTGTGATTAGTTTCATCGCTCTTGCTGTTTCACCCTTCAACATTAGACATGGAAAATAGGCATAAAAGATCCTACGCATGACTGTATTATATTCGGCTTCACGAAGGAAATTTTTGCAATTGGACAAGTAAGCGATTGCCCTTTCAAACTCTCCAGCCTGTATGAGCTTGATGAGTCTTTTCTTATTGAAAAGATTTAGAGCAATTTCAAAGCTGTTTTTCAAATGCAGGTATGCAGTCATCGGGAAATAAAGTCATCATCGGAAAGATGATCATCATGGGCCGATCAACAAACACAATGACACAACCGTGGGGACCAATTTTTCATTATAGAAAGAGATGAATTCACCATGACTAAACGAACTTACCCTTCTAAAGACTTTGAAAATCCTCTCTCATACATGTAATGAAATATAAAAGCATCAACGTGATTTACGGTAGAAGTCTCGGGAGATGACTGTTTAAACAAACGATTCCGAACATCTTCTGACATTACATGGTAATGTGTGGATGAAGCAGTTGAAGAAGTCGTGCCATCGGAAGAAGTTGGATGGTCTGTGGAAGGATTTGAGGAGCTCATTCACAAATTTTTTTGTTTGTTGCAAATTTATTTCTTTTCCATGTCGCTTCTGAACCTTTGCGTCATTCAAGGATGCACCTTGGATCAGAGATTTCATCCAAAACAAAATGTGAATATTCCACCTCAACAACAACAACTTGAGTGTTTGAATTGTTGTAGAAGAGGGTTAAGTGAAGGGCCGATGAGAGGTTCTTTTAACTTTTCGCCGATCTTGCTGTTTTTCTCCCCAGTGACAACAAAAAGTAAACAATTTCGCGAAATTTATAAAGGCCCAGCAAAAAAAAATGTACGTCTTCTCTCCTCTCTTGCAAGGCATACAAACGATGGCCACTATTTCAACAGCAACAACAACAACAACTCCACATTCATCAACAGCAGAAACCCCCCTCACCGAGAATGCTTCATCATTTTCTTCTTCCGAATTGATCTATCTGGATTACAATGCTACCACTCCGATTCATCCGGTAGTGGGACAAACAATGATTCCCTACATTACGACTCACTTTGGAAATCCCTCTTCATCTCATCAGTATGGAGTAATTACCAAGAAGGCTGTAACTCATGCCAGAATTCAAGTTTCTCAATTATTAAATTGCTATCCGGAGGAAATAATATTTACAAGTGGTGGAACGGAATCCAATAATTATGCAATCAAAGGTGTTGTGGAAACAGCCTTACTTCGACGATCGGAGATGATGATGAACGTATCAAACAAGAATGAAAATAATAATTTGGAACAAGGCTCTTTATCACCACTTGTACATTGTATAAGTTCAAAAATCGAACATCCATCTGTATTGGAAGTTTTTAAATACTTGGAACAACGATATAGAGGTCTTGTTGAAATTACCTATTGTGGAGTGGATGGTGATGGAGTAATTAATTTGGACGAATTGAGAAATGCATTGAGAAAGGAAACTGTTTTGGTGAGTGTGATGCACTCCAATAACGAAGTAGGCACTCTACAACCCATCAAAGAAATTGGAAGAATTATTCGCAATTTTGAAAAAACAAATGAAATGCAAAAACATTCCATCCTTTTACATACGGATGCTGCTCAAAGCATTGGAAAAATACTAATTTCTCTTTACGACAAACAAATATTTTCACATGTGGACGATGAAGAGAAGGGAACTAAGATTCCCATTGATAGGAGCAATATGAAAAAAGATCTCTACAAATTGAACGAAAATTATGTCAGTGACTTGTTCGGGGATGACGATGAAAACGACAATATCACACCAGTTCATTTATTGTCAGTATGCACTCACAAATTTTATGGGCCAAAAGGAGTTGGTGCCTTGTTTGTACGAAAAAATTGTGGAATTCAACTTCAAAAACAAATGCATGGAGCTGGTGTTCATGAGAAAGGTTTTCGATCAGGTACTGAGAATGTCATTGAGGTTGTCGGTTTGGGAAAAGCTTGTGAATTGTGCTTAGTCGAGATGATTACCAGAGTGACACACATGAAAAATACAAGAGACTTACTTCATAGAGGATTATTGGACCGGCTACAACATCGAATCTTGTTAAAGTTGAATGGCCACGCAGAAAAACGACTTCCTAACACTCTCAATATTTCCTTCGCAGGTCTTGAGGCAAACACAATTTTAGACGATATTTCACAACAAGTAGCTGCCAGTGCCGGTGCTGCTTGTCACTCTACTCCACCTACAGACGATGGAGAAGAAAGAAAGTCCGCTAAGAAAATTGTTATTTCACAAATTCTCGAAGAAATGGGTGTGGATGTTAATATAGGTATGGGCACCATTCGATTTTCAACAGGAATCCATTTAACGGAGGAACAAGTCAAGAGAGCAATTGATATTATTTCAGAATCGGTGCTTAGAATGACTCCAGAAACTCTTTCTATGACTCACAACAAGATGATCAACGCTTCTCATAGTACTACAGAACAACATGCCACATCTCACACTATGAGCCATTCTTCTGCCCTTGTAGGATCATTGGTCCAATCGAACTTGAATAATTTGGATGCAACGAGAAATACCGAGAAAGTTTTATTGCCCACACCGACTTTGGAAGTCAAACTAACTAGTACTACTCATGGACTTGGTTGTGGATGTAAAATTCGAGCTCAAACACTCTCAAGCATACTGAAAAATCTCCCAATTCAACCTTTGGATCCCAATGTATTGGTTGGAACCGAGACAAACGATGACTGTGGAGTTTACAAATTGAATTCAGAACAAGCTCTTTGTTTAACAGTTGACTTTTTCACGCCCATTGTGGATTCACCAAAGGATTTTGGAGCAATTGCTTGTGCAAATGCTCTTTCAGATGTGTATGCTATGGGAGGAGAATGCAAAGTTGCTCTAAATATTGTAGCTTTCCCTGTGAAACGATTACCTTTAGAGATTTTACAACAAATTCTTGAGGGAGCACAAATGAAAGCAAATGAAGCAGGTGTGACAATCATTGGTGGACACAGGTATGTCATTTTATCAAAAATTACAAAACTAGAATCTAATGTGAAAATATCATACTTGCAATATGAACAGCATTGAGGATAATGAACCAAAATTTGGAATGTGTGTCACAGGTGTTGTTCATCCTGACAAGGTTTGGAAAAATGTTGGATCCAAACCAGGAGACGTTTTGATTCTTACAAAACCAATTGGAACTGGTATCATTACCACTGGCTTAAAGAAGAACATGATCAAAAGCAGTGACGAGAGTGCCAAAAAGTGTGTGGAATGGATGTCCACACTCAACAAAAAATCTTCAGAAATTTTGAGAGGAAAATACAGGGAGGAGCAACACGATGTGTCCTACACCATTCATGGTTGCACAGGTAAGTGATTGAAATTGCTGATCCTTATAACCTTGAGTGAACAACAATACTATTCTCGGTATTTGTAGATGTGACTGGCTTTGGCTTACTAGGTCACCTCAAAGAAATGATGTCACTATCAGAATGTGGCGAGGAGAGAATATATGCAGAAATTGACTCTTCCATGGTGCCGATCATGGAGAATGTTTATGATTTGGTGCTATCCGATGTTATTCCTGGTGGAACTGTGAACAATATGAATTTTGTCTCAACAGTCACCAAATATGAAGATTCTGTGAGCTCAATTCATAGAACCATTTTGAATGATGCTCAAACCAGCGGAGGATTGCTGTTCTCTGTGCCATCGCATGAAGTTGAAGAAATAAGAAAAGATTTTAGGAATCAAAATGTGGAAATGTGGATTATTGGCTGTGTAAAAGCACATCAAGACTCTCGGTCCTCATTTTCCATTAGAGTTGTCTAGTTGCTCAACAATAATAATTATTTCATATTTTCTACTTTAATGGAAATAATTCATAATAATTGTTGTTTTTATCTCTTTGGAGGCCTTATCACTTGCTTTTTGACTTTTTGTGGTACAAGATCCATGAGTAAGGTTGGATCTTTCATCATGAGTTCGCTAACCTTCTTTGGGTCCTTCATGACAGTTGAACCCATCTTACTCATTACACTTTTGATTTTTTCAAACATTTTCAGCATTTTGTTAATCTCTGTAATGTCTACTTTAGCTTTTTTAGCTAAATCTAATCTTCTTGCACTTGAGGATTGCAAAAGCAATGGTTGTAATTTCTCTTGTTCGGACATGTGACTGATAATTCCTTCATGAGCATCAAAGAACGATAAATCCATACTGTCCAATCTTTCTCTAAATTTTCCAATCATGCTTTCTGGAAGATAGCTTGCCATATTCTTTAAAGAGCCCATCTTTTTCATTGTACTAATGTGCTCAAGATAGTCCTTAAAGGTGTATGCACCCTTACTGTATTGAGCAATTTTAGCTTGTGCTTGAGAGGCATCCATATTCATAGCCTCTTTGGCTTTGTTAGCAAGAGTCATAATGTCACCAACACCTAAAATTCTCTTTGCTAAACTTTGTGGATCAAAAATTTCCAGGTCATCCATTTTCTCTCCCACACCGATATATTTCACACTCAATCCTACCACTTTTTTCATACTGATTGCACAACCACCACTACTTGTACCGTCCATTCGTGTAAGAATAATACCTGTGAGCCCAACACGATCATGAAATTGAGTTGCAATGTTCACAGCATCATTACCAAGCATAGAGTCAGCTACCAATAAGGTTTCATTAGGTGTCACAATTATTCGTAATTCTTCCAATTCTTTCATGAGTTCTTCGTCGATATGCATACGACCAGCTGTATCGAAAATTATAGTATCAAAATGTTCTCCGTTTGGACCTACATATTGCATGGCTCTTTGTGCAATTTCAATAGGCATTTGACCCGCAATGATTGGCAAAGATTCCACTTGAATTTGGCGAGCAAGAGTTTCGAGCTGAGTTTGAGCAGCAGGACGATACGTGTCCAACGATACCAACAAAACTTTTCTATTTTCTTTTCTTTTCAGTTGAAGAGCTAACTTGGCACTCGTAGTCGTTTTACCAGAACCTTGAATACCAGTGACCATAATGACTGATCGTTGTTCGCTTGCTTTGTTCAATTGCAATGGTTCAATATGACCCCCTAACAATTCCGACAATCGATCCATAACCAACAAATAAACAGTGGCAGATTTTGGTAATTCCTCTGCTTTTTGATTTGGTCCTAGCCATTTGGCAATACGAGAAATAGTCTTGGCAATCTTTCCGCCTGCTTCCGATGACGATAACTGAGGTTCCTGTGCTTGAACAATTGCAACGCCGATAGCATCTTCAGTAACTTCCTTGATGAACGATGTAACTACAGATTCAGCAACATCCGCATCCAATAATGCTACTCTCACTTTTTGCATAGCCTCTTCAACATCTTCCTTGGTAAGAGTTTTCTTTTTTAAGAGGGAACTAAAAGCATTGGACATGTTTGAAGTGAGGTTTGAGAATAAACCATATCGGGTTTGAGAGGTATGATAATTTCTACTACTCGAGTTTTCCAAGGTTGATGTTGTTGATGCTGTCAGTAATGAGGATGGATGATTCCGATGACGACCATTGTTGAGAAATAAATTATTGAAATAATAACTACTATCATTCATAGAATGGATTGAAAATTTTGATGCATTCATTTGTGTATGAATACATGAACTACGGAGTGAGGATGAAGCCGATGATAATACCAGTGTTTTCTGCAACGATGAGTAACCCGATATCATCACAGAAAGATTTAACGCTTGTTTGAGTGCTCTCATTTTTTTTCGCTTTTTTATTGAAAATTCTGTTCCTTTGTGTTCTTGTGAACGCTTGAGCGTTCTATTTAACAAGTCCTGATAGGCTAAGAAATGATGTGAGTTTGTGGATATGTAATGATTTGTAAATTGATCGAGAAGTGTCAAATGTTTGCTCCAGAAATTTCTTGAGAGAATTAAGCCAAATTCAGGCATTGATTCCATAATTTCCCATTTCATTTTGCAACAAAGGCAAGGGAAGAATGGGGTGTGGCTCTCATTGAATGTTCATAAGTTCAGTCTCGTAAGGTTGAAGGAAAACATTGTAGAGATTTAAGGTTCACATTAGTTGTTTTTCTTCACATTCGAGTTTCAACAACTGAGTGATTGAGGCTTTCACCTTGTTATCTTAAAATTTCAAAATATTATTGATGCTGTTTCTTCAATTTGCTCCTTAAGTTCAAAATTAGATCTAGATGATTTTATTGCGTTCACAGACGACTTTAATTCGTACAAAGTTGGCAGAGTTCATCGATGTATGGGGGCAAATGTATTAGTTGCTGCTTTTGAACATAATGAAAAGGGAGAATTTATAGATAATGGTCACAAATGTTCACATTACTGGATCCGAAATTTTTTATTCCTCATCACTGGAAAAGGTGATTTCATGTCCTGTTATGTTTGAACATTAAGAGAAGTTTGAACAAGCCCAGCCTGAGAAAATTATTTAACTCATTGATTTGGCATAAAAATCTTATTTTATACATTCAATAGGTCATGAATTGATGTGAGGGCTTGGATACTTGTGAAATAAATAATTTCCAACTCGAGAGGCATGTTGTTGACTCCTTTGAGGTTGATGGAGGTGTATACTGATACTTTTCAGGGCTAAAATATTCCACTGATGTCTTGTTGTTACTGATCATGTAGATCTGGACTCCTGTCATAAATGTGACAAATGCAAAGATTAAACCTGATAAGCAAAAATTTCCTAAATTCAATAAGAAAAAGAACACTGTTGAAACTTTCAAAATTGGATCAAAATTTCTAAGAAATTCTTGTAACTCCAATGAACGTGCATCTCTCCATAGCTCTGCAACAGTTTTTCCATACATGATGGCCGTTCGTTTCTTTGACTCTAATTCATAAGCCAAATTAAAGCTGTGTGTCACTTCATGTATGCATAGATAAAACAAATACAAAACCAAACACAAGCATATGGCTGTTTGAATGATCATGGCAATTAAAAAAAGTATAAACACAAGTTGATTCTTCTCACCCACACAATTCGAAATCCATAAACAATGATGGTCATATTTAGCGGTTCTGTGACCACATCTTGAACAAAATTTTGAGCGAATGGGAAGCTCTGGCTGTAGAGGAGGTTTTGATGCATTAGATGCTTCTGATTTTTCTGATTCGGTATTGTTCGTGGGAGTTGTACTAATTGTTGCTGTATCCTGAGAAGCATTAGTTGAAGGAGTATCATTATCCTTCTCATCATCGTCTTGTGAAATTTTTTTACCTTCTCTCTTTCTTAGGGTGTACTGAGACTTGGTGGCACTTGTTGGCGAGTTATCATTTGTTTGAGAGTTGTAATCCTCGTGGGTTGTTTTGCATGAATGAGATTTGCATTCTTCATTAGAAGTATCAACTTGAATTGCATCCTTTCTTGAAATATATCCAATTCGTTTCTCGTCTCCCTCTACAAATATTCGTCCTGGATTCGACCGCTTGCAATATTCATAGCTTGCATAACTCAAGAACCAACATAAATAATACATCCAAAAAACCCAACTAGCATTACTAAAATTCAAATGCTCGAAGTTCTGTGTTCCCAAACTCGAGTAAATTTCAAGAAGCGGATATTTGCGAGAAGGACTCGATGAATTCTCAAAAATTCCAAATAAATCAATCCAGTAATAACTAATCACCAGAGGCATCACAGCCATATAGAAAAAACCCAATAAAATTAATAAATAAACCATTGTTTCTAAATCTCTATTATATCTCATATTCTTTTCCTTTTTAATTCTCTTTTTTTCTTCTTCCGATTTGGAAGAGTCTTCCTGATCCTCCTGGTCATCTTCATTACATATGGCATATCCTGGACACCAACGATATCTGCAACACAACAAATTACATCCGAGCCTACATGTGGCGTCGCATAGTTTGTCCCACAAAATCAAACAACAATCCTCAACGCCACAAAACAAGCACATTACCAATTTTTAAATATTTTTTTTAAATTGGCGATGATAGAAATTCATTTTCAATAGGTATCGCAGTTTAAGGAGAACACCGTTGTTAGTATTATATCTATGAATTCTTTTTTCACAAACGAAACCAAACCAAACATGCTTGGCGTTATTCAAGAATTGCACGATCCTTGTCTCTGCACACGGAGGAGAATATGCATGTCTACATTAATGCTTCCTTATGGCTTTAGGGTCGGAAGTTTGGATTTTAGAAATTCCAAACTTTTCACTCGGTCGCTCAAATTGTTTTTTCAATCGTGCGCACGAATTGTGTGGAAGGTGAACAATAGAAAACGCCATCATCGCAATACGGCTCTACCAACAAAAAAAAACAAGAAAAATACCTAACAATCTCAACAACAACAACAGAACCCACCTGACTCGCCACTCTCTAGAATGTCCAAACAAGAATTTAAATTGTTCTCCTCATTAACTCTCGGAAGCGATGGAAATCATGAGGGTTTCAAATTGAAACACCGTGTGGTCTTGGCACCATTAACAAGATGTAGGGCTGTCGTTGGTGATTGCGAACATACAGAGCATGGAATCACCTATTACCAACAACGAACCTCGGAAGGAGGCCTCATCATCTCTGAAGCTACCCAGATAACACCACAAGGACAAGGCTATCCAGCCACTCCTGGCATTTACTCAAAGGCTCAAATTGAGTCTTGGAAGAAAATTACAGATGCTGTCCATCAAAAGGGCGGAATCATTGCTTGTCAATTGTGGCATGTTGGGCGAGTGAGATGGGCCGACTCAGTGAGTAGCTCTTCAGTGCCTTTGGGAGAAAACGCAACCGATTTGAAAACCATGCAACAAGTCCCTGCTGAAGCTCCGAGAGCATTGAGTGTTGAAGAAATTAAACAAGTGGTAGAGCAGTATGGTGTTGCAGCCAAGAATGCTATTGAGGCTGGTTTTGGTAAGTTATGGCTGGGTCACGAGTTGTGTTTGTGTATATTCCTTACCTTGGTTATTATTTGATTGAATTTACTTTTTTCATATGACGCTAATGCTCTGCTGAATCAACTGTATAACTTGAATCGTTGTGCGTCCTTCTCATCAACATCTTCTCATTCCATTGCACAGACCTTGTGGAGCTTCATGCAGCGAATGGATATCTTATTGATCAGTTCTTGCAAGATGGAGTCAACAAGAGAACCGACGAATACGGAGGATCTATCGAGAATCGAATTCGCTTCTTGAAAGAAGTCGTTGAATCTGTTCTGAAGCACCTCAATAACGAGTCCTATCGTGTCGGTGTTAGAATTAGCCCTTCCGGAGTGTTTAACAACATGTCTGACTCGAACCCTCAAGAATTGTTTACTGAGGTGACCAAATTATTGAACAATTACAACTTAGCATATTTGCATGTGATTGAGCCAAGAGCCAACTTGGTCTATTCCAAGGCAGCTGAAGAAGTAGAAGCCGTCAGCGCTGTAGCATGCAAGCAATTGAGACAATACTTTAAAGGACCAATTATTGCCGCTGGAGGATTTAACAGACAAACAGCCATTGATATTGTTGAATCAGGAGATGCTGACCTGGTTGCTTTTGGCCGTTACTTTATTTCAAACCCTGATTTGCCCTTGAGATTAGAAAAGAATTTGCCACTAAGTCGATACAATAGAGACACGTTTTATTATTCTTCGGATTTGGTGACAGGATATACAAATTATCCCTTCTACTCGGAAGAACAATAATTACACATTGAATGAAAGGAGTGAGTGCTGGACCAGAGCGACATCAAAAAGTCTCAACAACCGCACTCAATAAGCAATTCCAGAAAATTCTAATATCAGAATGACTTTGTTTACGTCATACATCATTAAAAAACATGTTGATTTTGAATGTTTAAAACTTGCACCATCCACGCGAGCATTCGTGGGGTTCATGAAGTTTCGCTCTAGTGGATTCGCCTGAAACCTTTTTAGTAAAATAAGCGAGTCCGAAAAAAATTGTCACCTCTAGCCTTAATGAACTCAAGAATCCTCTATTGTGCTGTGTTTGCTTCGCTCGTGGTGTTGGCCAACTTTTTGTGTACTGTCGAGGTGGTCGAAAGCAGAAAACACTTGAATAGATTACCTCGCCTCAATATTGCCAAACAATCGTTTGGTGTGAGTGGTTTGAGTGCGGGTGCCTTTATGGCCGTACAATTTCAAGTGGCCTTCTCCAAATCTATTTGTGGAGCAGGTGTGATTGCTGGTGGTCCATTCTTTGTAAGTAGTGTAGAAGTGATGCACGTTTTATTAAAACAACATACAACACAATTGTTGGGCTGGAATGAATGGATGTTGTCAAAACGATTCGTAGTGCTCCTTCGGTAATGTATTGATTGCCCTTAATCAATGTATGAGAATGCCCGAAATGATCGATTTGGTAGGTTTAGGTTATTATCATCTTGTGAAGAGAGTCTTAAATCCTCCTTATGAATTCACCTCGATACGTGTCCGAATGAACATGGAATGGGGTATAAATGTTTTTATAATTTTTTATATATGGCCATCATCATCATCAAACAGTCCCTTATCAATGATATCGTTGAAGGCATGAAATTGGATAATCTCATTGATGATACCTCCAATTTGAGAAATCATCGCATGTATCTCTTCTCTGGTTTGGAAGATGTGATGGTTGTTCAGGGTGTAATGAAAAAGCTCCATCAACAACTCACCCAATACTTTAACATGAGCAACATTGTTGCCGATTGGAATGTCCCAGCTGAACATGCCATGATCACCAACGATTACGGCAATGTTTGTAATTACCTCGGAGAGCCTTGGATTAATAATTGTGGATTGGACAGTGCTGGTAAGGTCCTGAATGTCGTGATGGGAGCCACTCTAAAGAATGGCAGTAGCTATGTGGATGACAATTTGTATACCTTCTCTCAAACAGGAAATTACTCAGCGTTGAGTTTTGATGATAAGGGTTATGTCTATATTCCAACGGCTTGTCACGGAGGACGTGTTCAATGTGCTGCTCATTTGGTCTTCCATGGATGTAATCAAGGTGCAAGATACATTGGAGAGACCTTTGTGATTCATTCTGGATACTTGAAACATGCAGAGGCTAATAATATTATCATGCTATTCCCTCAAGTGAAGAAGGAAGGTATTATTGAGCCTAATCCTCAAGGATGTTTCGATTGGTTTGCCTATACAGGACTTGACTTTGCAACAAAGAAGGGTGTTCAAATGAGAGCAATTGCAAACATGATGACTGATTTGGGTGTTCAAATTTACTGAGGTAACTGTTATGTTCAACTCTGTAATAAATAAATATACAAGGTGCCAGTTTGACTTTAGACAGCGGTACAAATAAGAACTTTAAGATTTATTACAAGTTTGATATATTTTAGTAGTAAAACTACAGTGAGTAGTTGGTGGTGACGTTTTGTTTCGGTTGTGAATGGAGATTTGAACAATCGTGATCTTAGATGATTATTATTGATTGGAATCTTTGGGTTCGTAAGTGCAAGAGAGTTCAATCAACTTTTCTTCTGAAAAGTGAACCATATTGGTCAATTTGTTTTTCAATTCTGTCACTGGTTTGAGTTTGTATTCTTTTTGGTATCTCTTGATACCTCCTTGAATGACAAAGGCAAGTTTTTGTCTCTTGAAAAAGTTAATTATTTTCTTTTCCTCATTGATGTAATCCTTGTTACCATCTTCGATAAAAGTCAAATCGGTAAGATAGAGGCCAATGAATGGAATGAGAGGAGGATGACATTCTTTCATGGTAGATCTCTGAATAGAATCATCAAAGAGACCACAAAAATCACAAACATTCATTGTATAATTTTCGAATAGAACGCAAATAGAAGTGTCACATTGTCAATATTGAAATGTATCATTTTCAATGTATCAAAATTTCACACTTACCATTTCCTTATAATTCTTAGCCGTTGAAACAATCTTTTCCAACTCTTTATAATTCTCTAAATGTTTCTTTGGTACGAGAGCCCATGTCTTTTTCAGTCTCATGATAGGCACACTTCTCAATCCACCAATAATTTCCTTAAGTCCATTAAAGTTATTGAGCTTTCTCAATTCGTGAGCAACTTTGATGAATTTTCGAATGGCCTTTGCACGTTTATCTTCCTTCTTATTTTCCAGAATTTGATGAGCAACCCACAACACAACCGTATTGGTTCTGTGGATCATTTCACAAATGTTGGGAGCTGCTGTCTTGTTCTTATTCCAAGCTTGAGCCAAACATTCTTTGGGTTGAATTTTTTGAAAGCTGTGAAATTTGAAAAAGTCCACATGATTCATACAGGTTGTAGATGTCAAAATAACATAATCATGCGATCAACAAAGATCACCAACAAAATATATCATTGAAAATGAACACACACTTACATGGCACTTTCAATTAAAGTAATTTGTCTAGCAATTTCCACACTGCTCCAATCTAATACTCGAACTTCATTCAAACTCTTGAAAGATGTTTTAAAAGTGGATGGAAAGATAGGTTTTGGAGCATCTTCATCGGACTCGATCTCTCCATCCTTTTCTTCATATTCTTTCATTTGTTTTTCAAGGTATTGTTTTTGAACAGTGACCATTGTGTCACGCTTTGATTTCAATCTCTTCATTTCAATTCTCAAATTATCTGCCAACTTGTCAAATGTTTTTGCCATGTGATTTTCAATAAAGTTGGACATGAGTTTCACAAGTGAAGGATTTGTCTTAAAATCAGTACTGTGATCGGCGACCCATCTCTTACAAATTCCATAAATATTAATTCGGGTAGGAGCCAATACTGATAATTCAAATTGTTTAAATAAATTGGAATTCGATCGAACTTCCATCGAAGGAGGAGGTAAATTCCATTTTAAAATTAACAACTCGAGAACTTTTTCAGCTGTTGTGAAAGAATGATATGTCAATAAGAAGGCATCTTTGATGGCCAAATCATGTACGGATTGTGACATGGTCATTTTCTCAATTAACTTTTCCAAAGTGGCTCCAATCAATGAACCATCTTCTGCAAAGGCCACATTCACACCAGGGATTTCTGGTTCTTCAAATTTTGCATGATCAATGGATCGTCTCTTCATGAGAGTATCTAAATCTTCCGAATAACGAGCTTCAGGTCTTTCCAAACTCGATACTGATCTCAAATGTTTCACAATTTGTTTCGTCTCATTGGCTGACAATAATGAACCGCTCACAATCGATCTCAAATAATGAATCCAACGTCTTCTCTCCTCTGCTGATTCACATTCAAAGATTTTTTGTTTCTCTGGTGCATAGACAAGTTTAAAGCCCTTATCTCCCCATTTTTCAACCATACATGTGTGATCAATGAAATAGAGTTTTTTCTCACGTTTCAAACCTTGTTCTAAACTCTTACTCATCCAACTGATAATGAGAACATTTTCGAATAGATAGGCCTCACAAGGTGGTGATTTTTGTCCCTTCCTAATTTGATAAATTAACTTGTCATTGGAATCATAGTAATTGGTGAGACACGTCGAATCCATGGTTTGTACAGAGAAAATGAAACGTGGCATGGTAGGAACCCGTTCTTCTAAAATGGAACATTTCCTTGGTCGAACTGTTTTGTAAACGCTCGTTTCTCTCTCAGAGACAGATCGTCTCATGGAAGATGATAAATTTGACTCCAAATCGAATGCAGTGTAGGATTCCAAATTTTCAATGTTCAATCGATTTTGAATTTCAAAAGTTCGGTTCAATTGATAGGCCATTTCTAATACTTCACTTGTGGTAATCATTTTCTTTTCCAATTTGTAAATGGCAGTGTCAAGCTTTGAGCATGGATGGTTTTCTGGAATTAAAGGGTGGAAAACGTCACGAAGCTGAATCAGATAATACGTCAATCGGACAGCTGGCTGTTGAATGAGTTGATCAAATGTTAAAAATTCTGCAGCACATGATTGTTGTTCTTTTTTAAAACTTGCTCTTGCTTCCACATCGAGTTTTGACTCAATAAGATGTTTCAATTGTTTGTCATCAGCGAGAAGAATCTTTTGAATTCTGTACCGAAGACCTTTCTGTGTGTAATCAACTAAATATTGGTCAATATATTTAGTAATAAGAGTCTCTTGAACGAAATCGAGAATAATTTCGCCAAATTCTTCAAGCCACTTGTCATTGGCTTCTGAAACACTTTGTTGTGCCACATGTCTTTTCAATTGCATTAATTTCAAATGTCTCTTGTCTGCACTAAACATGTTAATAAGATAATTGAATAATTTTTCAATGACTTCTTTTTCACCCTCAATATTTCGTTGATTAATTAATTCCATAATTGGATTTTTGTAAATTCGAGGTAACAAGTGACCTAATTGATTCAAATAATCTTCCTCTCGTTGAATAAATCTTTTGATATACAATCCAAGATTCTTTTTTGGAATTTGTGGTAATTGTTTCGTCGACTTTAAATCAGTAGAAGGTGATGATTGATTTTGTACAGGAATAGGAGGTAACACTTTGTGTGGTGACGATGGTGAGTTTGTTTTTTCATCTTCAATCATGAATCGTTGTGCAATCTTGTTTTGTTTGAGAGAAATCTTGGATGGAATTCGATTCAATGAGAATGTCGAAACTGATAATTTTGCCATCGAAATGGTATTTTCAAATTGCTTAATTCTCTCATTCACACTCACAAGGTCAACTGCTCCAAGAATTCTTCTTGCAAAACTCAAATCTTCTTCTTGTTCTTGCCTTTCTTTTTTTAATCGTTCTTCTTCTTCTTGTTGTTGATCAGTGTCATTGATTTTCATTTGTGATGGTCTTCTTGGAGGTGGAGGGGGTGTCTTGTTTGGTTTTGTCGGCCACACATCAGTGCTGTCACTTGTCTTTGATTTATCTTGTTCATAAATATCCAATTGAACACCAACACCCAATGCAATTTGCAAATGCTCAGGTAATGATTGAATGTCATCTTGATCGATTTTTGTTGCTGAAAATGTAATGGTTGTTGAGGATATATCTCGAGGAGAAGATGTCGATGATGAAAATCTCATTCCAGAATAATCCAAGGTCAGGAATCGACTTGATAAAAAATATCTATATTGTGTGTGCATTTGAAGTAAAATGTGAGGATGGATAATAATGACCAGTGTCGAACGTCATAGGAATTGAAAATTTCCAAAAAAGTACAAGTGATGACATCATTAAACACAATTGAGAATAAACATGATCATCATGTTCTGAATTTTTTCTACCTACTCCAACACTTGTTCTGCCTTATCGGGATATATAAAAACACCAATGGAAACAACGACCAATGAAATTGCAAAAAAAACGTCAATACTTGATGTAAAAATAACCGCAGAAAATAGAATACCCATAATTTCCGTAATAAACCAAGTAGTGATTCAAGTCGTCGTCTTCGTCGTAAATGTTACTGTTGATGCAGCAAGAGTCTTTGTTTTCAACGTTCAATATTTTTTTTTAAAAAATGAAAGGTTTTCAATGACAGCTGACAGGTTACAAGCGATTGGACTCAATTCATTTCAGTCATCGATAAATCGCGTGACTGAAATCATACCTTTTAAATTATTCTTCATGGAGAAACGTGTTCGTGATCACCACTCCATTTTCGAAATTTGTGAACACATGGCAGATGCTATAGAATCATTCAAACAAGAAATCATCATCATCACCATGGTGCTATTAATTTTTCTCCATCGTCAAACAAATTAATTTTCAATGGTGATGATTTAATGTATGGGATGAAAAAAGTAATGCCAAACAACAACCAACAATTATTATTCAATACTACAAGAACATTTAATACTATTAGTTCGTACACTATTACTACAAATTGGTTGAAGAAGTATCAACAAAAGCCAAAGGTAGTGGTGATGATATGTCCAACAATTATTACAACAAGATTATCTTCAACAACATGCATGGCCTCTCAATTTATCCAATCAGTTTTGGATGATTTTGATAAGCATGCACGAACCTATTCAAGAAACGAAAAAGAATCTGTATTCAAGTTCAATGAGATAATGAAACAAGTTCAACTTGACAAATCTGATTCTCCAATCTATTTGTACCAGAAGAAACAAATTACAATAATGAAATAACTCTATCCTCTTGGGCCATATCTTGCGATTTAGGTCCTACATTTCCTGCAAACAAATATGATGAACATTATGAATTTATCACCTCGGGTGGTACTCCAGTGTTGACATTAATAGAAGCACCTGGAACTGGAAAAACTCACTTTGCATATCATTTAATTTCTAAAGGAAAAACTGTGTTAATTATACCACCAAATCACAAAATTATCTTATCGAATTCATTGGGAATAATATTTAACATTTCAAGAAACAGTTCTAATTTGAGAAGGTTATTAGATAGCGAAACAAAACGTTTCATTGTTTTCATTTATGAAATTTCGAAAAATAATTCAGGATCTGTTTGTTAAAAGTGTGAAGTGTGGATTCCTGGTGGGTTGACTTTTGAGATTATGCTGAGGGTGTACCCATTTGCTTGATAGTGACAGCTTGAGGTGTGTTCAAAATGGTGCATACATAGGCAAAAGGAAATATCAAATCTTGAAATGAGCCTTTCTTACTGCTCAATTCAAAATATTGAACTCGGCATGAGTGTAAGAGTTTGTTTGTGCCATTACTAATTTCTTCCAAGAAATCATCAATTTCATCTCGAGTGATTTTGTGTGGAAGATCCGCTTTCAGTCCTAATAATATGAGACAGGAATCCTGTGATTCTAAATATTCACTCACTTGATCAATGTTGTTTTGAGATTTCCAATCCTCAAAGATTGATAAAGTATCTTCAAATGATGAACGATCATTTAAATCAAAGCAATAAAAGTAACCTTTAACACCCCTAAAAAAGCTCATGATAATTGATCGAAATCTTGCGTCTCCTGCACTATCCCACAAATGTAAAAGACATCGTTCCTCTTTTTCTGAAAATTGTAAACATTTCGTACAAAATTCGACTCCAATAGTTTTCACATAGTTATTATTTTCTTCAAAAGGTAAATCTTTGAAAACTTTGTCAACAAGAACGCTTTTTCCGCAACATTGGGAGCCGACAATTAAAAATTTTAACGTCAATGGAACTCTTTCATTACACTCTTGCAAATATTTGAAGGAATTTACAATTTTAGGTTTAAATTGATTGTGAAAAAATATCAAATTCTTTTTAGGATTATCTTCATAGATCCAAGGCAAATACAACATGGAACCACAATTGAAAACATGATTCCACAATTGTGGGAAATCAATCCAATAATTATAAAAATTTTTCGAAACTCTTCCAAGTTGTATCACACATTCCAAAGGTAAAAATTGTAAAATATATAATATAATTTCATCTGGCAACTGTTCTTCCAACTCGCTCATATTTTTGTAATTATACAACTTTTCCTTATCGGGATTCATTAATTTCTTGTTGCCGTGATGATGATCATTGAGAGATTTTCTTTCAAAAACTAACGGATAATTGGACGAAAATAATTCACAAATCATTTTGTTTGTACTTGAACAACCATTATTCATGGGAGAATTGTTGGAAATATGAGGATTTGCTCCCACTGTGGGAGACTGAAAGAGTGGAGGAGGTGGCGGTGGATGAGAGACTTTCGTTTTCACGGAATTTCCCATTTTTTTGAGGTGTGTGTGAACTCGATACGACTGAACACATTTCCTCTCTCTTGTGTCACAATTATTCTTGCTGACAAGAATGAAATTATCTTCATCAAAATAGCCAGAGGACAATGCTGCAGCACAAGGAAGTTGTCCTGTGGCATTGGCTCCAATCTTGGCCAATAAATTCATTCCAATTCTGCCAATCCTCAAAATAGATCATCAAGAACTCACACTTTATTTACAAACTGCATCCAAAAACTATTTCTTGAATTTACGGAGACCACCACATACTGATTTTAAAATCTCTTTTCGTTCTTTCGATCTCATTTCGATAATGCTCTTCTTTTTCATCTTCTCTTTTGGTTTATGTTGTAATAGATTGCTAGGAATATTAATCTCACGACGAGTAAACTCCTTTTCAAAGTATTCACGCCAATTCAAAGATTTCAAATAGGCGACTCTTGCAGGTGCGACTTTTCCATGTTGAGGAATAACTGTCTCTATCAAATGACGGGCAATGTCAGAAAATTCTGGTTCGTCTTTTTGGACTGTCACAATGGTATGCAAAAGGAGACCACGAGCGAATTCACTCACTGCTTGCAACAAATTGGCAGGATGGTAATAGGGGTACTGATTAGTAGCATCCTTAAAAGCTCTTGCAAGTGCATCGTAATAAGCTCCGGTAAACACTTCTGATAATGCATGTTCTTCATTTTCAACATCAGAAAGTTTATAATCAGCATCTGCATTGCGAAGATAACCATGCATTCCCAATGAAATACCAAACTGTTCGGCAAGCTTTGCAGCAAAGTTTTGGGATGAATGAAGATTGCCATGGGTTGTAATAATTAATGCATTCGCCATGGCATCATCTGCAAACACGAAACTTAACGCAGAGATATCTCCAAATGCTTCATGAAGGCCATGTGTTTGCATTTGATTAGAATTCATGAATTCGGGACGCAAACGATCCAATGAATAGTGTCCCGCTTCATGAGCCACAACATCAGGTGTCTGACATGTAAAAATCTTCTGGCCTTTCTCGCTCTGAAAATAACCAAACTTTAACTCACACCCCACCTGGAGACGTTGGTAGTAGGCATTCATCTCATCCTGGAGACCGTATGGACTAATGGTAAGAGTACCGTGTGGATTGTTATCCCAATATGAAGCAGCGTTCTTCAATTTTGGATCGTCAAAGGTTTGTGTCAAAGACTCTAAAGTATTGCGCCACATATTTGCAGTGAGTCTTGTTGCTGTGAAGGTATGCAACATGTCAAATTCAGGAGAAAACAAATCTCTTAAATCTTTAATCTTGGAAATTTTAACTATTTCTCCATGTGGTCCAACGGTGGACATTTCGCTGTCTTTAGGACCATCCTCGACGATTTGAGGGACGAGACATTGTTCAACCTTCGCAAGGAGAGTTTTGCTGTCCTCTGTGACCGAAACGTCTTGAGGGTAAAAACGCAAGACTGTGCCTGCGTGGTTGGGAGTTCTTTCATGGGATCCTGACATTTTAAATTGTTGTTGAATAAGTTTGTTTTCTTTGTGGCCAATTGTTTTTGAATAAGTTTGATTTCGTTGTGGTATTTGTTGCAAGTTAAATGTTTCTGTTTTTGTTCAAATACCTTTTTAAGAGTAATATTTTCAAAAATAAAAATACTCCAAATAAAACATAAACTAAATTGGGTCTGATTCCATGTCCAACAGATAATTCACATATTTTCACATGACCATTTTAATAAATTATCTTTACACTACTGAAAATTCATCAATTAATTAATATTAAAAGAAACTTCTTTTGCATCAAGGAGCAGTCTAAAAACATCAATTTTCCAAAATTCTGGGTCGAACAACCGAAAATACATTCTCAGCTGGAATCTTCGAACTGTGGTTTTCTGGAAGTCAGCAGGAACAATCAGCTAATGGTTTGTCCATCTTATGCCGATCCTCCATTACGTGTAATTATGGCACTTTCCCTAAACAAGAACAAAAAGAACATTAACTGTTTGAATACCTTCAGAGTTTTCAATGAAAACCGTTGTAATCGTCGCTTGGTGTTCGTTTCAGCAAAGATTTTTATTATTTTCTGGCCAACATAAACTCTAAATTCCAAGTGGAGGTTGAATTGTTTTTCAAAAAAAAATAATGCATTCCTCACCCCCAAGAAAATTGTTGAAAATTGACACCATCACAAACTCCGACGAGTTCAGCACCCCTAAAAGTTCATCATCATCGGAGAAGGAAGAATCTTCCCTTGATCATGGTGATGAAGAGAGAATTTCCAATTTGCATCCACAACAAGATGGCGAGAAAATTGAAGAATCCAATCGTCATTCAATTTGTGAGGATCCATCAATTCTCTTGATGCCCTCTCCTGCTACACAAATTCCATCCTTCTCTCAACAAGTTCATCCTCTTCAACCACAAACGATTCATCATTTTACAAACCATTCTCCATCTCCTCTTCATCGTTATTCCGAGTATTCTACTACTCCAAAAAAGAGATTGTATGAAACAACAACCACCACCACCAACAGCACCACCACTTTGAATCATTCCTCCCAACATCCTCCCCATAATCGATTATTTCCATCGAATTTATCCCTTCCATTTCAAGATCATTTTGAACATGATATTACTCAATCACCTGCTTTTCCTGTTTTGAGAGATATGTTAGCCGATACTTTTGATCATCATGGCGATAGTTCTGAAGAGAAAGAATCTGTCGTGTCGTTGAGTGAAGGAAGCTCTCTATCGGGATCATCAATATTTTCGGAACCACATCAGAAAGTTGACTCACAAAGAGAGGCATCCTTATCGGTGTCATCAACAATGCATCAATCTCAACATGATGTTGCATTGACATTGTCTGTGGGGGAGGATGTAATTTCCTCTTCTTGTTCTCAACAAGTTATCACGCATGAAAAAAGTGACAATATCGACCAGAAGAATTCTGAATTGAACCATAGTCAGACAATGTCTTCAGCAGCAAATGCCACAGGAGGAGTATTATCAGAACCAAAACCATTAATTTGTAAAGAAATTGAACCAAAAGATATCAAGTTGGATGTATTGAATTTAAACAAAAAGGGTCATCATATTCGAGTTTTACTTGTAAGTATGTGTGACTTTAAAGGTTTATTTCAAATGGAACATGATTCATTCCAACTGGAACAACTAATAATATGTTCTCGAATTCGTCACATTTAATTTTGGAACTGTTTATTCAATTTCATCATCCCTTATTTAACCTCTCACCAAGGTTCGTCACGGACAATGTATCACCAATGTACAAAAAACTATCTTACAAGAAAAACCAGATCATTCAATACCATTAAGCAAAATTGGAGAAGAACAAGCGAAAGCAGCAGGTGTATATATTCGAAGATTCTATGAAGAAATGAATCAACGATTGAAAGAACAAATCGACAAACACAATTTAAAATATATTGACATTTCAAACAGAAAGTTTTCAAACTCAGTGAAACACATTTCAAACGAAACAACAGATTTCAAGTTTGATAATGATGACAGTGACACTGAAGAAGATGCTAAGCAATCTTTCATCCAAAACGGGAAAGTTCCTCATGAAAAAGTTATCACCTATCCATTAAGGGTAAGATTATGGAATTCTACTTATAACAGAGCTAGAATGACAGCTGAATACATCATGAAAGAGGCATCCAATGTCATTCAAGATCAAAGGTATGTGGAATTTTTACGACAAGCCATATTCGAAATTTTTCAATATCCTACCCCATATATTAGGGAGAGCATTCTACTTGTGGAACAACAATTTGGCCTGTTTGAAGGAGTGCCTTTGGAGGAGTTGGCAAATCGTTTTCCTCAAGAATTTAGACATTTTGAAAAACATATTTGTGCAACAGGTCGTTTTTATGCTCGTCCACCTCTAGGCGAATCAAGATGTAAGTGAAGTATGGCAAGTTGTGTTCAGTTTCATATAAGTCCATAATAATATCATGTAACATATAGTTGATGTTTCTAAACGAGTACAATTACTGTTTGATAAATTTATTGAAGACAGTGAAAAAGAATACATTAATGATATCGTTATAGTGTCACATGGTGTCACTGTTCGATCCTTCACACAGAGTAAGTAGAGAATATTATTAACATTACTGAGGACAATAATGTTTAATACTTTCTCAGTGGTATGTTCAATTATTATTTGTTTATTGATCTGTTGTTCTTACTTGTTGAGCTTTAATGATAAATATTTTGCTTGCTCAAACAATTTCACACGACGGTCAGTGGCTTGATCTTAGTCCTGAATGGTTCGACAAGGAGATGAATCCTAACAACTGTGGCATTCGTTTACTAGATGGTCAACATCGAGATAGAGGTTATGTCTTTCATGGATTTGGACTCCCCCATCATCATCGAAACTAGCCACTTGTTTTTTCCAATAAACTTTATTTGTTTGAGTTGGATCCCAAGTGACCATGTATTGCCGTCAAGAAATGTTCAAATGCATTGTTGAATTTCAAGAGAGAGAAAAAATGCCTGGACATTCACACCGACGCAAACACACTTCAAATTTTCGAGCAGGAAGCTCATCATCAAGAAATAGTGGCAAGGCTTCATCATCATCATCGTCGGCATCCTCGTCATCGGGACCTAACACCATTGACAATGTAGTGGAGAAGGTCATGATGTGGAAGGAACAATTTATGTTTGATGATTGCATCAAGTTATTGAACAAGACGATAAAACAATTCTCATCAAGTCCGAGAGTGGTGGATTTGTTATTCCTGATGGGAGAGGTGTATTTACAGAATGGAGATTCTTTGAACGCTAAACATTTCTTACAACAGGCTGTTCAAGGTATGTGTTCATGGAGTTTATATCATCATCATTGATTATACGAAAATGCGTTCCGCTTGAATCAACTTTGTGTTCTCTTCAACAATCATGAAATATCTACTCCGTATATACGAAAATTTGTTTCTCAATCATTGCTTCAAATTTATTGAATGACGACTTGGTGTGATTTGCTCAATTTTTAAAATCAATATTATTGCTGGACTAACTTAATGATAGTAAATCCAAAGCATTATCCATCACTCATGTATTTGGGTCAAGTTTCGGAAGCTAACGAGAGTGCTCAATATTTCTCACAAGGACTCACAGTCATGCAAGAATTATTGAATTCTAATTCAGGAAATATTGAGGAAATTAAACAATTATATATTCAAGGCCTTTGCTCAGTATGTGAACTGTACATGACCGATTTATGTTTTGAACCCAATGCAGAACAAGAATGTGAAAAATGTGTTGGAATGGCACAAGAATTTTATCGTAACGTTCCCATTCAAAACTGGGATGTTGGATTGTTGCAAACGTTAGCTCATTTGAGAATGTGTCAATGTAAACCAGAAGAAGGAAAACAGTTCATGCAAGTGGTTGCTCAAAAAGTGATCGAGGAAGGAAACAGATTGAAAGAGTCAACAGATTCTTCATTCAATGATTTGGTCATGGGCTATGACTTTAAACTCTCGACAGCAAAGAATCTCATTGAATTGCAAATGCATCAAGAGGCAAAAACAATTTTGGAACAATTGAAGGACCAATTCGATCAAGTGGTTGACTTGTGGTACCTGTTGGGAATTTGTTGCGACTCGTTAGGCCAAAGCGATGTTGCAATCAAGTATCTCGAAAAGGCCCTAAAGATTGGAAAACAAATTCAAGAAGATGGCATGTTTTTGAATGAAGTGAAAGATGAATTGAACCTTATCAAACAAAAGTTGTCACAATCTGGTGTGCAAAATCCTGGAAGTGACTTGATTGACGAAGACGAAGACGAATGGGAAGATGTTGTGGAAGATTATCTCGAATCGAACAATGAAGTGGTCGATGAAGATGACGATGCCGAAATGAATGGATAAATATGGAAATGACCGTTACAATTTTAACACCATAATTTAAATTTGAAAGTTATCAATCACATTTAAAAAATGTTTAACTCTCCCTTGAAACCTGTTGTTAAGAGACGAGTGAAAAAGCAATCAGCCACCATTCGTCATCATAGCCAACGATCCGAAGACTCCATTTCTCTATTTGATCCCATGCCACCCAATACTGATGACACTACTTCCGAAATGAAATCAAAGCCTTATCGTCTGGATTCCTATATTTCCTATTCGTCCCGATTAGCCAAAAAACATCAATCATCATCAACAGTTTCTTCTTCTCAATCCATAACGTTAGAAGAAGACTCTTCCTTCGCTCTCCATCATGAACTCATGTTCCGAAAATTCATTCCTCTCGAGAAACATTTTCGAATGAATTATCAACAAGCTCATTACAGAAAAGTGTGTAGCAAAGCCTTGCTTCAGACCCGACTGATACCCAATTTAGAGGAATTCGCTTCTTCAGGTGATGCAACCATAAGCACGCCACTTTCTTCCTCATTGGAACCTTATTCTCCATTCTCGCCATTCTCTCCATCATCAATCACAAGCTCCTCTTCTTCTTCTACCTTTTCAAATTCTTTGCATACTTTGAACTCTCCTTCGAAAGGATCAATGATCAGCAATGGTCGTCATTGTACTACTAGTAGTAATCTTACTCCAAAGAAATTAAAAAACTCTTCAAAAAAGAGGGATGGGCGTTTCTCTCCGGCCATGTCTTTCCATTACAAGGGAAGAATGGGTTTTACCAGCATGCTGTTTATGGAGAGGTGTGGTATTTCCATGTCTCCTCCTGTTCTTGTGGCTGGAGATGCCAAGGGATCAATTCAATTATTTTCCATTGGAGACTATTGCCACAGTGGTGGAAGCAACAGCTCTAAAAAAGTAATTGAAAAACCTTGTTTGAAATTTTCGATACCTATGAGGTCCTTTGTGAATAGAATTTGCACGACAAAGAGCGGAGCATGTTTGGTGGCGAGTGACGACTCAACCTTGTTTTTTTATGACTTGTGCCGACAAGTGACAGGAAGTCATCATCCAACCATAAAATTCGAAGGTCACACTAATTACTTGACAGATGTGAAGAAGAACACCTTTGAAAATTTATTTATGAGCTCATCGATGGACAAGACTGTGAAAATATGGTCACCTCAAACCTCAAAATTTGTATTTTCCTTAAACATTAAGGAATATGTCAATTCGTGTTGTTGGATGCCCAACAGTAATCATTACATGCTTACTTGCTCTCAAAAAGTCATTACAACACCTTGCTCCGAGAGCTGTATCAAAATTTGGGATTTAAGGAAATTATCGAGTCATGTCTGTGAAATTATTCAGAATGGAAAATTCAACGAGTTACGTTCGTCTGCCTCCACTTACAATGATGCCGATTCTGAAAGTGAGGATAGTGATGATAGTTTTTCAGGATCTTCATTGTTTGGATTTTGGTCTGCCACGTCAAAATCGAGACAATCGAAACAAAGCGCAGCCATAACAAGTTTTGGAGGAACTTTAGAAGTAGAGTCCTCCGATTATTATGACTCGACCACACAAATGTATGTGGAACCATTCATACCACATAGAGTCTCGGAAAAGATTTTTGACATTCAATTCTTGGACGATTCACATTTGTTGTCCACATCACCTTTTTGTAGTAAGATTTGGCGAATACATGAATTGTGTGGAATTAATGGTAATAATAAGAATGAACTCAACTCTATGAATGTGACTGGTCTGTGCACTCTCTCACACAAATATTACTCCGATTATGATGACACTTCCGTTCAATCTTGTAACGTTGTACCTACGATTCATTTGCAAACAGGTCATTTGGTGAAAGGTTGCAAAGATGGAAATTTATACGTTTGGAACTTTGCCATTCACACTCCCAACACAAATAAGAGAACGAATTTTACCACTCGGATCAAACCAGCTCATTCATCGGCGATTCGTTCTGTTTGCTTTAGCAATGAAGGTGATTTATTTGCATCGTGTGATCAATTAGGTCATTTGAACATTTCATCCATTTATGACGGTACCACATGCGACTCCATGATGGATGACCGATGCATGAGCATGAACGACAGTACCCTCTTGATGGATATGAACTGCAGCTTTGATTCTTCCTCAACTAGTCATCACAATACTTCTCAGATTAGTGTTGACATGAGCTCAATATTTTTGGAAGAAAAGAGTTCCACCAACACGACCAACATCACCACGACGCAATTATCAGCAATAGCCAGTGGTAGTAGTGGCAGCAACACTATTGGAGATGGAAGAGATTTTGAACATTCTCACAACATTTACACAGAAAATAATTTATTGACCACTAGTCCGCAAAAGAGGTCGAAAGATGTCGAGCTCGACAAAACATCCTCAAGACGAAAGAAAAAGAAGAAATAATTGTTTTTTGATCGGAAGAATGTCGTTGGTAATTTTCTGTAATTTTTGTATTCCTAATTCATATTATCATCATCACCACGATGGCCATTAGAAAATCAAAATTAATTTTTTTCATCATCCGTTAGAAAATATTATACAATCAACAATTCCTCTTCACTCTCTCCCGAAGAGTATCTTCACTACTTCCAATGAATCTATCCACCTCTTCATTATCTTTGATAAACACAAACGTTGGCATTTGTCGTACTTCATATTTATCGGACAGTTCCTCATGAGAATCCACATTCACTTTCACTACGGTCATACAATGTTGATAGGTAGAGGCCAATTCCTCCACGACCGGAGCAATTTTACGACATGGAGAACACCAATCGGCATAGAAATCTGCTAGAATGACCTTCTCAGAGGATTGATTTTTCACCGTTTCTTCGAATTGAGAGGAACTGCCAATATGTTGAGCCATTTTTTTGGAGTTGATAAATATTGATAATTAATTGAAGTCTCAATTTCGCCGAGTCGACCCAAAGAATCTCAAAGTATACTGCACTATTAATAATGCATTTACTCGATTATTGGTGGAGATGATGAATGTTTATGATTGTGCTGGTTGTTGTTGACAGAATCATTCACAGAATATCTTACATTCAAATTCCTTTCGCGGAGTCATTATTCTCAATCCGCTTTCAAATAAGGTGTTAATTGAGTCATGGACATTTCCCACAACTCATCCTGATACTTTTCTTGATAACTATCCTTCACACTCTTCTTTTCCTTCCATTGATCATAAAATTTCATGCCTGTCACTCCCTCTTGTTTTGAATCCATGGCATGATACGCAATGCATCCACCCGCATATTCTGGAGTTTGGAAAAAGAGTGAAGTCAATGGTTTAATCCACGATGGGATTGCTTCTCTCAATAAGGCAGTGTTGACCACTCCTGGATGCAATGCATAGACACTCACTCCACATTGAGGAAGATGATTGGCTGTATTGTGGTTGTTGTTGGAAGAAGAGGTTGACGATGATTGTCCTATTGTTGATGAGGAAGAAGAATCAGACTCTTGTGACAATCTTCTCACTAAACCATAGGCAAAAAGAACATTGGCTAATTTGGAATTATTATAAGCTTGATTTCCAGAGAATTTGGAATGTTCACAATTAGGATCTTGAAGAAGCTCTTGAATGTTTCCTCGTTTATGGAGACTGGAAGCAACAATGACCACTCGTGTGGGAGCACTTTGTTTGAGTTTATCGAGAAGAAGATGAACCAATAGAAAATGACCCAAATGATTGATTCCTGTCCAAATATTTTCATGTTGTCGTAGTGATGGTTCAGTATAGGATATAATGTTGATCATTATTGTGTGAAGAATTCAATTTGTATTAATAACGACATGAATTCATCATCGTCATGTGAATATATATTCCAATGGAATGCAATGTTCATCCTTTGAAATAATTGTTGTTGGAATCACTCTCAAAACTTACCATAAGTCATTTCAAATCCCTGTTTGGTCGTTTTTCGATCATTAGAACTCCAGCATCCAGCATTACACACCAATGAATGCAAAGGTAAATTCTTCTCTAGAAATTTCTTGGCAAATTCTTTCACACTTTCCAAATCCGATAAATCCAATTTCATAAATTCCATACTTCCTTTTATGGAAGAAGAGGAAGTGGTGTTCAACAAGTGAGATTCAATTTCTTTCATGGCATTGAGTGCCTTCTCTTCTGAACGACAAGCCATAATGACATGCACTGCTTGCTTTTCGGAATTGAAATGATCGGAAACTAAATGTTGGACAGCACTCTTTCCTAAACCATCGCTGGCTCCTGTCAAAATGACAATCTTTTTCATGAGTGCAGAAGAAGAGGTGTTGTTGTTCATGAGCATTCGATTCAAACGTATGAAAATGGTGAGGATGGTGAGGATGATTGAGATTTTTTTATTTTGAACTCGAAAGATTAAGCGGTGAGGAGAAACTGTAATTCGAGAGCATTTAAATTGTCCGCTTTTTAGAATGGTGTTAGAAGTGATACGCGGAGTTGAAAAATGAAATTTCAGACATCACCGCGAGATTGGCTTGGAACACCATTATCATCTCTTCGTGTGGACACTAATCCAAACATGAGAGATAATGTCACAATTCATGATCTTGCCTCACAGGATTTCGTCACACTTAAAAATCCTGCATTGCCCTCATCACCGTCGTTCTCTCGTTTTGAACCAGGAATGGTTTATTGTCGTTGAAATTAGTAAGGAACAACTTGTCGTTCTTCTAAAGCATGCTGGAATAGAAATTGCAATTCAGTGTTTGAGTTGGCACAAGAGGATTCATTATGGAGATTGTGCAAAGAGGAATTTACAGGAGATGCATCTCATCGACCTCTCAACATTGTGACTGTGTATTGAACTTTCCATTCAAATAGGGTGAGTTAAATCATCATCAAAGAATATCATTTTCAATTTAATTGATTATTGCATCTCCATACTAACCATAATTACAACACGAATCAGTGACACTATTATGACACTGATTTTCAAAGAATTTACCAATATCCCAATACGGATGTATTCTTTGTGTGTGTGTCATGTGAAAATCATTCTTCCATTCTCAAAAATTCATTCCAGAAATTTTACGATTCATTCCCAATGCTCTTGTGATTAATGACTCGAGTGGATTTGATATTTAATTATTTTCAAACGTATCTCGATCAATCGACGTCTGGATTGCTCAATTTACCAAAATAAGAAGGTGGTTGATTCAATTTTGGAAAAAAGAGCACAAAAAAATGGAAACACTCGAGTTGCAGGCGGTAATGAGTGTTCGGGATGTTTGGATTCACATATTAGAAATGCTTGAAGTGAAAGATTTACTCCTTTCTATTGCATTGCTGAATAGGGATCATTACAAACTGATTCATGGTTCTTATTTGATGAATTTTATATTAAGAAGAGATTTTAAAGAATTAATCTTGAAGGATGATGATGATTTTTATAAAAATCATTTGGAAAATAATGAAGTGAAGGAAAAGAACAGCCTTAATTACAATAATACTAATCATCACTTAATGAACAAGGCTTTCCGGAAAGACCATCAAAATTCCTTCAGTTTTTACGGTATTAATGAAAATGGACATTATCGTTTAGCAGTTCCGAATTGGAGTGAATATTCAATCATTCCCATACATGATTTTAAAGCATTTTATTTGTTATTCAAGAGTGAATTGCAACGTAGGAATACATGTTGTCGGGGTTTTATATTTGATCGAATTTTCTCTACCATGTCGAGCTCGAAAATGAAGAGAAGAATCACAGAGTGTCGACATGATGAAGTTCGTTCAGTTCTTCCTATGAAGACACAAACAAATGTTAGTTGCATTTCCAATGACTCGAATTCACTTCATGAAGGAGGAGAATCCAAACAATCTTCATGGAGAACTATTCACAACTATCAATTCAAATGCAACCAATGTGGATTGACTCTCGTTACAGAGGGATTTCATCCTTGTGAAATTACAAAAAGTACCTCCAGTGGAAATGTTTATTACTGGCTTCAACCAGGCCACAAGTATCGAATCGAAAATATTAAAGAGGATGAATCGGAAGCTCTGACAAGTTATTAGAAGAGAACATCTTTGAAAATAAGGCAACTTTCCCGTACAGTGAAGTAAGATCAAAGAGGAAGTGAATTTTTAATGAGAGACATATCGAGGAGTGTACAAATTGGGAAATTATACAAAAGAGTAGGCACATGTTCCAAGATGGTATACTTTTTAATTTGGGCTTGCTCTAAACAAAAAAAACAACTACTTTCACATTGTCAATAATTACTAGCATCTGAATACATACTTTCATTGTTATTTAACAAGCACACAAAGAAATGGTAAAAACTGATCATATTAAATTCATTGATGAATGGGACAAACAACATGGTAAGTTAACAAGATGTAACGCAGGAGCCATTCACAATTGCATTAATATCTCAATCTCTTTATAAACAGCTCCAAAGGATCATGTTTGGCATCCCATGACAAAGAAGGAGCTTCGTCACTATCAAGAACAACCTTTCCTTTCCAAAGTGGGAGAAACGTTATCCTCCAATCTAAAGAATATACCACTCATTGGAGAGCAATTAGAGTCACAAAAGAATTCATGGCAAGAGCAAAATATGAGAAAACAAAGAAAGGAGACTGATACCATGGGTTATGCTGGCATCAATTTAGAAGACACAGCGTTCCTTAAAACTCTCGACGAGCCTCATTATTGATCGTGTGGCGAATGTTTGAACAAACTGCAGCTTAATGAATGAAGCAGGCGAACCAAGCATATACCACTCTCATTGCTGCATGTTGAATATGCTTGGACGTTACAATGTAAATAAATTCTCCAATTGTGGTAAACAAGTCTATATTTCACATGTGTGAAAATGTTTTAATATAATAAATAAATAATAATAATAATAACACTTTGGCATTGATTGATGAATATCACGAACCGAAAGAGTAATTACACCTTCTCTTCCGTCTTGTCAGTCTCGGTCGTCACTTCATCCCTGCCAACAGATGTAGCGATTGGAGTGTCAACTTCTTTTGGAGATGTTACAATTGCTGGTTTTTGTTCCTTCATCTTAATGTAAGAGTAGTAAATGGTACCGCCAAGGGCAATGACAACTCCAAAGAATTGGGTCCAGTTGAGTGGAGTGTTGAAAATCAAAGAACCAACATAAATGATAACAATGGTCTTGGAGTGTCCAACCACTTGATAAGTCAAAGCAGAGAGTTTACCAATAACCAAGAACGATCCCAAATTCACATAGAAGGCAATAAAGCATGAGAGTAACACAAAGGACTGTTGTTCAGACAGGACAACAGAAATTATCATGTTGACCAACCATATTCAATTCCACCATGTTCATTGCAAATTTTGTGTTAAATTAATCAACAAATCCAATGTGATGGTCACATTAAAATCCCGAAAAACAATATTAATGTTGCAAAAGCAATTTCCAATAATTCCAAAAATTCACGTGTATGACATTCAAACGAGATCGTGTCAACATAATTATACAAAATCACACCACAAATCAACTTACAAAGTATGAACGATCAGAAGTCATTTGTTGCCAATCGTAGGCAATGACGTCAGTTCCATCAATGAAAGGAGCACACAACAAAACAATCACAGAGGCAATAGGAGCTTGATAGATGAGCAATTGAAATGGGTTAGCATTTAGATCCTTATTCTTTCTTTGAAGGAGCAATTGCTGAACAGCAGTAGCCAAAATGGCCAAGAAACAAGTAAAAGTACCAAAGAATGTAATTCTCACTTCAGCAGTCACAGTAATGGCCAAACCAATAATGATCAAAACCACAGATAATAATAACTCCTTTGAAGCAGTCTCCTTATAAAACAAATAGCTCAATCCCAAAATGGTTGGCATAATCACAAGCTTGGAAAGTTGATAAACACCAATAGTGTTAAATTGTAAACTCAAATTGTTGAACAAAACAGAGAGAGCCAATAACAAGCCCATAATGAAAGCAGAGGACCAATCCAACTTCTTCATCTTGAACATTTCCAATGCTTTATATTTAGGGAAGATGTTATGAGCCTGTGCAAGTGCATAACTGAATACAGCAGTGAATAAAAAGTGGAAACCCATCAACAAGGTACCTGCTTGAAAATTGTAGTATTGATACAAGTACTTGTTGCAAAAGATGATGGATATAGAGGAAGAGAAGGAAAGGAAAATATATCCAAAGCTATGCAGGAAGGATTGTAGTTGTGAGGTTGATTGTGCATCGGACGATCCAGAGCCAGTCATTTTGAGTTTTTGGGTGATGATTCAAAAAACGAAGAGGAGAGTAATGTAGGATGGTAAAAATGAAAATTCAATGATGGTCAGATAATTTATCGTATGATACGGCAATGATGTAGTGGTGGTAGTGGTGGTGGTGGTGGTAGTACTTTTAAAAGTATTTAATCTTCTCCAAAGATGTCGTCGTGATGGCCGTGATGAAAAAAAAAAGAATGAACGAATCAACCAATCGAATTCCCCCAAAGATGATTTTCAGCAATTTTTTTTAACGTTCCAACCAATCCACAGTGTTCATGGATGACAGGATTGCTTTGAGAATACAACAGAAGGGCATTGATGGTTTGTGATTGTTGGAGAGCTTTGGATTTCCAGTGCATACAACAACAATTATACTTTGATAGACAGTTAGGTTGACCTGCTTTGAACAAGTTCATTCAAATTGCAATCGGCAGTTTCCTCCATCAACGACCTTTGAAATTGTTTCCATCACAACATCAGTTTTGAAATTGTCAAACTTCTCTCATGCTGGTGCGTTTCCTCCATCTCATGAGCTGCATCTCCAAATCAAGCTTGCAATCCATGAAAGCAACTGACCAACACTGCTCAGCTGACAACTCATCCAGACAAAACTCTCCTGATTCGTTCATTCGAAATTGCTACGCCGTACGGGAACAACACTCGACGCCGACGCGAAGGAAAAAATCAGTGCATTCTTTTTTTGTGAATCTTTGCATCCTCCTCATCCTTCTTGTGATTGAGAGTTCACCGCTAGACTAAAGATCTCTTCTTCTTTTGAAAACAACAACAGCAAGCTACCAAACACAGAGGCTTGAGAGCGTGCATGTCATTCTCGCGACAACATTGTTGTGTTCTCTCTCAGTGTTGGTAATAGAATATTAATTTTCGGTTGACCATTGGTTGAAGAGATTGTGCAATCTTTGAAATATTATACATAATTATATTCAGATTTTGTTATGCGAATTCATTCATTTCAATTCAACAACAACACAATTTTGGAGCTAGTTCGTTAATTACAATTATATTAACAACCTTTTTTATTTACTATTACTAGCATCACCATCAATAGCAAACCTTTCAACACACTTCATCATCACCAATAATACACCAACACACACACCACCATAACTGATGGGGCAACATCAGGTCTCTTCCATCACGCACTCGGATGAAGTGCAAGATATGAATGCCTCATCCTCCCTTCCCATCAATAGAAGAACTCTTGGCCGAACAGTAGCAGCAGCTTCATCACCATCATCATCATCATCAACCAACAACTCACCACGAGGAGGAGGAGCATTAGAAGGAGGAATCAAACAACAGCAACAACAATGGAATCATGGCGATACATCCCACATGATCTCTACCTTCCGATCATCCATGCCTGTGGCTCAGGGCGCCGATGCCAATTCCATCATCCCTAACACGGTACAAAACAGTTTGGGAAACCCTTCTCATCCTCCTCATCAGAATGGAAAAACTTGTTCATTGCCCATTCACCCAGTCGCTTCTCTTCCATCTTCATCCTCCTCGACCATTACCACTCGATCGAGTCCAACAAGACGAACTCAAAAGTCAAAAGGCAAACTGGGAGCAGGCTTACTTGCAACATCCTTCTCAAGAAGACATTTCAATGATGATTTAATTGGAGACGATGAAAGTCAAGAGAGCGAGGAGGAGGATGACGAAAATTATAATACAGAACATTGTACGACCAATCATGTCGATACCAACCATCATCATTACGATGATAATGTCGAACATGATAGCGATCATGATGAAGAATCCATACGAAGAAAATTGCGATCCACCTTGTATCCTAAAACACATTACAGTTATTATTGGAAACCCAATGTATACAAGGACTGTTTCATGCCAACAACCTCGTCACGATCGTCAGCTTCTTCCTCTCGATACCTAAAACAAACAAATACGGATCTATATGCATCATTATCAACTGATGATACTTCTCAATGTTTGGAATGGACCATACGATTAGATCCAGAGAACGATCCTCAATTTTATGAGCTCGCTTTTTCACTGTTTCATTTCCAAAAACCAGACGATGAATATGATGAAGCTGTCATTCCAACCTCTCATAGCATCGAAGAAGAGCAGAATGTTTCAAGCTTGGCATTTAACACCCATTCAGTTGCATTCAACACCACCACCACTGCCACCACTTCCCCACAAAATATTCACACCAATCATACATCTCCCAAAAAAAACCACCGTGAAAATGGTGTCACATCACCTCAGTCCCTTACTCATCTCACTGCCACAACCCCCAACTCAGACGCTCCCACATCTGTTCCATCTTCTCTCATCATGGGCAGTTCTACAACTACTACTACAGCGAGTAGTACCACCATGGATACTGATCCTTTCTCGATTGGGCTTGGAACCTCATCGAGTACGTACCTTAATATCCCTTCCCCTTCCTATCATCGACCAAGAGGAAGAGCATTCCTCATTGGTTCACAGTCCTCTTCATCTTCCAATCCTCATGCATCCATCAATTCCTCATCATCCAATCATTTTTATCCATTTGAATCAGATAGAAACAGTAGGGACATTTCTTCCTCATCACCTCTTCTAAATTCAGCTGGTATCAATCATTTACATTGTCTCAACCAATCAGATGGTAGATTCTCTTCCAACTCAAATATGTATTTGAATGAGAAGAGAAGAAAATCTCTCGAGAGAACCTCACGTGACTATCGAAGAGAGCTTTACCTGGAGGTCTTGCGTACTAGATTTGAAAATAGAGGTGCCATACCTCAAGACGAGAAAGATCACAACAAGAGACACCACCAAAAATCAACCCACTATATTTCTGCAAGCCAAATCGAACAAAAGGTACCATTTGAAATTATGTTTCAGATACTGAGCTATCTGACACCAGAAGATTTGATCAAGTTGGGAAATGTGAGCCGAACGTTTCGATACATATGGACAGAACATCCACTTTTGTGGGTGCGGTATCCATATGTCATCAACAATGAGAATGGAGATTTAAATTTGGGAGAAATGGTAGAACAAGAAAAATCTAGAATTGGTTCATCATTCATTGATCACGCCTCGCTGCGAGAGCTCATTGAAGAATCTCCATTCACCACTGAAAAAACCAATATTGTTCGTTCGAGCTGGAAGAATATTTACAGAGCGATTTATCATGGTTATACGAAAGGTCCATGGAATAATTATTGTACTTTTTACAACAATGTAAATACTCAAAGCGTAGAATATCGATTAAGCATGATTGAAATTAAGGTTTGCTTGGTTGGAGGCTCGGGTACTGGTAAAAGTTCATGGATTCTCATGCTCAAAGATGCCAACAATGGAGAGACACCAGAGATCTACAAGTCTAGATCCAAAAAGATTGAATACATGGAAACCACTATTGGTGCCTCCTATACTGTAAAACATATTAAGGTGACACTTCCACATGCTGCATCCTCGAGCAATGATTCCCAAGATGATGACTCCATATCATCAGAAACTGATAGTTACATTATGAATCGTTTTGTACCAATTATTTCTGAAAGTATTTGGGATACCTCTGGTGTTAAGAGATACTTCCCTCTAATTCCTCTTTATTTGAGAACATGCAAGGGCATAATTTTATGTTTTGACCTTAACAGACAAGAGTCGTTTGATGAAATGATTGAAATATTCGAGGAATACATTTTCAAACAACAGGCAAACAAATGTGAGACCATGGACTTGTTTGAAAACAAGCATTTATTTGAAAAATGCCTTCAAGAACAAGATACATATGTCTATGTGTGTGGAATGAAAAGTGACAAAGAACGGCATGTATCCAACGAGAAAATTACCCAATTTTTGCACAAATATGGAGGATCTAGAATCAAGATATTTACCAATAATTTTCTCTATTTTGAATTAAGTTCACTCACAGGAGAAAATGTGTACACACCATGGTTACACTTGGCCTACTGTGTTGCTCTGAATAATCAGAACGATCATGCATGATGAAAAATGTTTGCACAAATCACTTTCCAATTTTGAACCGGTTCAAATAGTTTATTAACAAGGTGAGAGACGGTTGCCAACCTTCCCCTTTTGTACTTCAGCTCCATTTGATCATAACAATAATACAAATTGCTTCTTTCGTTTTTCGACATTTTTGGTCCTTTAACTTTCCGTTTCGCATCCATAAAAATTTACCTCAAGTTCTCTTCTCTCACTTCAATGCATTCTTTGATAGCTCTCTCCGAGGAGTATTATACTCATCCACCCAGTGGACTTGCTGCACATTCATCATCACAAGAGGAATGTATGAGTCCGAACACTCCCTTTTTTACTTATAGCAATCTGTTGAGTCAAAATTTAAAAGAAAGAAATATTCGAGTGAAGGAGATTGTGGCAGGAACCGATCGATTGGTGTTTTTCATTGCGGGTGAGTTTAATATTAAGTTATTTGAAAATGTTGTAATTTGTTGTATTTTCTTGATGATTCTTCACAACAAATATTTGATATTTTTGATTTGATGATGATATTTATTAATAACATTTTCCGGTTCCGATTTTCCGATCGAAATTCAATATTTGATGATTTTGTTGCTCAAAAATTATTGAATTCATAAATGTCCTAAAACTGATCATTGGTGTGATCATGATGACCTATTTCACATATTGTTTCCATTTTTGGACGAATTTGGGTTTGCAGTGGACGGCTCGGTCTACGTGTTGGGCAAGGTGGATAAGTGCACCAATGGTATGACCAAAGATGCTGTCGAAGATTGGAAATTGAAAAATCCAACCAAAGAATTTCTTGACTTTCCACAATGCATTGTCAGAGGAAGTGAAAAACCAATGGAGAAGGTAATCATTGGATTTAAACACACATTATTCCTTGCCAAAGATGGAGAAATATATGGTTGTGGTGACAACGATAGGAAACAAATGAATTTTGAAGGATTTCATATCAGCAGAGCGTTTGGATTAAGAAAAATTGTCATTCCCAATGAACCAACAACCAAATTCAAGTTGGCTTGTTCTGGATGTGATTTTTCAGTGTACATTACCAATGATGGAAGAATGTTTTCAAGGTAAGATTGCATTTGGGTTGAATTTTTTGTTCTATTTTGGAAATTGTACTCATGCACAACTTGTGTGACAATTAATTCACTAATTATTGCACATTTTTTTGCGATCTTTTTAATAATTGCACATTTACTTTTACATGAATAGTGGAGGAAATTACAGTGGGCAATGTGGAATTGGAGTTTATAGAGATGTTGTCATGACAGAAGTTGATTACAAAGCACAGCTTGAACGCCTACACGCCCCATGCACAACAATAACAAATATTAAGGCCACCTATAACACAACCATTTTTATGACTGCTGATCGCAAGTTGTTTGCATTTGGAGACAATTCCTATGGATGTTGTGGATGTGGAGAACAATATCAGCGAGATAACCACAATATTATTCGAGTTGGAATGTCCAGCCCTGAATTTTTAAAGGAAGAAATTGCCGACTTTTCTTGTGGATTGTTTTTTGTGGGAGTAATTACTTGTAGAAATGATGTATATGTACTAGGTTTGTGTTTTTATTAGAATAATTTGCAAGTCAATATCAATTACTTGAATCGTTACTTGTCACTTCATTGTATTCGCAATAACGGCCCTAATTATTTGAATGTTTCGATTGTTTCATTTTGTAAGGTTACAACAATTTTTGTCAAATTTCCTGTAATCATAGGACACAAATTTGCACACCAACAAAGATTACACAATTTAATGGAATTGCTCAATCGATTTCATGTGGAGGCTATCATTCCATTTTACTGACAACCGATATGCGAGTTTTTGGAACAGGCGACACGTCAGATTATGCGTTTTTTAAAATTGGAGCACAATACGATCGTTTCACAGAGATTAATTTGGAACCAATGTTTGGCAAGAAAAAGCATGACAGAAATAAGAAGAAGAAGACCTTTGCTATTAGTGCTGGCATTTCACACTCTGTCGTTTATACCCTCTCTACTTCTCTATCGTTATGTTTTCCTTTTATGAATAGAGTTTTAATAGCAGCAAACCATTTATCAGATGTTGATATTTTATTTTTGAATGAAGATGTGGATATGATCATGTAACAACAAGCTCTTTTCATCTTGAAATCTCAAAGCAATGAAAAAGAGATGGACTACCAAGATCAATTTTCGAGTATTTCGAGAGGAACAGGTGGACATGGAAAAAATTTTCGAACATGAATTAGGATTTTCACCAACTTTACCTTTTTCCCTTACATGGTAATGTCGAGCTCGAATGTTTTTCCAGGTCGAATTGAAGTTGTTGTTTCAATCATGAACTTTTTTCTCACTTCACAAAAATCAACAACTTGTCTCACCTTTTCAACACTCTCAAAAAGCAACACACTCCAAGAATGGAAGGAATCAAAAAGACAGACGATTTCAATGCCCCAAAGAAAATGATGGGAGGTGGCGAGGATCAAAACATTGCTGGAAATCTTGCCAATAACTTGTCAGCCTCTGGTGGTCAATACGTCGATGTGGGCGGAAGAAAAGAAAGTGAAAAATCGAACATTTCTCAAGGAAAAGATCAACTGCGAGTTGGACCTCGTGACCAACCTATTGAACGTACCTCTAACATTTAAATAGATGGATTTCAAACGTTGTGGATGATGAGAATAAAGGAGAGGTATAACAAATAACAACTTGTCTTTGCAAGTGTTCCAAAAGCAGAATTTATAGAAAATAAATATCTATTTAAAGTTGAACCATGCAGCTCCAAACCATAAAAAATATTAATTACAAAATTAATGGAAAAGGACCTGCTGGTGGTGATTTCAAAGGATTTCAAAGGCATCCCTTAATATCATCATCAAATTTTCTCTTTAAAACTATTAAGGTAAACATTAATTCATCATGGTGAGCATTTTAGTGGGAACAAAGGCTCGGAGGGAACACAAGTTCCAATGGTGGAGCCTAAAACTAATTTCTCTGCTAATCATCTCGACCGTAATGATTGTGGTGGGAGGTGTGGTTCTTCCTTCCCTTAAAACGCAAGGCTTATGGAACTTCAAGGTGAATTTAATCGCGGGTTCTCAGAAACAATCATCATCTTTGGAAGAGTTTCCGTCAGTGCTTCAATTGGGTCATCAAGAGATGAAAACTCCCATGATGCACATAATTCCTTCGTTGAATGACTTTTTCGCCCTTTCCACAGACAACAACACCGACAACAACAGCACGGATGATAATCCGTATGCTTCCTATTTTCTGGCAATTAACGCCTCAAAGGTATGTCTGAATTTTTGATCTTTTCATTTTGATTATTTCCATAATGTGCCATATATCTAAAAATAATCATCACTAGAATTGCGAGTTTTCTACTGTTCCAAGCAATCTAAGTTGTTTTTATCTTAACTGGAATGGATCTGGCTGTGACGCTGACAATAGATATTTGCAAATGGTAGAATGTACAGCACTACATGAGGCACAACCAGTTTTTTATATATTTGCAATTATTTTGATTCTAATATTCTTTTACTTGTTAGGAGACACGGCCGAAGCCTATTTTTCTCCCTCTCTGATCAAGATTTCTCAGTACCTAAGGATGTCTTCGAACCTTGCTGGTGTCACATTACTCGCTTTGGGGAATGGTGCGCCCGATTTGAGCTCTATTGTAAGTTTAATTTGAATCTTTGATGTAACGATAAGATTAACTCACTTGGAATCTACAAATATTTTTTATACATTATACATTTACATCACCAAAGATTGTCGGAATGTTTTCGGGAAATGTCGCCTTTGGAGTTGGAGAACCCATTGGGGCTGGAATGTTTGTCACAAGTGTGGTGATGGGCTCTGTTGCTTTATTCTCCAATGTGAAGGGTATTGCCAGAAGACCTTTCTTGCGAGATGCCTTGTTTTATCTTGTGAGTGTGTCTTATACTTTTTTCCTTTATATTGATGGGCGGGTTTACATTTGGGAGGCAATTTTATGTTTAATCATCTATGTGGCTTATGTGGTCACAGTAATCGTTGGACGAGTCATTTACAAACGACTCAAAAAACGAAAAGAAGAGAAACAAAAAGTTCTTCAAAGGACAAAAGGGATAAAGGTCGAACTGAAGGATTCCCTGATCAACAACGTTAACACTAATCAAGATGACGTGAATAAGGAGACATTAATTTCTCCTGTTTCTCAAGAAAATAACAGCTGTGAGATCAGTGCCGCAACACCCTCGACGTCCACTGAGGCAAATGTCACAGCTCGTGATTCATCCTTTGGCCCTGTCATTGAAGAAGAGGGTGAAGAGTCTGACGAAGAGGAATTCGTTGGTTGGACAAAAACAATCGCTCGGGATGTGCAATTCAAAGAAACCACCAGAGCTGATAGCAACAACATGCACAGTCGTTTCTTTATTCCAAAAGCAGGTATTATTGACTACAAGAAAAGGAGCTCAGAAAATCATCAACAACAAAACAATTATGTCATTACTGATTACTTTCATAAGGACAATGAAGAACAATCTTCCCAGTATTATAAAGTGGAAGATCACTCTGGATTTCCCAATGAGAATCCAGAAGAGACTTCCAATCAAGAGCCAGAAGAAGGAAAACTCAAAAGATACCTCAACAAGTTTTTAGATAGCATCGAATGGAACGAAAAGAAATGGTATGAAAAGTTAATGTTTATATTTGTGGAATGGTATTGGGTCTTACTAAGAAATATTACAATTCCCAAGAGTGATGAAACAGAATGGAACAAATGGTTTGCGATGTGTATTCCAATATTTTCACCTCTTGTTCTATTGGTTTGTGCTGGCTATGACAAATTCATATATCTGATCAACAATGCATTTCCAGTGGCAGTTTTACTCATCATGGTTGGATGTATTGTTTCCATCATAATATTCTTCACTTCAAGAAGAAAACAGCCACCCAAGTACATGCCTATTTTCGTGGTGTATGCATTTGTGCTCTGCACTGCTTGGATTTACCTTGTGGCTAACGAACTCTTGTCCTTATTGGAAGCATTAGGAACCATCATTGGAATTCCAAGCTCAGTTCTTGCCATTACAGTTCTGAGTTGGGGAAATAGTTTATCAGACATGATTGCAGATGTTGTGGTTTCCCGACAGGGTTATCCTTCCATGGCTCTTGGTGCCATCTTCGGTGGACCAATGCTGAACCTTCTGATTGGATTGTTTGTGGCATTGACCTTTGCCCCCACACAACTCACCAAATTTTGTTTCAGCTTAGATTCAGATCCAACTGTGAATTTAAGTTTCATTTTCCTTATTGTTTCCTTACTTGCATCTATTATCATTATTCCATTGCTAAAGTTTAGAGCTCCAAAAGCATTTGGTGTGTTCATGTTTTGTCTGTACATTGTGTATTTGGTGATGGCATTGCTTTCTGCCTTGTTCCCACCTGTTCAAAAAGCATTCACGTGGAGAGGAGATGACCGATGTTAACTTGAGAGTGCCACACAAGTGAATGATGACAATTTTCCTTTCTTGTGACAGAAGTCACTCAAAAAAATAAACACTTCCTAATGGATGACATTCACGGAACATTTCTGCTGGAAATTCAAACTATTCCACAAGATGGTGATTAATAAAAACCGAACACCACCAAATATTGATCACAAAATAATAGATCATTGCTAGGAACCACCAATGACCTCCTCACACAACAGCAACCCTTTCTTTCAATTTGACATTCCGGACGAAAAGACAATTGAAATCCATAGTGGTGACCATTATGATGACGACGACACTCACTTACCCTCCATCCTTCTCAGGACCTCACATTCATTCTCCAATCTCCATCATCATTATTCTCAATCCCATCACGATCAACATAATCACCACATCATGACCACCACAACGATGGATTCTCCTCAAAACTCCTCTGTGGTTGGTTTTTTCGAAAAATTCAATCATCTTCTCCACAATGGTCGTGATGATTTATGGAGTGAAAAAGGAGACGACCATCATCATCACAATGACGAAGAGGAGTTCTCGTTTGTCATGACCTTTCTAAGTGCGACGACGACACAACTATCATCCACAAGCACCACACAACAAGCACCACCACCTTTACTATATTCTCATGAGAAGGAAAGATCATTGAATCATGAGCATGTTCAACAAGATTCCATAAAGGAAATGTGGGATCACTCGAGTGGTAGTGTCACGTGTCATTTTTTTGAGGATGGAACAATGTCAAATATTTTGACAACGGTGAGTGATGTCACTCCAAGTGATTTATTGGTGATGCATGATCATGCAGTTTTGAGGAGTAGAAGTGGTACACGTCGACGAGAAGATTTTGAAACATCGAACCGTCCAAGTTTGGAAAAATTAGAGTTACTTAAATTGGGAACATGTGAAATTTTGAGAATTTTTGAATTTTTAATTGGAGATGTCTCTCGAGCAAAAAGTGAAATGAATTCACAATTTTATTGGAATATCATTCAAAGTCATTTACATGGCCACGAATCAGAACATGATGCATTATTGGCCTTATTTAACCTTGTTCCTCCAAAAGAAAGCGTTCTTTCTTTGCGATATTTGTATGAATTGAATAAGAAGAGAAAAATTTTCCATGTCACTAGTGGAGACGAAAAAACCATTTTCGAATTTTGGAAAAATGTCTATGTCCATTTTGAAAAGATTTTATGCGTTTTTAGAAGTTTGATGTTCACAAACATGACTTTGGCGATGGGAAGAATTTCTTGGTATGAAAGAGAACAATTGGCAAACATGCAACGATTGATTGTAGCGCATGAAATGGGAATGGATCAACCGTTGAAAGTTGGAGAAACTTTGGAACCGTTCGATGATCAAGTGGAATTTATTGACAGCCCAAACGATGAATATTTCTCATCACAATATTTAGAGAAGGAATTTTTAACAAAGTTTAAGAGATTAGAATTGACTCCATTCAATGAACAATTCATCATGCAAGGACATGAGGATGGAATGTTTAATTTGGCCATTTTCAAAATGCTTCAATTAAGCTTGAAAATGTTTCGAGATTTTGATTTGGATGTCAAAGATTTGGCGTTACCAAATAATTTCAGAAATTCTCATGTGAGATTTGAAATGGATATTTTTAATACTAGAACAAGAAAACTTGGTTTTTGTATGGATTACAACTCGTCTTTTCAGTTTGAAGTAGAAAAAGATGAACAGGATGAAATTATTAATAATCTTTCCAAATATGTCATTCTCGATCTTCGAGACGTCACAAATTTCTCCAAATATTTAGATTTCATACTTCCTTCTGAAATTCAATTTCTCAATTTTTGCAGTTCCATTCCTTACAATTACGATTTGGGAAATGTCTCCTTTTCGAATGTGAAATATCTCAGAATTAACATTGAGGGACATCATGAATGCGATGTTGGAGATGAAATTGCCGATTATGGAAATCCAGTCTTTGTTGAAGATACCACAAGTATGTTTTTAAGAGAAATGCTCTCCACCAAAAGATTTCCAAATTTAATTCATTTGGTGTTAAGAGGAGCTCAAAGTTTATCCTTTCTCGAAGAAGAATCAGGTTTCGAGGGACAAAGTGTTCTTTCACAGCTCTGGTTTTTAGAGTTATTAATCAATGATGACACAAATGGATTTTATGGAAATTCAAATGGTGTGGAAACTCTACGAAAGATCACTAATCGAATGTCTCAACTGAAACAACTCATTCTTAATGTCAATTTAGATGTCAGACGATCCTCTGGAGTGGATTATGAAAAATTGAAAGAAATTTATGGAATTGGAAATGGTAGATTTACAGTCTCTGTTGGTCGTGTGAGCATTGCTCGATTTTGTAAATATGCTTTTGCTAATGTCTATCAAAAAACAATGCATTGAGAGTTCATTGATTTTTAAAATTGTTGAAATGAGATGTTATTGAATTAAAAAATGTTGGTTGACATTTCGAAAAGGAGAATTCATAGGCGTTCATCATGATGCATGAATTGTGAGAGAATTTTAATGAGAATGTGTCAATCTTCGATAACTTTCCGTATTGAGACATGTCATTCTCATTGTCACCACAACGAATACTACAATGACAAGTCCTACAAAGTATCCAACCGATAAGCCAGTCACAACAGCAACAAAAGTCGTACTCGAAACATTACTCGATGCAATTGCATGAAAAACATAAACTCCTTCATACAAATCAGATGATCCAACCATTTCCTTATTTAGCAATGGAATGCCTGTGAAATTAAATTGTAAATTATTAAGGCAGTCCGTGTTGATTTGATTAAGGTTTCCATCGTTGGAGAGAAAACCATTCATCATTTGCATGGAACAATGAATGTTTGAATTTTTCACTGGAGAGTTGAAAATGGTAGAAGAAGAACTGAAAGGAATGATAAAAAGTTTGTGGTTGAAACCTGACAGTTGTGAGTTCAACTTTTTAGCTGCACTTGATGGAATGAAAGGATCCAAGTCTCCGTGCAGCATCAAGATGGGAAGATCCTTCTTGTTGGAAAACAATGGTACAGTGACACTTGTCAAAGAACCCCATCGACTTGTCACATTAAATACATTAAAATATTTCACAGCCAAACTATTCAACAAGTACGAATGTTCTGCAAATTTAACCAATTCCTCTCCATTCTTCACATCGTCACTCTTCCAAAATTCTCTAAATATTAAATTGTACATTAATGAGTCACTTGTCATGGAAGGTTCATGTTCCATATCAAAATTATTCTTCTTTTTCAATGACTTGTAAAACTGTGCCATTCGATACAAGATATGAACATCCTTCTCACTACTACATCGTTCCAATCGATACAACACTGCAAATACTGCATTTCTCCTCAAAGGATCCAACAAGAAATATCCTAACATTTCATTCATGAGTGAAAATGGAACTTTTGAAGCCAAGAGTCCACAAGGTCCATCCTGATGAGAAGAATTGTCATTTCCATGATCATTGTCATCATCACCTCCTCCGCCTGAACTTGAACTAGTTACAAGTTTTTTCATTTCTTGAAAATCATGATTCAATGATGAATCATTGACATGATAAACTTTTCTAAACACATTTTTCATCCATTCGTAAACATCTTGTCCATTGAATTTGAGTGAACACGTGGAATCGAATTGTGAAAGAGAATTACAAGTTCTGAGAAATGATTTCATGTAATCTTGAATGTAGTGATCGATGGTGTCGAAATGGTAGTCGAGTGGCATGACTTGATCAAAAACAATGCCATTGATGGAATTGAGAACGTTGTTAGTGTCACTTGTCACATTGTTTTCTAAAGTGTAGAGCATTTTTAAAATCCAAATCGTTCCATAACCATTTCCATAGAGAAAGAATTTGTCAAAATATCCTTTCGAGAGAAATGTTGAAATGACCCGTGTTAAATCTCTTGCAGCTGCATCACTTGAATAATCTTTCAAATTTTGCTTTTTTAAATCTTTGAAACAATAAGGCCATTCCTTATTTGAAATTACATATCCATGATCTGAGGAAGGAGCTTCAGATTGTGATTGTAGACATGTTAATCGAGCGGACCGACCCATTCCTCGATGATCGAGCGTATAAACTGTGAAATCCATCTTGTCGGGTTGTTGTTTCAAAAAAGTCAAAATTTGAGACTCCCAATTTGTAAGAGCTTGAGATGAGAATCCAAACAATGAGGGTAACCACCACATGGTTGCCTTCTTTTTGGACGTGTTGCTTTGAATTTTTCTAAATCTCTTGACAAACAATGTTATTTGATTAGAACCATCTGTGACATTTTCCATAAATGGAACGTTGACAGCTGCACACTCTGCTGTGAAATCACTCAAATTGGTGTATTGTTCAAACGATAGAACTGGACATGGAATAAAATCATCATTATCAATAGCACTTTCCACAAGGACATGATTTTCATAAACTTTCAATTCCTTCCTCATCTCAACATTTGCAGTTTCCGATCTGACATTTGGCACATGTCCAATCGCCAGTATCATCCTTGTCATGGCCATCATTACCATCATCATCACCCAAACAGTCATCATCACCCCGACTCGCAACGACAACCTTCGACGTTTCTGTTTCATATTATTTTTTCCTGTAATCTTTCAAACTTCCAATTTCAGAAATTTTCAATGTAATGAAAACTCAGTCAATTCAACACTCAAAATCTCTCTCGATCGACGTCTTTCGACAAAGATTCTCTAGAGAGAGAGGTGTCTTTTAGAAGAAGAGGCAAGAGAATAATTCGCTAGGAGATTTTTTCTTCTTCTTGTTGTTGTGAGAAGAGGCCGGCGGTGATTTTTGTGGGGAATTTGGAAAATCAAGTTGTGTTTGGGTTTCCTAGGAAGAGAGTCTCTCTAAAAAAAGAGACACTTCTCGATTTAAAGATGTGACTCGAGAAGGATGATGAGACCAGGAAGTTCACCCGAACATTTGTTTTTTGATGGTCATGATGGAACCGAACGAATTCTCAATGACTTTTGTTATTTGTGTGACTTGTGTGATCGGAATCACTCTTGAAAGTCTCTTTGGTAGAAGTCTTCATGAAGTAATTTCGTGGATCGCCGAGGGATTCATTCGGATTGGATTGCTCCGGCGTCGACTCTATATTTCTCTGTCTGGAAGGCACATCACAGAATATGGTAGTTGACGAGGTCATTGTTCAATTTTACATCAGCAACAGATTTCAATTCTGATCTCCAATCAAAAGAGTTGGTGGTTTTGTAAGTCATGGCCCTAACTGATTGAAAGAAGTGTCACATTGGGATACTTGCTTGTTTATAACTGCCAAACCATCCACACCTCTTTAATGTATTACTTTTTCATGGACCATGTGGACAAAGAAGAAGCCCAAGAAAGGCGAAATATTGAAATGATGACCTAAGGATGTTCGAGAGAAGGTGACAAACTTTGAATTCAAAGATGATGTTCAAAGAAAATTGTCTTCAGCACTGTTTCCTCTGGACATCATGAAGTAATATGAGGTCATGTTAAGGAGGTATGGATCTCGTAAAGGTCAATTTACAAACAAGGTCTGAACACAAGGTGCAGTGAAAAGAGACCGACACACGTCAAATGTCAAATCATTTAAAAAAAAACCTCCATCTCTCATCAAAACAACAACAACAACAAAATGGCCACCTGGTCTTCCGGTTTATTTGATTTCATCGACGACACCAATTCATGTCTGTATTCCTTTGTGTGTACTCCGTGCGCTTTGGCCTCCGCAAAATCACACGTCGATGGTTCTTATTGGTTTTTCAATTGTTTAATTTCAACTTTAATTCCATGTATTGCATCACCTGCGTATAGACATAGTATTAGAACGAGTTACGGAATCAAGGTATGAACTTTCATGGAAATAATAATAATTGTTGTTTCGAACGATGGATTGAAAAATAATTTTTTGAAAATTGTGGAATGATTGAAATTTTGAAATTTGGCGAAAATTTAAATTTATTGTGAAATCAAAATTGGAATTTGTTGCAAATGGACATTTTGGAATGTGTTCTTTGATCATAATGATGGTGTTCATGAAAATGATTTTATTTGAAATTTTGTAAAATTCACACAAATCACAGGGTTCATTAACTGAAGATTGTGCATCTGGAGCTTTTTGTTCTTGTTGTTCAACAAGCCAATTGTTGAGAGAAGCTCAAGGTAAGTGGCATGTATTCATGATTTTAATTTTTGAAACATTTGAATGGTGATCTGTCACAAATATGCGACAATTATCATCTTTTGAACTCTTTTCTACATTTTTCAGCAAGAGGACCAAGTACTTATTCCATGTTTTAAATTCACGAACGAATAAACAGAAAGAATGTTTTTATATATTTTCGTTTGTTGTTGATATCATAATTATGACATACTCTGCTAAAGGTTTAAACGATGGCGAACCAAGTAATCCACGTGTTGTTCACTGTGAATTTCATCATCAACAACTTTTCCACAGATCGAAACATTGGAAGTTAAGTCCATTATTGAGCTCAATATCTAACTCCTGACAATTTATTAGCAAAGAATTGCACAATCTTAAAGATATCTATTCTCTGACATGTATTTCCTGCATTAGATTTGTCAAAAGATGACGATATGGCTTTGGTTGCTCAATATTTGACTGATGTTCAAAGACGATTTACACCCACAACTGTCGTTTGCTGAGTGTACAAGTGAGTTGAATGCAACAGAGACAAAGTCATTGCATGAGGTAAGAAAAATATTGACTGCGACGCCACCACAACCATTAGATTTGAATGGAACTTACAATGAAAATCCTATTAATCCAGAGATCTCTAAACGGTAAAGAAGACAAAGTAAATCAGAGTGTAAGGTTGGAAATAAAGAATTTTTCCACCCTTTAAGAATCAAACAATGACAAACGTTTTAGACCAATGATGTCCAAAACAGAGGCAATGATGAAAAAGCTCCTTAGCATCAATGGCCATGAAAAATACAGCCATCGGTTCATACATCATTGCTTCATTGCCTTGATTAATGAGGAAGTTTCAAGAACTCAAGAACTCAGAGATCCACAAATTCTTTCAAGTGGGTACTAGAAGAGAGTCTCTTCTTATTGAAAGAACAAAAAAATGCAACAAGACGCATTCAGTGGAGGCCTCGATGGCGGTGGTGGAATTTCATTTATGGATTTGTTTGGAGGCGAGGAATCATCATTGAATTTACAGTTGATGGAAGAAGAAGCAACCAACCACGTGTTGAGATCAACATCATCGGAAGCATCTTTGGAGAAGAAGAAAAACAACCATAATCCAAATAATAACAATTCCATTCCGAAGAGTAATCATCATCTATATCCTCCAACAAAATCGAAAAATGATGTTATCCATAGAAATAATAATAATAATGGAAGCAGTGGAAATGAAATCAACAAGATGAGCAATCATTTATCCAATAATTCTCAATCCAAGCATTCGGAAAAGAAGATGCAAAAGAAAAACGAAAATTTCCAAAATTTAGAAAAAAGCAAGCCTTTGAAGGAGGCAGCCTCGAATCTGAGTATTGTTGATTTATTATTTGGAAATGTAGGATCAAGTACATTGAGTGCTGGGTCGCAAACAAACTCTAATTTCATAGAGGAAGAAAATCTTGCTAAAAGTAAGGAAGCGTCATTTCCACATCAAAGAAAGAGCAATGAAAGAAACATATCGGAACAAACATTACAAAAAAGTCATCAACAATTACATTTGTCTCAGCATTCTCACATGGACACTCAATCATCTTCTTCTGATGAAGATGAGGAGGATGATTCTAGTAATGAAACTCAACTCTTTAAAAGTATCGAACAGAAAAAAGATAAGGTCATCCAAAAATCAAAAACAACCCTTAAAACAAACTCTACTAATTTAAAAACGAGCTCTGCCTCTGCCATCAGTTTAAGAAAATCATCTCTTGCCAAAGAAAAGGATAGAAACACTTCAGTTCCAATGAAGCGAAAATTTGTACAAACTCTTCTCGACAAGACCATGTTTGAAAAATCAACTCTTGCGAGACGAGACCATGAAAACATCCCCAATGTATCTTCTTCCCTCTTTTGCATGTGTTGCAATCAATACATCCCTATAACCTCTACATCAAAGAATCCTTCCAAGAAAACAAAAATTTCCAAAGGTACTCACATTGAATGGAGTGAACATTTAGAGAGTGACACACATAAGGATTTGAAGGAAATATTGAAACGATTTAATGTATTGTGCTTTGAAAGTGGTACATGTAAGACAAGATTTCATCATTTTGTGAATGCTTATTGTTTGATGAATTTTCACAAGGTATATGAATTTGCATGCAATTTTCACAAAAAAATCAAACGGAAACGAGTGATCCCTATTCAGAATGATGAAGATGAAACTAATATGTTGGTCTGCATTTTCATTGATTACATTGTAAATTTTGTGTATCGAAACAATTTTTCTACCGCTCTATCGTTGGACAGACAAATAAGTATGCAAGATTGTGAGAAAAGTGTGAAACGATTTTTTAACAGCATGAGAGAAATGGCCCTAAGTGTATCGTACCTTATTTGGAGAGATTATGGAAATTTTTTCGAGAGTCAAACTAATGAGGATTTTGGAGAAATTCTTTCAGATTTGGTGCATCTAGGATCTGATATTTTAACTCATTTGGCAGAATTTGGAAATTTTAATCCTGAAAATCTCTTTTTGGATGAACCTTTTGATTGTGAGGCGTTAATGCCGTATCATTCAAACTCAGAGGAAGATGAAGAGGAAGATGAAAGCTCGAACGAAGAGGAATGGTCACATGAACAACATGATTTGACAATCCCCAGTAATAATTCATCCATATTGTCTAATGAGGAGAACGAAGATAGTTCCTATCATGATCGCTCACAGTATTATTATCATTCACATCATCCATACTTTTCACTTTTCGTCAAATTGTACATTCAACATTTTTTCATGTTCAAGCCGTTGAGAGTGGTCATACCTGAAGCGGTCGAAGAATTTAAAAACGTGATTGAAAATACTGAACTCTCATGGGAAGAATGGGACAGTTTTATACGATCAAAGAAGAAGCAATTTTTGTCCTCTTGCAAAGATAAAACCTCCGATATCAATAGCGTTCCAGAGACACAAAACTTGATGGATCAAGAAAGCGTCTCTTCTCCCTCACCTCAGTCTCAAAATGTGACAACCCAGAAAAGTATTGAGGAATTGTTGTTTGGCTCCTCCTCTCAAACATTTGAGAGTTTATTTTTCATGCCGACCAATAATAACAAGCCAGCTCCACAAAAAGTTGCAAAACAACAAGGTCAGCCTCGAGAGAAATCAAAAACTCTCGAACTCTCTTCGAATAATGAGGTTCACAACGAAGAGGAAATGTGGGATTTGTTGCTTGAAGAGGAAGCTGGTTGGGTTCAATAAAAGTTTGATTTTGCAGTTCCAAATATTGAAAGTGTTTTTATCGTTTAAAAATCGTGCGTGCAACTCTCAACACAGACGTCACTCACATTCAAAACAAAGTTCATTTAATTTCGTCTACAATTTCCATAATTTACAAAGAAACAGTTTGTCTTGTCTTCATGGTACTAACAAATTCCTTATAGTCCAACTCTCCATCTCCATTCTTGTCATAGATGGCATACACCAAATCGACAACCTTATCAGAGACCTTAATTTTTGCGACACGTTCCAAAGCGCTCTTAAAGTCTTCCTTTTTCATACCTTTTCGACTTGCTGTATATAATTGGATCATGAGAGCAATATCATCCATATTTCTAGCCATGTCATTGAATGCCTTAAATGTTTCATAGTTAATTCTTCCAGTAGGAGCGAAAAATCCTCTAGTTTTAAGTAAATTCAATTGTCTCTTGAAATCGTTGATTTGTAACGAATTGTAATGAACGCTCTTGGTCATGAGCTCAGAAAATGCTTCGACAGATATTAAACCATTTCCTTCCACGTCGTACTGTAAAAATTCTTGTCTCAAAAGAGCATTCTTACATTGACGAATAAATTTGTTGAAATCATCAAATGATAATTTCTGATCTAATTCGGGTCCAAACAAACGAGTCATCAATCCGTTATTCTTCCAATCAATTTCATCAATATCGCCCTTTCTTATCTTTTGGTCTGTTCTCAATCGATTGGCTCGTACAATTTCCTTGAACTCCTCAGCCTCAATCTTTCCAGATCCATCCAAATCAAAGCATTGGAAAGCAATCTTTAATTGGCGTTCAGAACTGGTCATGAAAGTCATGAAAAGAACATATTCATCAAAATTAATTAATCCATTCTTGTCTGCATCTGCATACTCAAACATCATCTTTAATTGTGGGTCTTCAGCTCTCTTCTTATCCACCAATAATTTACCATCTCTTCTAGGTAATGCCACCCAATTTGGAATGTTTGGTCGCGAGGTGAGCAATGAATTAATAAATGCTTCAATGGACATCATCTTTTCAGTCTTTCCAGTTGTTGGATTTGTTATTGTGGTATCTGCGTATTCTTCAAACAATTCAGCAAGGCTCTTTGACTTTTTAGAAACTTTCTCAAGACCGGATTCAAGGACTTTCTTTTCTCCACTCAATGCATCAGAAAAATAATATCCCAATCCGAAACCAATCATGAGTCCAAACAAGCCGGTCATCCAAGGAAGACCCTTCTTGGTAGAATTTCCTGAGAGTCTGCGAATTTCCTCTGGTGATGTTTCAGTATAGGAATATTTGTAAAATCGGTATTGTTGTTGTTGTTGTTGGAATGAAACTCGATCCACTGATGATGGTGGATTTGTTCTCATTGTTGTCGTCATCATCATCATGTTTAAAATATTGCTGTTATTTTGATGATGATGATGAATATTCTGGCCAGAGCTCTTGATGAGCGAATTGAAACTCGCAATGAGTGTTGATCTCGCTGAGGATGCTTTGAACATTTTTTTTGTTTGCTCTGCTCCTCGAATGTTTCATGTTGTCATCATGGGCGATCTTTCGAGAATGATCAAAAGACAACGAGCTCTTGTTCTTTGACAAGAAATTAACTTGAGGTCATGTTTATTGCTGTTGTCATACATGATGATAGACAACCCATTGAGGTTGGTGTGGGCACAACTTTACTCAGCTCCAATGAAAAGATCAGAAATCTGGTACTCCATGGCAATCTTTTGATTCTTTTTCAGAGAATCAACCAAAGCAAGGAATGGGTTTTGAGATTGGAGAGTCTCAGTTGTGGCTTGTGAAATTTGTCCACCATTCTCAGCAGCTTCAACAGCAGCAGTCTTTTGAGCATTGACTTTCTGAAGATATCTCACACCCAAACGAATGGAGAAAATACCAGAGAAGAAGAACAAGGCAATGGCAATTCCATATCCTTGCAAACTAAGAAAGGAAGTCTTGGAGGCAACAATGGCCATCACAAAACATGTAAAGTTGAGAATCAAGTTGAGCAACATGAGAATAGGAGACTTCAACAACATGGAGACAATTTCAATAGCGAGCATGATCCAAAACACAACATGGAGATGAGCTGGAACGTAAGCGCCTGAGAAACTCAATGCAAGAATACAAATAACTTCAAAGAAGAGAGTCAAACACAACAAATTGAACAAGGAACCGATGAGAGCAGTTGGAGAACGAGCTCTCTTCTTCAACTTTTCCCACATTTGTCTCGCAATGGATCGTCCTGCGAGTCTCAATGTAGAATCCTCGGTACTGGCCTGAGCAACACCACCGTTCTCAGTTGTTGTCGAGGTGATGGTAACTATTTGTGGTTGCTGTTGTGTTTGTTGTGATTGTACAAATTGTGGTTGAATTTGATTTGTTGTTGCTCCAACATATTGAACAGGTGGAAGAGGTTGATTTGGAGTTTGTTGTTGTTGAGTGTACAATGTGGATCCTCCTTGCAATGTTGGATACACTTGTTGTTGATGAGGAAGCACTGGTAATTGTACCATATTGTTGTTTCCACCACCACCCTGAGTGGTTGCGGCCTGGAGCGTTGGGTATCCGGTCATGACGTTGGGATTCATCATCGCGATGTTACTTGTATTATTTTGGGTATTGTTTAAAATTCGGTTGGCATAGGGATGCGGAGGAAGTTGAGGTTGTTGATTGGGATCAGTAGTAAGAGCCATCGATGGATATTGTTGTTGTTGGAATGGACAGATAAATTGGTGTCTCTCTTAGGTGTTGTTGCTGTAAATTTTTTGTGTTCTAGAAGCTGGTGATGTTAGATTCTATTTGTGTTCTTTTTATAGTTGGAAATAAATTGTCATGATACAGCAGTTCCTTTGGTTGAAGAGAGCATTGGAAGGATGGGTCGTCTATTTCGTTGAGAAATACCAGAAGGATCGTTCATACATGATGATGATCCTCATCGCAAGAATTATTTTAACTCATCATAAAAAAAATTGTGTTTTCTTCTTTAACAATTACGGTTACAGAACCACATTAGCAACAACGAAATATTTTTAAGCTGACGTCATTGGTGTGTTAGAATCCTAATATAAAGATACATACTACTCTATTTTCGTACACATTTGAACACCAACCTTCGAATCATCATACTCGGATTTGGAACATTTTAAAAGTTTACATTTGCATTTGACTATTTTACACATAGACTGATTATTATTCATTGAAAGAACTTTTTCGAAATTTTATTTATATAATGATCGGAAAGAGCAACAATGATGAATATAAAACGAAAATAAGCGTAAATTTGGTGGAAGGACATGAATTTATCACCAAAACGATGGAGATTACAATTACAAAGGACGATGAGGGAAACATTATACCCGTTCCTAATTTCTTTACATGTTGCCGAAAAGGAGATGTTGAAACGTTGAGGGCTCTTATTTCAGGATTCAAAGCAGGCACTCTTTCATTGGAAAATCTCTTGGTTCATCAAGAAGATGGCTCTTCAACAACGAACACTTCATCATTCCTCTCTAAAATTGCCTCATTCTTTTATGGCGGAAAAGCAAGTGATGCATCGGGAACTACCAACAGTGCATCCATATTTCTAACACCTCACGGAAAGAACAGATGCTTTCATCGATCTCCTCTTCACTACGCTTGTAGATTTGGTCACTTAGCTTGCGTAAAGCTTCTCCTCGATGAAATACCGCATTTACAATTATCGGGTATGTTGTCAAATTGATAATAATATCAAATTGAGTGGAACACAATTTTTACTGTATGTGGGAATTACACCTCTTGTTGATGACATGAATGCATATTTCTCTCTACTCCATGAAATTATAACTCCTAATTGCAACAATGTTCGACATGCTGAAATAATCACTCACACGATCTTTGAAAAATATGTGAAAATCAAAATCACTATGTTCTTTCACATTCCAATGAATATAATCTCTGTGTTCAGGTGAAACAACAGCAAAATGGACCATATTGCACGAGTGTGCCAGATTCGGGCACACTAGCGTACTCGCATATCTTTTTACGAACCCAAGATGTGAGGAAATTTTGCGAGCCATGTGCTCCAAAACAACAAAATTCGGCAGTACTCCTCTTCATTTATGTTGCAAGTATGGTCACACTGAAACAGCTCAATACTTGACAGGCCAATTCATTCCCTATGATAGGGTTAATGTTTCACGAAATCAAAATTTTCTCCATGTTGCCATTGAAGAAAAGATGTCGACCTTTGTGGTAGATTTTCTATCAAAATTTATTCCAACAAGTACCTCGAATCAACTCAGTAGAAAGATCATCGTGAGCATTGTAGAACTGATATGCTCCAAAGACAGTTTTAAAACCACTAGCTTGCACTACGCTTCTGTGAGGCCTTCCGATCAAATGTATGAGGCATTATTGAGGGCCATTACTATTTTGCACGAGTATATGGAGAATGCAGGAATTGTGAGAAGTCTTGTGAGTCCTGATGTTGCTGGAAACACTGTACTTCACTATGCTATGGGTGGTAATTCACTTAAATGTGCTCTTCTCGTTTATCACTATTATCTTTTGAGTATTCATAGAAGCAATCCAAATAGTATTGTGAACACTACAAGTTTTCAGAAACCAACGAATCAGGAACTTCTTCTCTCGAATAACAACCCCATGAATATGCAAAGTGGAACAATGAAACACTCGCCAATCTTCCTTGCATGTAAATATGACCATCCCTCTCTTTTGGAGACATTTCTACTCTTCTACAAGGATGAACATTTTGAACCAAATCAAGAAAACCAAAAGCACATCAAAATACTCTACGAAAATTCTCCATCCCTTAACACGACATCTCTCTATGATTTCCTCAGAATTAAATCAAAGGAGGAATTTATTTTTGTGGTTCAGTCATGGAAACAAATCAAGGTGACTGAAATTTATGACCGAACAGGCCACACACCTGCGAGAACAATTACTCTGGATTATAGTGATGAAGAATTGCACGACATTTTCGAAAAATTCAACTCGTGGAAAATGAATTGAGTGTGTTGTTGCTAGCCTCTGTTTTATTGTAAAGTCTCGAAAAAATATTGTTGTTTCTCTGTATCAACACAAAAAATGTCCAGAGAGATTCGCCCTACCGACTTTGATAACAAGTTTCTTCATCAAATCAAGTTGAAGGATTTACCAAAATTCCTCATTCAACATGCAAATTGGAACGGAGTCTTCAGAATTAATGCTTTCCTCACAAGACACATTCCTCCAATGCTCTACAACCCAACCAGATGGCGTTTACCTTTACTTTTCGTTGTGTTCCTCGGCTGGCCTGGTATCTATAGAGCCAACACTAGCGCTAATAGAACAAGTGAAGCTCTCATCAATGCTAGATTCGGAGACGAAATTAATAATATGACTGATTATCAAAAGAATTACATCAAGACTCGTGTTTTGAAGATTATGGCAGAAAACAGATAAATTCAAATGTAAATTTCTTCATCTACAACAACAACAACACCAACATCTTTAATATCATTATTATTATTACCACCATCTCGGATTCAATGAGTCGTGGCCACATCATCGACCTCATTGTATGACTTTTAAATGATAGAGTGTTTCAATTTTCGGTATTCTTTCTCTTAAAATAAATAATTACACAGGCAAGGGTTTGTAGAAAGCCTTGAATCTCATAGTATGAATCTCCGAGCATGGTTTTCGTGGTCTTCAACTTGTTCAAATCCTCAAATCGACGACACCCTAGTCGCGCGATTTGACTCATGACCCTTTGACTCAATCAAAAAAAATGTTTCGGGCAACTAAAACGTAGGTGTTCATTCACTTCGAGACCATGTTCAGCATTTCATTGTGTTCCCATGTGTGGATAACATTTTGATGGACACTTTTTGCCAAATACCTTCCGTCATCATCACCCAAATGGATGACACCAAACATCCGCTTGATCCTTTTCAAACAAACAACCCAGCTGCAGCGGAAGTCAAATCTTAAAAAAAAATCAAAAGATCTTGTCGAGACATCATTCCCGAGCACTCACACGTTCTTCATCATCCTTTCAAAAAAGAATCCATCCACAACACTACTGGGGTGCTAGCACGACTCAATTTAATCTTTCCTTTGGCCGATCAATTGACCACCATTGCTACTCCGATTTAGTAACAAGCCTTTCATCAAGACAATCCCAACAACAACAACAACGAAATATTTCAACCTTTGTATTTAAAGAAGAAGACGACGAAGAAATGTCAGAACTTTACAAGAGAAATGATTTGGTATTTAATTTAACTGCCGAGCAAATTGAGAAGGAAACAACAGCCTTGATCGAGAAATCAAAGGCTGTCCATGATGCAGTTGCCAATCTTCCAGAATCGGAACGAACCTTTGAAAGCGTCATTTTGCCCATTGCCTATGACGAGGCTTACTGCTCCATTCAGGAGAATAACCTTACCTTCCCAAGTTATGTAAGTCCAAACAAGGAAGTCAGAGATGCTGGATCCAATGCTGAAGAAAGACTCTCTGAATTCACCATTGAAGTTTTGATGCGTGAAGATGTTTACAGAGCTGTAAAATATGTTCATGAAAAGATGCAAAAGGAATTGGACAAGTACGACGAAGAGGATAAGAGATTGGTGAAAAGAATTTTGAGAGATTATGAACGCAACGGTTTGGGTCTTCCTGAAGAAAAGAGATCCAAAGTGAAGGAACTCAAGAATACCCTTTCGAAACTTTGTATTCAATTCACAAAGAATATTGCTGAAGATAAGACAGTTCTCACATTCACAAAGGAAGAATTGAGTGGAGTACCAGAAGATGTCATCAACAACTACAAGACCTCTGAAGAGGATCCAAATAAGAGAGTTGTCACACTCAAATATCCTGATGCCATGCCAATCATGAAATACTGTAAAGTTGAGGAAACTAGACGTAAGCTCGAAATTGCAAGAGCTTCTCAATGTCAGGAAATTAACGTACCACTTTTCGAGCAAGCTGTTAAAATCAGACAACAAATTGCAGAGCTCATGGGATACAAGACTCACGCAGATTATGTTTTAGAGGTAAACATGGCCACTCCAGACGAGGTTCTCACATTCCTTAACAATCTTAAGGAAAAACTCATCCCTGGAGGAAAACAAGAATTGCAAACTTTGAAAGAGATGAAAGGTTCAGAAGTCTATTCATGGGACTATCTCTACTTGTTGACCAAGTTGAAGGAAGAGAAATACAATGTTGATGACAACTTGATCAAGGAATATTTCCCTCTTGATGTGACATTGAATGGATTATTGTCCATCGCGCAAGAAACATTCTCTCTTCGTTTCGAAGAGGTCAAAGACACACCTGTGTGGTATGAAGATGTGAAACTGTATGCTGTTTTCGATAAGGAAACCGATGCTTTCTTGGGACAATGGTACATTGATAGCTTCCCACGTGAAGGAAAGTATTCTCACTTTGCTGCCTTTCCATTGAGTCCTCACTTTTATGATGAACACAAGAAGGAACACTATCCTGTTTCTGCAATGGTGTGCAATTTCACCAAGCCATCTGCTGAGACTGGTGTCTCGTTGTTAAAACACGATGAGGTGATTACCTTACTTCACGAATTTGGACACTTGTGTCACGGATTCTTATCGAGAACAAAATATGCACGATTCAGTGGTACCCGTGTAGAGAGAGACTTTGTTGAAATGCCTTCTCAATTCTGGGAGAACTTTGGATGGGAAAAGGAGGGTTTAAAGAAACTCAGCTCTCACTACAAGACAAAGGAGCCATTACCTGATGATTTGATTGAAAAGATGATTGCAGCCAAGAATGTCGGTGTTGCCTTGTTCAATCTTCGCCAATTGTTCTTTGGTATCTTTGATATGACTTGTCACACTCTCTCCACTTCAGAAGAAGCTGAAAAATTGAACAGTGGTGAACTCTGGAGAAAATTAAGACGTGAAGTGACCTTATTGGATGCTCCTGAAGGTACCAATGGAGCTGGTAGCTTTGGACACTTGATGGGAGGTTATGACTCTGGATATTATGGTTATTTGTATAGTGAAGTCTTCTCAACGGATATGTTCAGTGTGTTCAAAAAGACTGGAATCTTCAATCCTGAAACTGGAAAGAAATTGAGACGAGTTGTTTTGGAGAGAGGAGGATCCAAAGATGGTGGAGACATGTTGAGAGAATTTTTGGGACGAGAACCTTCACAAGACGCCTTCTTGGAAGATATTGGTTTGTTGAAACGTTAGAGAAACAATAAATGTGCGTGCCTCCCTTTAAATAAATTGAATAATTGGTTTTAACTCCTCTTCGAAATTTTAATCTATCGCCACGACCTAAGTATTCTGTAAATCATTAATGATTAAATGAATTGTGATTAATCTTACGCAATCTCATGCACTGTTCGATGACTAGTGATTTCGAAAAGCGACAGAGTATGTCATAGTTAAAAAGGGAAAATGTGAAAGAAAACATTTCATCAAGTGTCATTAAATCAATGTTAGTATGTATTTTTAGTAGAAGGTTACAGATATTTGTTCGTGTATTCCTTCCAAAATTGCATTTACAGATAATCACAATGTCTGAACGTTAATACATGAAAATTCAAAAACAATTTAGAGAGAGAGGAATTTGATTAGTAATTCTTTCAACCAGTTGATGGCTCCTACAGGAACAAACCTGATAAAGAACAAACTGTGAATCAACTTGATGGTGATTTTCGTCCATATTAAAGGTTTCACTTGTTCAACTTTCCGATTTTGGCCAAATTTTGAATTTGATGTTGTAATTGTTGTTGATTGAACTGTAATCGATTGACATACGAAAAAACTCCAATCGACAATCCCAATGCTGAAAGCGTGGTAATAGGATGTGCTCTCGAATGATACAGTATTGGTTTACAAACTCCAAAATAGGTCCACCCCAAAACATATTCAATGGCATTGCAAGTGGTTTGATGAATTTGTTTGAGAGTTTTCTTTGTGAAATATTTACACTTGTCCATGAAGGATAAGAAATTCCAATTCTTCTTCTTTCGAGGAGTGAATAACAAAGATTTTCTTTCCATTCCGACAACACTCACTTGAATCATGTCTGCCAATGATTTAAGTCCTGAAGCAAATAATAGACTCGAGCTTAATGAACATGCAATTAATTTCACAAGTGGATCTAAGGATGATTGAATGGAAAGAGCTTCCACATTGGGAGACCAAAAATCATAACAGAGTTTGAATCCAAAATAAAAGCAAATGGAGGAAATTAATAGACTATATCCCATTCGGTAGATCCAGTTTGCAAAGGATCTCGAAGTAATTCTTTCAATAATTAAAGAAATTCCTTTTAAGGCGCATAGAGAAGCAGCCAATGCACTCAATGAATCCTTATAGTTTGGTAAATGATTGAGAAATGCTCTGAAAAGGTCTCCCTTATCATTCCAATGAATGAATGAACTCAAGTCAGCTCTATAAATTGAAACATCATGCTTGGTAATACTAATTCCAGAGAAAAACAATGCCAATGCGCCAATAAGAGATGTCGATGACTCCAAAACTCCTTTAAAACCTTCGACACCAAAAACATGTCCAAACAGTGTCACTCCGCTACTTATGGATAAAAGACCAAGTGAATTAATTGCTGTGGAAATTAATTCAGAAAATACATTACTATCTCGAATGCTATGAATTGGAAGTGTTGGATATGAAAACTGAACAGCTTTGACACCATAGTACATGAGACCTGAACTAAGTAGGAAGGACCCAAAATGTGTCGATGTAATGTACTGGATCACACTTTGTGCTGTTCTTTCATTCATACCTGAATGTTTTTGAATAGCTTCAATACCAAAAAGTGTCACAAACGAAGATATCACTGTTTGAAAAGTGTTGGCAACGAGAGAATGATCCTCACAAAAACTCTTGCTCAATACGGGGATGAGTTCATAAAAACGATTGGTTTCCATGGTTAAAAAACCAAAACCTGAAATAATGCCCAATATTCCCAATATTAATAGACAGTAGTAATAGAGCTTGGAGAGAATATTTGAGAGAGCAGGGTCGTTTAAATAATATCCAGTACTCCTCAAGCCGAGAATGATTAAACTACAAATTGGTATTAGTTTTGTTCCATTCTGTAAAAATATTTCAATAATGTGAGGATTGCTAATCTCAATCTTGTTCATTAAAAAAAAAGCACTGGTAAAGTAAAAGCATGCCTTAATGAGTTCCAAGTTGTGAGCGAGTCCAAAGTTGTTAATTTCGACTTTCCACAACTTCTTTTTATGCAGTGCAATGTCATCAACGAGTAACAGTAGAACACAGAGTGCAGCGTGACCTTTCACAAGCACTGAGATGGTTTCCAAATCTGTCAAATTTCCAATATCAAAATTAACAGTTCTCAATGATATATACAAATCCTCAATTAGTAAATAAATAGTTGCTCCTCCAAGTGGAAATGCTGTGTAAATGGCAGCATTGGATGTTAAGTGGTAGAGTGCACTTTGTGACAAGTTATATTTTTCAAATATTGAAAATAATCCAATACTACCAATAATTCCTCCAAATACAGTAAGAATTTTATGATCTCCAATAAATGTTCCTTTACGAGTACTTGCAAGAAAAATTTCAATTAGTTGCTTTAAAGTAGAGTGACAATGATGATTTAAATAATTATTTCGATCAATATCTATCACGCCTGAGGATGATGGTGACGATAAATTTTGTGGTAGAGTAGTCATCTTTTGTGAGCCATTCACACCATCACAATGAGGAGAAGGATTATTTACAACTCGAGTAATCGTATCAGAATTCTTAGATTCCGAATTTAAATTTGTAAAAGTTGTGAATGATGAACGTTCTTGATCCTTGTTCAAAAGAAAATCACTGAAAGTGTCTTGTCTTGAAAAATGATCTTCTTCCTCCAATAATCCATGATGATCCGTTGATGGATTTCCTTCCTGTTGTGTAGAAGGTTTGATAATAAAATGTTCCGAAACAAAAGATGATGAATGGTCATCATGGGGATGCCGAGAAGAATGATTCAGGAGGGAAGAGACCCCAGATGAGGAAGTATTTACTGTTGTTGATGAATTGGAAGATGGAAAGGATTGAAATTTCTCATGACCATTGGTTGTTGTTGTTGATGGTGGTGATGGTGGTCGTGGTGAATCATGTGAATGGTGGTGGTGGTCATGATCATCTTGATTGGTTGCCATTTTTTAAAGTGTTGTTGAGAAAAGGCCTTTATTCAATCATTTTCAAACTCAGACTCTTTGAAAGATTTTCAATGATAGACAATTAAAGGCGCATACAACCAATCATGTTCAGAACATGAACTGTTCAAAGTTTGTCTTTGAAACCAATTCTTATGAAAGGTTATTGCAACAGGAGGAAACGAAGTTCAAAAATTTGAATGAACAAAAAAATTTCATAATTTCATTCACAACGATCGCATCACCATGCCTGCCTCAACAACAACACCCTCTCTCAAAGACAAACTCCGTGAATTGAAACAAAAACAACAAACACTCCAAATTAAAGAACAAGAATATAAAGACCAGAAGGAACAAGAAGAAATTAAAAAGGATGTCATGATGGCTTTTGATGATTCATCCGATGATGATGAGGAGGAAGAAGAAGATTTGGAAACAAATATTGTTGCTACTACTACTACTGATGCTACCTCAAATGATCATGATGAGTCTACCACAACTGATAAAGTTCCTCACTTTCAAGCAAAGAAAGAAGAAGCCGTGAATCGAATTGCAGCAATTTTTGAAAACTTGAAACAAAGTCGTCTCTCATCATCCTCCGATTCCAATAAGCAATCCTCTTCAAATAGCAATGATATCGTTGATTTTTCAAATACCAATCGAACATTTGTGATTAAGAGGCTTCCTCATGGTTTTTATGAAGAGGAAATTACGAAATTCTTCTCTCAGGTCGGAACGGTTCTTAATGTCAGAATTCCAAGAAGTAAGAAAACAGGTCAACCCCTTTTTAAAGCCTACGTTCAAATGGAAGATCCAGAAATTGCTCAAATGATTGTTGAAACATTTGATTATTATTTACTGAATGATCGAGTGATTCGCGTCTCCATGTTGGATGGTGATAATCCAGTGGCGAGACAAAAGCAAATTTTCAAATTTAAAAAGGAGGATCATACGAGTGCATTGTTGGCAAATGGAGAAGCTGCCAAGTTGAAGAAACAACAAAAATTGTTTAGTGGATTTGCTCGAAGTGATGCTTCCAAGATTGTAAAGAAATCAAAGAAGAATAAGAAGGATTATTTGAGGAAAATACGAAACAAGTTGCAAAAGAAGATCAATGAGAGTGTTTCATCGAAATAATAAAATCATATAATTTAGAGTAGGTTGAGTGTGTTTCTTCTGTACAGAGTCACAACAATGTGAGAGGTGCAAGCTCAATGTGACATCATTGTGTTTTGCATTTTGAATGATTTGAGAGAATTGAAGATGTGTGTTTAAATTCGATGAGTCATGTACACACAATTGATTAGGTCAAATGGTGTCACTGTGATCTTTTCTTTCCCATAAATCCTTTCCTGCACTATTGGGAGAAATATTACTCTCGGATGATGATTGTGGTGGATGTTGATCGTCATGAATTTGTGGTTGAACTGGAACTGTCTGCAAGGAGAGAGGAATGTTCGATGAAGCCTCCAAATCTTCCTCTTCGCCCAACTGATCATAATTGTCTCCAGCGACAAATTCTTTCTGTCGTTGAGTTTCCAATCGTTGAACTTCTTCATTCAACAAATAGTTAGTATCCTCTGTCACTTGTTTTGTTTTGAGAATTTCTTGAGCCTTTAACTCTAAACTCTTAATTCTTGCTTCGTATTGTTCCATTTTGGCTTTAATTTCTTGTTTTTTTGCAGCCATAGTTTCTTCAAGGAATTTTCGAGATACTTCATATTTCTTTTCATATTCTTCATCCTTTTTTCCCTTTTGCAAATAATTTTCATAATCCTCCTGTAATTCACGTTCCGTATCAATTTGTAATAAAATCATTTCTTGTTCTCGTTGTCGGATGGACTCCAAATGAAGTTTCATATTTTTAATCGTTTCGGTTAATGTTTCATATGTTTCTTCCTGAACATGAATTTGATCCTCCGTCAATTGTAGCATTCGTCTTTTCTTTCGGAGGTCTTTTTCAACATTTGCTGATGAAGAGGAGTGGTGATGGGCAGCACCTGTTCCGAAGAGTCTGTACAGAAAATTCATTTTTTTTGAAATTGTTATTGTCTTGTATTCCTTTTTTGAAAGGATTTGAAAGTTACACGTGTCAACCATTTATTATCATCATGATGACCGATTGATTTCATAGTTTCTGATGATCAAACTTTGATGGCGTTGCTTTACCAAAGAGCATTTTCCTTTTGCTATGGCTTTGGAGAACGGAAAAAGAACAACCAAAAAAAATCATTCACTTCTTGTCACCAACTTGATTTTTCGACAAAGAACAGAAATTGTGTTCAGACAACATTCCGATGAAAGCATGATGACAACTCTCATGCATATCTTTATTTAATTTCCATTGTTATCATCGTTCATTCCAGTGAATCATTGCCTTCTCGCACTCAAATGTTTTTTCTTTTCAAAAAACAATTCTATTTAATTTCACTTGTAATATTGTCCCTCATTCTTACTGTAATTTTATACATTTCCTATCAAAGTGGAATTCGTAAAATTTCACATCACACACTGAAACTGTTGATACAACGACGACATGAAATTCTCACTCAAAGTACTCGAATCGAAAAAACAACAAAAAATTTACAACCTGCTTCATCATCGAGAGAAGAATTTGTGAATCATGATAAGGACAAGAAATTAAGAGAATCACCGACTCGAAAAAACAAAGGAATTGTTTATCCCATCACTTTTATTTCTCAAAATTTAGAAAATGCATTAGCAATGTTACGATCGAATTGTCAAGTCTATTTGGCATCGTATTACAGTTTTAATGAAATTGGAAAAGTCATGCCAACATATATTGGTCAGGAAAGAGTCAATATTTATGGTAGGTGACAAGACTTGTGAAATGGAATATTAATGATGATTATTTATTTTCATTTATTTCAACGGATGGGATGAATATTTTGGAAATATAATTTAGGCCATTGGAAAAAGTACATGATTTTAAAAAAGTTTTTACATAGTCAAGCATCTTCCTACATTGATGACGAAGATTATGTTTTTTTCAGTGATGGTTTGGATGTCATGTTTTATGACAATGTACAAAATGCCATTGATATTTATTGGAAATATCTTAAAGATGAAGGAATTGATGTGGAACGAGATCGAGAATTGAATTGGCCTCTCTTATTTAATGCAGAAAAGAATCGGTTTCCTCCACCAAAATTATTCATTCCTCTCATTAAGGTAAGTGGATGGAATGGATGAAATGATTGTCAATCAATGTGAAATTGACACAATATTTGAAATACTTGAATCATCACATGTTATGTTCAATTGGATGTGATCTATTGGCTAAATTGGATTCAATTTTCTCCATGTGCATTCTTTTTTCAAACAGAACATGGATGTCAACACAGTGGTCACAAAATATGTACGGAAAGAAAATTATCCAGTTCGACCTTACTGTCATCCAAAATCCACTTTCAAATTTCTCAATTCGGGTCTTTACATGGCAAGAAAACGTGACATTAAAGTCTACCTCGAAAAGGCATTCGAAAACGCCATTGATCCAGAAAATACCCACAATGATGATCAGGCCATGACTCAATACATGTATGTCACTCAACAATTGTATCCAGTCATTGGAGATTGTAATGCCACTCTTGCCATTCCAACATTAATGTCGTGTGAAAGTATTAAGGTCGATGTGAAAAATTCGAAATGTGAAATTTACAATGGTTTCATCATCGATGAGTCTGTGTCTAATAACATCAAAGGCACTCACAATTCTCACACGAGACCTGTAGCCATTCATAGTATTGGAAAACAATGTCCAGAATTTTGTCCGTGCTTGCAAGCCATTATCAAATCTGGCCTTTTACAGGAAAATATTGAACGTGAAATGAAGAGACATCATTTCAATGAAATGTATCAACTCGATGAGAAATTTGGAGTTGTTGTGTACAATAGTGATCATGACAGTTTGAGGATTCAACCAGTTTTGGATTTCTGTGGAAGTAGGGTTTTGTTTAATCCTCCGTCCTCTAATTGTTGTTATAAAACATATTAAGTCCATTCACCCTATCTAATAAGGTCCAGAAATTTAATGGAATTCCATGCTTGGATTGAATTTGAATCACAATATTATATCACTTCCATTCCAATGTTCGCCAAGTCTTTTAAATTGTTTGTTGGTTTTAAGAGATGAAACAATGGAAGAAATCAAATGCAATGGAGTACAGTGGTGAATTATTGCTTTCGAGGATGGAACCATGTGATTTTGGTGCTTATTTGAGACTATCACTTTGAACGTACATCAAGCACGATCGGTATATGTGAGCTTGATAGCTTCGACCATCGATTTTGAATATTTTGGGAGATGTCGTGAAACCAACTCCCAAATCGATCCATCGATTTTACAAAAAAAAAATTCTGAATATCCAGTTCGTTATTGATATTATCCTCTCGGAAGCATTCTCTCTAAGGATCCTTTCCTCCCGCCCTTGAAAGATTCCAAACATGAATTTCAAACAGGAGGAGGAGGCTCTTCCTGCAGATCAGGAACCCATCTCTTCCAATGGTAGTAGTAGTGGTGATGGTGGTGGAGTTACAAGTCATAGCAGTAGTACGAGTAATGTTAGTACTAACAACAATACAATCAACACAACAGTGAGTGCAATAACGAAAAGGTACTTGCCGAGTCGAGGATCCCCACCCATGTTTCCATCAGTATCGGAACAAGAACCACATTCGGACCAGGAGGGAGCATCAGACCCAATCATTCATTCATCATCCACAACAACAAATTCGACCACTTCTCTTCCATCAGCATCATCATCCACAACAACAACTCTATCCTCATCACCGACCGAAACAAGGCGGATTCTATTATTTCAATTGAGCTCTTTGATTGGAACTTTCATATTCTTTGTTATATATGAAATTTTGTTTTTATCAATTTTTGAAAAATCAACCTATGATGACTCGATCAAATCGAGTCTTTGTTGGCTACTGTCCTATGCTCTTTCGATATGGGCCCAATATGAATTGCATTGTCGAATAGTTTTTGGAAAACGAACGAATAGCTCAGAATATTGGCAAACCTTGTCACGGACTTATATTGTGTATGGAATTTCAATGTTTGCGTCTACCATACTGAATTATCTTTTGGTTGCACAATTAGCTCTCAATCATAATTTGGTTTGGTTTGTGACATTGGTTGCAGTTGGTGTGTTAAATTACTTCTCAGTTTCTCGATTTGCCTTTGGAAATGAAATGAATTTAAATGGTCTGGGAGTACCTGGAACAGGTTCTTCCTATTATGTGTAAATATATACGAGTCTTGTGAATTGCAACAGAAGAGTTTTTTGCCTTCATATTATTCTTGAATGTGAGCCCGTTGCACCATGTTCCTCTTGTTTCTTCGGGAAAGCATTCCTAAACAAGTTGTTAACTCGTTTTTTCGAGATGTTACCATTTCTAAAGCAAAAGTAGTCGTTCTCAAAATTCATGAGTGAAAGATGGAGTGCGAAATGGACAGTCGGTCTTGAGAAAGATTCGACGACGAATATTCAGCGAAAGCAAAAAACAAACAACAGCCAATTGTCCAACACAACACACTGAACTGCACCAACGACATCTTTTCACGACATTCCTTTGTTAGTGAGAGAGAATTGATCTTGTTGTGTGCGCGTATCGTATTGATTCTCGTTCTGAACACGTTTTAGGTTCATCATCACACCAATAACATCCCGTTGAATGTGGAGACAACCAAGCCGATTGGAATAGTTCATCATCATCACCACCCTCTCAATCATCATCAAACTAGTTTCCTTCTTCTTTTCCCACCATCTCTCTAGAGTTTGTAGTTTTGTGTGTTCAATAATTATTATTCAACAAGAGACACACAAACACGATCATCGCTTCTGTCCTCCCTTCCATAATCATTAAATTATCACAACACCACCATCGGTTTTTGAACAACTCCTAAAGAAGGAGAAACACATATTTCTAGTGCCTTCCTTTTTGTGCGGTATTGTTTCAACAACAACAACAAACGATAGATACAAATTTATCATTGAAGAAAGAGCAAGCCTTTCATTCCCTCAATATTTCCTAACCTCCCATCTCGATTATCATCATGCCTGGAGGAATTCATTTTCTATTCGGCCTCATTCTCTTTTATATTCTCCAATGGATTTCCTATTTCCTGCGGAAACATCAAGCCAAGAAAACATCATCAGCTTTTGCCTCACGAAATGGGGACGCCCTTCATGATGATAACAACAATAATTGCATCACCACCACAACATCCTCTCGTGATGTTCAAGTTGTTACTTCCGCCTCGATGATCATGAAGGACAACAATAACGTTCATCCTCGCCCTTCTCATCATCAAAAACCCTCTTCTCCCTCTTCATTGCCATCGCCGTCTTTGTGTTCATCCGAAAATTTGAAAATCCATGAAGATGACCATCAAACAAAACCTCTCACACCTCTTCTTCATCGAATTTACCACCGAAGGATCGATCGAGAATGGTTTCAATTTGGCATTATTGTCGGGTCAGTGATGCCCGATGTTGATTTGTGCATTGCCATTGTTTCCATTGTGTTTTGTTACCTCTTTCTAGGATATGATGGTGAGGATAATAGACAAGTGGCTGAATCCGTGCATCGAACAGCCACTCATTCTCTTATCATTTGCATTCCCTTACTGATTCTATTCATTTACATGTATAATAAGAGGGATCATTATATTCTCAACAAGAAGAAGAAACAATCACTCAATTTACAATTATCTACAAAAAATCACACAATGAATAGTAACATGACCACCACTCATATTCGAGTGACTGACAATTGTGAATTAATTCGGACAAACGCACTCACCAATGATAATTCCACCCCAACTCTGACGACAAGTGACGACGATGTTCAGGCAAGCACGCTGTCATCTCGGTTGAGTGACGAAAATCCTCATTTACATGAACACTCGCCGAGTATCGATGATGACGCTCCAAGTGGCCTAAAGGTAAAGGCAGCAGCTCCTCTCAATAATAAGAATTTCAACTTTTCACCTCAAATCATAGGAACAAGTTCAAGTCTTGAGCACGTGAGTCATTCTCACAATTCCAATCATCCAAGTCACCATCACAAATCCAAGCCTTACAGTGAATTGCCACTATGGGAAAAATTCGTGAGAGATTTCAAATGGCTAAATTTGCCTTTTGCCATTGGATTTCTTGTCGGAGCTATTTTCCACATTTTCTTGGATGTGATTTACATGAAGGGTGTAAAATTATTTTGGCCTATTTATGGTGAAGAAATCTTTTGTGAAATTCCGTGGCTCTACTTGTATGATAATTTCAAATATTCCCCAATGGTTCAAAAGGTGATTATGACCTGTGATCATACCAGCGAGATTTTGTTTTACATTGCCATATTATATTACAGAAGAAGGACTGGAAAAACAGGTTCATCATTGAGTGGCGAGCATGAAATTGAGGAAGAGGCAAAACCTGCCCATCCAAATCCAAATCACTCACTCTTCCAACATCACCACAAGCGTAATGGCAATGTTGTAGTTTTTCAAAAACATAGAACCTTTATTAATTTATTGAAACACTTGAAAAACTTGCCACATTCCTACACTGAATTTATTAGGGAACTTTGGAATGCATCAGAAGATGATTGGGACACAATTTTCAAGTATTTCTGTCTATTGCAAATATTCGCCATTTGGTTCACATTTTCACTCATGTATTTCTTCTTCCCAGAGATGGGCTTTGTGCAATTTGTTATTTTCATCTACTTCCCAGGAACTGTATGCGTTCTGATTTCACTGTTGGCTCCATTTTGTTTTAGAGAGACGTTGAGCACGTGGGATTGGTCGAATTTAATTCATGGAACTCCAAAACATGTCGATCCTCTCTCTGTTCACCTTCATCAAGGATCAATTGCAATAGGAAAGTATCAACACCAAGATTTGGTTGTGACGCAATAAAAACCACCTTGATGTTTCTCTCGTCAGTTTTGTCTTTCTTTTTAATTTTGGAAAGGACAAAAATTACAAGAAAAAATTGCAAAAGAGATATTCGGTGGTTGACAAGAAACTTTGAACCAACATCAATATTTACTCGGACTGAATTGTTCTTGATTGTTTTTCAAAATTATTGTTGAGATCAAACCACATATCACTCCTTGCACGTGCAATATATTCCATCTCGCTTTTCAAAATCCCGATTCGTCATCATGATGAGCGTTGGTTGGAAATATTCATTAATTTCTAAAGACATTGAAAAAGAACCTACATTCATGAAACCCATTCAAATGATTGAAAAGATTCAAAAGGACTGCAAAACCAAGAATTTGATTCGTTCCGTTCGACTCAAATCAGCTCCTACCAACAAGTCACTTCGGAAACAAATACCTGTTTCCGAATACAGAGAGAATGTGTTCAAAGTAGCAAAAACACTTCTTTCCTATACTCCCATGTTTTCTACCTTTGTTGAATGTTCCAATTCAAAATCACCTGTTCCTTCATCATCTGCGTCACATAATAATGTTCAAGCCATGCAACATGTCTTGGCATTGTTGATGATTGTTAGAAAATTAGTCTCACTTGAATTTAATCCGCCACTCAATGACGTCGTAAACTGCGACTTGGTACCCTTTCTATTCAAAATTTTACACTTTGGAATAGTTCAAGAATATCGAAGACTCTATGATCCGTCTTGTTCTTTCTCTTCCGTATTGGTAACTCTTTGGAGAGAATTAATTTTTGAGGCTTCGTGGATTTTAACTAATGTCGCATCTGGCGCACCTGCACATACTCAAACTGTTGTTGGAAACACCGACCCAAGTATTACCTCAATGTCATCCATTCAGACTTTACTCATGCTGCTTCATATTGACTCCCAAGAAATTAAGCAACAAACGTTATGGAGTTTGGCAAACATTACTGGAGATAATGCGAGTTATAGAGATTCTGTCATTTATGCAATTATTCCAAATTCATTAGAGGGTGCCAAATATCTGTACCGATCGCTCAATACTGAAAATATTGAGTTTTCACAATCGAAATTCCCAACCATGTCATCCATTGATCTTATCAATAGCATTTATTTGGAAAACAAGAAATCGCTCTCGATGAATCGAATCATTGCTTGGACTTTTTCAAATTGCTTCCGTGGAAAACCAGTCAACGTTGATATCACAAATGCTGCCACAGTTGCCACTGTTCTTCAAGAAATGGTACAAACTTCGAACGATTTGGATGTTTTATCCGATGCATTGTGGGGTATTGCGTATGGAACTGACACACCAGACATGAATTTCATCAATCTCTTTCTCAATGATAGTCTACTTCCAATATTAGTTCGAAACATTTCAACTCAAACTCACCATTCCATTTTATTGCCATCGTTACGAGTTTTTGGTAATTTCATACGACTGGACGATAGTACCATCACACAACGAATTATAGACACTGAGGGATTTATGGATGGCTTGAAAATTTGTGCATTGGCCATTAACTTTTCTGTGAAAAAAGAATCCCTGTACATTTTGAGTAATATTGCAGCTGGAACTTCGCAACAGGTGCAAACATTGATTGACAACAATGTCCTTAGAGATGTCATCGCTGTCGTTTTCAACACGAGTGATGCATTGTATGTGGGCCGAGAAATTTACTCCTTAAAGAAGGAAGCCAGTTGGGTGTTGAGTAACATGACAGCCTATCCAGAGCATGTAGCACCCATATTTGAAACTGACCAGCTGCTAGAATTCTTGCTAAAACTGTATTGTGATCCAATGACTGAAAATTTACTTAAACAAGATGCACTGAAACCAATTTTTGCCACCATTAATTATTTGGAATCTACTCAAAGAGAATCCGTTCGACAAAGAGTCCTCGAATTTGCAAAAGCCGTTCCAACTGGTACCTTGGACGAAGTGCTCAGCTTGTGTTGTGAGGAGGAGCTCAAAAAACAAAAAAACAGAACTTTTGAAGAAAACAACAGGATGGTCCAAATGAACGGCAGTAAGAGCGAGAACGAATAGGAGCTTTCATAATGATCATTCCGTGTAGTAACGATGTTGCTCAACACGAGGAAGAACATACGAACACACTTATTCTTTCCAAAAACATACTCAAATCTGAAAAATGTCTTTTTTGAGTAGTTCCATTCAGCTCACTTCTTCACATTTGGATGTATTACATGTTTTTTCAACACGAGAAACAAACCTAGTTCAGTATGTGTGTCCTTCAGCACAAAATTTTTTTTTGGAACAAGTAAAAATTAAGGTCGACAAGTGACAAACATCAAACTATACCACTCACTAAATTTGAGGAAATTCTTCATGAAAAAAGAGATTGGCCCAAATGACCTCAACTGCTACGAGCTCCTCTTCAGCATTTATATGCGATGGTGGCCAAACCCCTCTCAATTCCTTCATATCCACTCGAAAATGCATTCCCTTGACAGAATATAATCGACAACTCCGAAACCTGCAAACAAATACTTATATTTCAAGCATTTCAATACTGGGAGTGACGAGAATTGTTGTATTTGTTCTCCTTGTCTTGTGCCTCATTTGCTTTATTGTGTTCCGTCGATCTAAATATTTAATGTACAATCGGTTGGGTTGTGCTTTTGGATTTGTATTATTCGTATTACTAGCAGCAATGAATGGTTTGTTGATGGTGGATTTAATTCCAAGTCGAATTATTGACTTTTCTCCCTCCTCATCGAATTCCACGAATTCTACCCAATCCACCACCACTAATAGCACCAAAGCTTTTGATTTCAATTCTTTACACCCGAACAACGTTGCCTTAGGAATGGCCAATTATGATCATTTATGGAATCCTCCTTCTGATCCTTCATCCTCTTTCATCAGCAATTCCATAATGTCCAATATTCCTTCGAATCTCTTCACAACTGTAAATCAATTGGTACTAGATTCAAATGTTGTGAAGGGTTTGTTCGCATCACTGATCACAAGTGCCACCAACACATCCATCACCAATACCACTGATTATTCGAAAGTGAATTTGAGATCCATTCCTCTCGTGAAAAGAACAGCAGCCATGTGGAAAGCTCAACCCAATGAACTTCTCTCTGAAACGATTTGTTTCATTCATTTAGGAACCACTTCATTGATACATTGGCTTATGATCTTTTGTTTACCTGTTTTTGGTTTCATGAATTACATCATTCGATCCTATCTCGAGAGAAAGAAGTTACGACTAGTGAAATACATTGAAAAGGAAAATCAAAAGGTACATCAAAATTTCCTGTCACGTCTTCCCTTAGATTCCACCGATCGATCCAATCCAAGCATTTCTGGAGTATCAAACGGTGGTGGTATTCGTCCTCATCATCAAATCTCTGATTTGCAATCCTTCATTGCAAGTAGTAGTGTTGCAAGTGACACTTCTGGACCTCTCTATCGAAATAGCCAATCTCATCATCATCACACTCAAACTGGCAATCACACAGTCACCACTTCACAAGCTCCACCAACTTCGAGATTATTTGGTGATTCTTTTGCTTCGGGTATTTCCTCTTCCAATGCTAGTAATTATCAACTATCGGGGCCGTATCAGAATGGTCAGCGTTTTCAAGTACAAAGAGACTCTACCATTTCGAGAAATAGTGTGGCAGATACATATTCTGAATCAGCTCAAAATTCTGATTCTGAAAACCTCTCAAGTTTTGGAACTAGTTTTATGAGAAATCCTCAACCTTCGACTTCGACTGGTGTCGATCATCGAGGAGGTATTGATAAAGATTTAATGGCTCATCGAAGGAATCATCACAAGGATATGCATTCAACCACATCACAACCCTATTTTGAACGAGGATCCCAATTATTTTCTGACAACATGTCAGGAAATGAAGAAGATTTGACAAGCTCGAGTGTCATTTATCATGGAAATTTATCTCAGACTGTGTTGGGATTAACCACGAGGGCGAACAAAACAACCACTTTTGATAGTGATTCTCTTTCGGACACAGTTTCACACTCAAACAATAGAACCACAACGAAATTCACCTCTTCAGTGTCTGCAGTCAGCACCACTCACACCAACGAACAACAATTAATCTCCAAATTTGAAAAGAGAAACACTGTCCTCTTATTGAATTTCGTTCTGAGACATCCAGTTATTTTTCAATTTCTCTTTTCAGGTCTCACCACAAGCGCATGGCTCGGTATTAGTGGACTCATTCTTGGTATTACTCTTCAATTTCAACAAGCCACAAGTTGTGACTCTATTTGGTTCATCATTCAGAGAGTTTGGTATGGTGCAATTTTAGTGATTGGAGCAGTGGCCTTGTTGCTTTTAACACTCTTGGATATGGTTGTGAATGAGAGACATTCCAGTTTGAAGCATTCAGAGCAGAAAGAAAAATATTCTAAAAAGAAATCCTCCACAGAGAAGAACTCGTTCAAAAAACGATTCTCCAAATTCTTTCGATTTTTCATTAATTATTGGTGGTATCATGATTTTCAATTTTGTCGACGAGAGGCCATTTTGTATAGTTCCATGTTCATTGTGGCATGTATTGGCATTGCAGTCACGGACGTGTTGGTTTTCACATTGAAAACAGAAGATTTAGTGATGAAGATTTGTATTTTGAAGATTGTCATGACTGTCTTGTTCGAATTACCTTTCGTTTTAATATCACCTGTCATGACAAGTTGTTTTACCATGAAAAGACAATTTCACATTTCACGACTTCAAAGTCATTACATTAAGAATCATGATGAATTTGTGAAAAAGAGTGTGAGACAGGATCAAATCAATGACAATTTATCATTTGTACCATCCTCTTCGAATGGAGGAACCAATCGAGATGCATTGATTGAACAAATGTATGACTTTTCAGTGTATCATCCGACTGAGACCATCTTAAGGCAGCTCCTGAAACACTCCAAATTGAATCGAATGTTTCAAGAATTTTTACAGAGAGAGCTCTCAATTGGAAATTTACTCTTTTACAAGTGTGTGAATGAGTATTTGAGTTTGAAAGAAATGGAAAAGACGCAACTCGCTCAACAGAAATTGTATCACATTTATTATAATTTTATACAACCCAAAGGTTTGAGAATGAAGAAACGAAAGACTGTTGAAACCAATCAGCAACCATCAGAGATGACTCAAAACGATGAATCCAAGGAAGCTCTCCATTCAAGTGCATCCTCTTCTTTGTTGAATATCTCAGAATGGTTAAGTCCTGAATTGAAATCTCGTTTCACACAATTAATGAATGAAATTGAAAAATCTGAAAATATTACCAATCCACAATCGGCAGAAATTGGAAAAATCATGTTAGAATTGAGAGATGAAGTTCTATTTAATCTATTAGATGCTTACACTCGATTTTATTTGGAATGTCAAGAATTTAGAGAAATCTATGTGGAACCCAATAAGAAGAGTTTGTCTGCCTTAATGATGAAGAAGTGAACTAAATTAACAGGCAGCGCGTTCGAGTGTGTCTGTTCGTCGTACACGATCAGTGTGTGCTATGACGACGATTAAAATGATTGGATCTTGATCAGTATGAATGAAATTCCTTTGAAAATTTTTGAAATTCAAACTGCTGTGAAAAAGTTTCCTCAACAGGTGATTGATATCTCCTCCAAAAGACGCAATCGGTTGTGAAGATAACAATGTTTGTCATATGAATTTGTGTACTCTTTCAAACCATAATGAAATCGAACATTCTCATTGCAAGAACCATTACTAATCATTCTTCGATCATTTCAATATCATTCCATGATCTTTTCATAATCTCTCTTATTAACAAAAATCGTGTATGCAGTTCCCATAATCGCCACTAAACCAAACGCTGAAAAGACACACACAAAAACCATTGCTGGATAATAAATTCCTTGCGAATAGGCCACAATTTGGAAGCTCATGTAATAGTCGGAGGGTTCCATCATGATATAAAGTTTTCTTGTCAAGGAAGTGTCTTGATTCTTCACACGAATGGTTGAAGTGTACGTCGAGTTCACAAATGTATATTTAGAAATATCTTTCGTGTTGGAAATGTATCTCTCTGCACATACATCTTTCCATCTCCAAAGACACCGTACACAGAAATGGTCACAACACTTTCAGGAGCCATTGGTACCACATAATAATGTGGTTGTGGATGTTCTTTACTGATGGCATAGGAAAAGACCAACTCGTCCAAAGTGAGATTGGTCACAGAAGGTTGTTTTTCTTGAACTTGAAGATGTGAACCATGGTTGCATGCATCTGAATGATCGTGATGACCATGAACATTGCATGGATCTTGTGGTGTTGTCAAGGATAAAGCAACAACCACTTTATGTGAATCAAATATGGAAATCAAGAGAACGACTAGGCACAAGAGAGAGATACATCGATGCAAGAGTGAAGAAGGAAGACATTTCTTGAAAGTGATTGAATTGAAGAGAATGGAGGTGGTGGAATTTCAAGTAAACAATAAAAGGTGAATTTTTTTTTTGAAAATGTGTGTCTCATAGGTCGCGGTATTGAAGGATGACATGTTTGGGTATTCAACGCGTTGAAATGAGCATTCTCACATTGGATGCAGTGGGTTTCCAAATCTACCTCCCAATTGTTTCTAATTGAGTTGGATTTGGAAATAATGTTTCCTATCATCATCCCCAAGAAGAAGAAGAATTTCAAGTTTACTTCGAAAAAAAAATGAAACGAACCAACGGACCTAGAGGTAGTGGTGGTCCTTTCTGTAATTTCATTCTTTCATTCTGATTCAACCAATGATCTTCGGAGATGGGAATTATTATTGAAAAATAAATTTATGGTGCAACAAATTGGAAAGAAGAAATTTCTTGAATGTTGGGAATTAAAATATGAAAATTTCTTTCCAGTGGAATTTATGAATGATAAGGAATTTATTTTGAATCATATTGAAAGATATGGTTATGGATTACAATATGCTTCGAAACAATTACAGAATAATAGAGAGTTTGTATTGAAAGTAATGGAAAGAAATGGATTTGAACTGCAATTCGCAAGTGACACTTTTCGTAATGATAAAGAAGTGGTATGGACAGCTGTCAAATGCCACCCACTGGCTTGGAGATATGCATCATCTAAAATGAGAAATGACAAGGAATTGGCATTGGAGGTCGTTCGACAAGATGGATGGGCTTTATCGTACGCAGGAACAGAGCTCCTGAATGACAAGCAAGTGGTATTGACTGCAGTGACTCAAAATGGTGAAGTGTTGGAGTGTGTGAATGAAGATTTGAAACGTGACAAAGAATTTCTGTTGGAAGCAGTTCAACGTAATAAGCAAGCACTTCGATGGATACCGTGTCACTTATTTTCAGAAAATGCATTCATGTTGAAAGTTCTAAAATTAGCAATTCCAGAATTCGAAACTTTGGATTCTTTTAATTATTCAACGAAAGAAATAATGATGAAAATTGTTCAAGAATTTGGATTTTTACTTGAGTTTGCCAGTGATGATCTAGAAGATTCAAGAATGATCGAGATGTTGTGTTAAATGCTGTCACCAATGATGGAAATTCACTTTATTTTGCTTCTGAATTTTTGAAGAATGACAAACAAGTTGCACTTTTGGTAGTTCAGCAAAATGGAAACGCATTAGAATATGTTTCTTCAGAGTTGAAAAGACAAGCAATGGTGGTGCTAAATGCTGTCCATCAAAAAGGATCTGCTCTTGAATTTGCATCCGATGATTTGAAGAATGACAAAGAGATTGTCTTGACAGCTGTAAGAAACGATGGCCTTGCTCTTCGATTTGCATCCAATGATCTTAAAAACGATAATGACGTAGTATTGAAAGCTGTCACACAAAATGGAAAATCCCTTGAATTTGCATCACTCGACATGCAAAACAACAGACAAGTAGTATTGAGTGCCATAAAACAAGATGGTTTATCTCTTGAGTATGCGGGTGAATTGATGAATTGTCAACCAGATATTGTATTTGAAGCAATTCAATACAATCCTTTGGCCGTAAAATACGCTTCACTTGATCTATTATGTGACGAACAATTTGTGTTAGAGGCTGCCAAGCTTGGATGTCAAGACATTTTGAAAAACATTTATGAAGTAATTGACATGGAATTTGTGTTACAAATGCTCCAACACAATAGTCTTTCCATCGTTTCACTATTTCGATTTCGTGCTTTCAGATCTGACAAGGAAATTATGTTGAAAGCAGTGAAGAATAATGGATTTGCATTATTTTACGCAGCGAGTGAAGAATTGCAGAAGGATGAAGAACTTGTTTGGGAAGCACTCAAATGCAATGGTTATGTGTTGGAGTATAGTGATGAATTGTTACAAAAAAGGATGGAAATGTGTTATCATGATACTTATTTTGGTAAATAATGTTAAGACGTGTATCAAAGCAATGTATCAAATTTTTGAACGAATTAATTGGTTTGACGTAAAATCTTCCAACTAACTGTCAATCACACTCTCTTGTCACAAATATCTCCAACTCCAAGTCCAAATTCCATCATCATCATCATCACTTCTTCCTTCTTAAGAACCCTAACAATAAGAAAAAAATGTCCTCAACCCCATCTTCACCATCATCAATGAAAAAGGATTTTTCAATTCCTCTCGAACTCTTTACGGTTGATTCCTTTACCAAATCTCCCTTCCGAGGCAATCCAGCAGCTGTGTGTTTTCTTACGGATGAAGCTCTTGTAGAGAAAGTTGATGAACGGTTTCCTTCCGATCTCGAGAAGGAAAATCTCTATAAATTAATTGCAAGAGAAATGAATTTATCAGAGACTTGTTTTTTGAGAAGAGTTGTGCGTTTAAACAAGGATGGTGATGTTGGAGGAGGAGATCAGGAGAAACGATTTCAACTCCGATGGTTTACTCCGACTGTTGAAGTTAATCTCTGTGGACATGCCACCTTGGCAGCTGCCCATTTGATTTTCTCAAAATTCAACGAACAAAGCAGTGAGAAGGGACAGAATGTTGAAACTGGTGGTCCAAAAAGACTTGTGTTTGAAACTAAGAGTGGAGAATTGAGTGTTGAAAAAGATGAAAATGACTCCGAGTTGTTGAAGTTGAATTTTCCTGCAGGTGATCCACAACCTGTGAAAATTCCAACCCATGTTCTATTGAATTTATTGAAACATTTGAATTTATTGTCGAATCCTTCAAACATGAACAATCAAAATTCTCAAGATCAAATTGATTCCATTGTAAAGGAGATTATTTTGTGTCGAAAAACAAAGAAATTATTATTGGTTGTGAAAGAGTTGAGACATGTCTTGAAAGCGGAGCCCAATGAATCTGCCTTACTGAGCATGAACTTTGAATCCGATGATTTACAGAATCATGTGAAAGGTGTTTCGGTGAATATGCCAGTGAATGAGATGGATACAGAGAGTAGAAATGAGTTGAAGAAACTTGTTGGAAATGATATTGAAGTGGATAAAATTGATTTTGTGACAAGATACTTTTCACCTTGGTAAGTGATTATATGAGAATTGAACGCCAATGTTGTCCTGTTTCAATTACATGTGTGATATGTTCTCTCTCACTTAAACATGAATTTTAAATTTGAAGGAATGGAATTAAGGAAGATCCTGTAAATGGAAGCTCTCAAACCTCATTGTGTCCTTATTATTCCAACAAATTAGGTAAACAAAAACTAGTTTGTTTCCAAGCATCAAAGAGAAGTGGTATTCTCTTTGTAGAGCCAATTTCTGGAGGAAGAGTGTCCATTGGAGGTTATGCCACCACTATGATGTCTGCAAAAATGTTTATCTAAACTGAATGATCAATATTATATGAATGTCACATTATCTAATGAATGATCAATATTTGTTTGAATAATGTGAACTGAGTGATCATGATGCATTCAAAAGGTCACTGCAACTTTTCATCAACAAATTGTTTTTGGTGATGCATTTTTATTTATTTTCTTGCGAAACATGATGTGAGAATTGTCACACTTATTACTCTTATTATAAATGACGATTTGACTAAATATTGGAAGTTTAAACAGCATCGTCATCTTGATCCTCATCATCCATACACTTGGAATTTTCCATGATCTTTGTCTTGAATGGTTTCGCTAATTTTTCTAATATCTCAATATGAGTTTCAAGCAAATCCTTAAGGTAGTGAAAGAATCTTCTCGTCCGTCCTTCTGTTCTTCTACTATCTTCCAGGTTGCATAGTGACAATACATGCTGAAATAAATTAAAATTCGAATTTTCCTTCTTAAGGAGATAGACGCTCGGCATGATTAATTGATCTTCTTTGGGTGTGAAAATTATATGACGCGTCACTGAGTCCATGTATGACTCGAAGCAATGCTTTTTGAATGTAAAGAGAATGTTTTGAGTATTGAATGAGGTGTTGTCATCGTTGCCGTTGAGTATTGGAATGATGGATGGATCCATCATGCTTTCAATGATGTACGAAGACAAGTTATCATTGTTTTCGCTTCTTGGAGGGTTTACATTGGGCAAAAGCTGTTTGTTTGGAAGGAGTGAGTGAATTGCTAAAATTTCTAGCGTCGAATAAATCTATTTGTTGAATGAATGGAAATGTAAATGAAGATTTACAACAATTTGTTGATCAAGAGTTCAACTTACATTACATGAGGATTCGTCATTATATTTTCGTAGAGTGTCAGCATGGGACAAGAGAGAAATAAAATTTGCAGGAATCTGCTTTGAATCTGCATTTCCATTTAAATAATTGTAAAATGGTAGGTCGATTTGATCCATTGATTCAAAGTCATCTTCAGCATGTCTAAATGATGTAACGCTCATACTATAATTTTCAAAAGAGTTCAGTCCTAAAATCATTTCCAATAGACTTGGTCTCTTTTCAATGGTTAATGTGTCATAATAATGTATTTGGCAAAGCCAAAATTGAAGTAATAAGAGTATTTTCTTTAAATCTCCCAAAAAGTATGTTGTGACCGGAAGTATGTCTCTCTCCAAATCGACATTGAGGCCTTCACATAGACATATCGAATAGACATAGCAGGTTACATCCAATAAATATTTACAGTGTGGATCAATAGTATCTTTGTTCGTCGAATCATTGATGCTCTTTCGATTCAAATAAGGTTTCTCGTTTAAAAAACAAATGGCCTTCTTACAAAATGATTTGAGTGGGGAATCACTTCTCAAATAGTCAGCAATGAGAATAATCGGCCGTTTGGATGTTTTTACCAATTTTTCTATACCATTCACAAACGACGAGTAAGATTCTTCTTTAAAGGTAACATCCACATCCTCAATGACGATGATTGTTTCATGAGATTCTCGAAGACCACGTGATTGAGTAGTTTCCTTCAACTCTGTGACACTTTTACTGGTTCTCTCTTTTGAGGCGTCCAATCCTAACTCTGCAAATCCGAGTTCAGTAGCATTCGCACTCACAGAGGCGGTCTTTCCAGAATTGGGGCCATAAACAATGAGACAATTTTCCAAATTGGCTTCTTCCTCTTCGTCGTCAGTAAAAGCGTCGAAAAATTCCTTTTCTTTTTTGCTTTTTCTTCTATTTTCTTCTTCTTTTGGTTTTTTCTTTTTGCTGTGTTTTGTTTGTTTTGATGAATTTGCTGGCTTTGACAAAAATTGTTTCCATGACTCGAGCCATTCATGAAGTTGTTCATTTGCTTCTGGATTTTTGCAAATGACTTGTTTCGAATGAGTAGGTCTGTACTTGATGAACCACAAATCTTCAGAGAGAGTTTCACGTCGTATCTCTCGTCGTTCAAATCCACTATTGCTATTGGAACTTTCCATTGAACTTTCATCAAGATCGATCGTTTGGATTTTCTGTTGCTCTTGTAGAGCTTTTGTTTTTTTCCATTTCTTTTCTTCAAGATTTTTGAATTCGTTTTTGAAATGTTGCTTTTCTGTGTTCCACATTTGTTTGGGATACAAAATCTCCACAGCTCTCTCAAGTTGTGGTAGTTTGTTCTCCATTGTTAGAGTATCTTCCATGCTCAAGTCATGGACTTTCTTTTCCAATTTTCGATGTGATTTGGGCTGTTCGATGGAAGTAGAAGTTAATTTTGTCAATAGTGGAATTAATTGAGAGCTTTCAGTCTCCACAGTAATTGTAATTTCATGGTTGTCTTCTGGAAGAAGAAGGTCGTCAATATTAAACTTTTTAGTGTTATGACTCCTAGTGTCACACAAACTGTCAACTGGAACACTCTTAACATAATTCACATGTTGACAATTTCCAAACTGTTTCAAATCCTGAGTCGTTACATTACATGCAAGTGGCTTTACACCTTGCCAAAAGTCATGATCCTCAGCTTGCGTTGATTTTTTTGCTTCTTTTTGTGCCTTTCGTTGTTCTCTCTGGAGTGCCATTAAGGGATGTTCTCCAGAACCTTTACAAAATAATTCATTCATTTCCTTTCGTTTCTCTTGATTTTTTTGATAATCACTAAGGACTTGAAGTTCTTTTTTCCTTTTCTTTTGTTCCTTAGTCAAAAATATGGGTGCAACGGTACCAACAATTTCGTCTGTGTTCTTGTTCTTGATGGAGACAAAATGTTGATTTTCTTCGCTACTATCTGAACTGTTGACACTTTCAACATGGGGCACTGATACTTCGCTTCTTTTTCGTTTGGTCGACTCGTTTTTCTTCTTACTTTTTGAGGAAGAAGTGTCGTCTTTCATTTTTAATGTCTTGACAGGTTTTTTAGGAGTCACCATTGTTGATGATGTGTCATTTGTTGTGACTGTCGATGATGTCATGAATGTATCATGATGGTTTGGTGATAGTTTTTGTTTGAATGTGAGGGTTGTTGTTAATTTAGGAGGAGTGTTTTGTTTTGAAGATTGCGATAAGCTAGGACAGGACAAAGATGTGTCATGTTGTTGCATACAACCTTGGAAATCTGTAGAAGTTTGTGAAAATGCTGCTGCATTAACTGATATTAATTCCGAAGGAAAATATGCCTGAGAATTATCTAACAATTCTACATCGACGCCATCGTTGTTTTTCTTCTGTGGCGGTGATGAGAAGAAACTTGTGATGGTCAAATTATTTCTTTTCTTGGGTGATGAGTGAAGGGGAATTGAATTCATGCTTGCAGTGATGTTTCTTTCCCTTGGACTACTACTATTACCACTCGATGATGTGTGTTCATGAACTACTTGCTGTGGATGATCGACATTTGTAATATCAATCACATTTGATGGCTCGGCGTGAATCACATCATCGCTCCTGCTCGGAATAGCCTTCGATGTTGCTACTACCACTCCATCATCGTTAATGTTGCTGCTGTTATTATCATTATTACTCTCTTCATTGTTGCTTTTTTTAATGATCACAAAATTTAAAGGCTGTTTTCGCACACTACCGCCTGGCTTGCTCTTATTCTTGGACTTGCTTTTCGAAGGCGATTTGGTGTTTTTAGGCATTTTTTTGTAACGGTCAATTTGGGTGGGATCAAACAAGAATTGACAAATAATTTACGAATTTACTGATATGAATACAATTTGGATGATTAATAATTATAAATACCAAAGGCTGTTACACTGCAAAATAGTGAATGCTATTTGGAATTGAAAATGATGGTTAGAGTTGAAGCAAAATATGGTATATACTTCACTTACGTTCATAAAGGTATGTGTGGCGTAAGAATCACAATCTTCGTCCCAAAAACATCGACATCCCATTCTGTTAGGGAGAGTTTAAAATTATTAGTATTATTAAATAATTTCATTATTATTATTAATGTGAAGAGAAATGCATTCAAATCGCAATCGATACAACTACAACTTACTTGACTCCCTCCCCTCGTTGTTCTCCGATCATAACATTCACAATAAATTTATACCTCTCATATTTAAGTTCCATACATTTGTCTCGGATTTCATTGCAAATATCTTTGATCCATTGTTGAACTTGCTCCATTTGATAATCTTTTCCTTTTAATCGATTGGTAACAACTTCCTTAATAATTTCCTTCACCTCCGATGATTTAAATCTGAAATGATTATTTCATATTTAAATACAATCCGTGAAGGAGGTTTAACAATTATTTCATCATGATCGCATTCCGCGAAATTATTTCTTTTGGTATCAAAATTTATATCTTCTTGCTGGTACCTACTTGTGCCTGAAATTTGGTCTGAGTTGAAACAGTGCCAATTCCGAGAGTGTTGTATTTGATGGGTCCACGTCGCTCATGATGATGATGAAATGAACAGAAGGATCAATTTTTTTTTAAAAATTGTACTCGAAGGGCGGGATGGAAATGCACTGATATCAAAACCAGAAGGAATTTCACTTGTTCTTCTTTCTTCTGAATAAGAACCCTTTCAAACGTTTCAAATTTGACTTTCACTAGTTGCTGAGAGGTCTTTTCAGATCTCTCGATCACTATGACAAGCACTTCTTCATCAACAGAGATTGATCAAAGGATGAATTAAGGGTTGGGAACACAGAAGGAATCTTAGAGATGTGAAAATGAAATTAATTCATCAAAACTTTGGTTTTCTTCTGGTTTAAAAGAGGATAGCAGAAACAACAAGAACCTCTTCACCTCTCTGAAACGCTCATCCTCATTTCCAGTAAACTGATTGACGAATTTGCACCCCCAATTCGAAAATGCATTTTAGGTGCAATGACAGTTTACAATAAACCATAAAACTTTTTTGTTTTTTCGTTTGAAAAAAAATACTCACACACAATCATGGATATTAACGAATTCAAGGTACGTTCGTGTTGATGTGAGAGGGCTCTGTTTATGCTAGCCTGAGGCTTAACAACATGACCATTCCGTGCAATACATGTATTTTTTGAATATACATTTGTTTGAATTTATGATGATGGAAATTATTGAACCAATTCTCTTATGATCCCTGGTCTTTGTCCCACAACAACCACAGAGAAAGTACTCCAACGAAAGCGACACCAAGGCTGTCTGCGACTGGATGTTTGAAAAGATCTCTGCTGCTCCAGAAGCTTGGTCTTTCTGGCAAGCTGACTACAAGTACAACGATGAATGTATGTATGAATCTTTTCATGATGTGTAACATGTTGTATTAATCTTGAATTCATTATCATCACTGTAAACCTCTTGACGCCCATGACCAATCTTCGTTCATACGAATAATGACTCATTTGTTGTTGTTATTATTATTCATATTCCACGATGATGAATTTTCTAATTTTGTAATCCAATCATTTTGATATTATTCAATATTTTTCATGATGATTATTGACTTTAATTTTCTGTAAAATTCATTCAACATTGAATGTTTTCATCTCACCACCGAAAACATTCTTATCGAACGGTACTTGTGATTTGAATTTCATTCCACAGTGAGTGGTCCAGCATGGATGCAAGCCAACTTGGTTGAAGGTTACTTCCGTAACTTGGAAGCTTTGCACAAGAATTGCTTTGCTTCTGCTTTGGTTCTTGCCAAGGACTCTGCTCAAAGAATCTCCATGATTTGGTTGGTCCCAACTCAAAACTACCCAGCTGAATTCAACAGCCCAGAGATTGCTGGATCCAAGATTTGTGAAGGTTTTGATTTGGTCAAATTGGACCCAACCAATGAGACTGACAAGCAAAAGATCATCGATTACTTTGTGTGGAATGAAACTCCAGGTACTTTTGATGGTTACTCTTATGCTTCTGGTAAGATTTTCAAATAAACCACATGAAATATGATTTTCATTGAGAAGAATGTATGATTTTCATTGAAATCAATTCATCACGTCCTCCGACACAGCCAGTAAATCGCAGTAGATAATTATAACTGTCCCTCGTACTCTTAAGTACCTATTGAAAGAAGCGAATGAGGGTTCTCTATCGATATATTCCCATTCAGAAATTCAATCCTACGAGTTGAACATAATTAATTTGAATGGCGAGAGTTAAGAGCTCAAGATCGGCACATTGTGTTCTCTCTGAATCTTTTGATCGATATCCTATCGAACGCCTCTTTCCATCTTCTTTCCGGAAAGAGGAACAAGATTTTTTAGAGAAAATTTCCAAATCAAGACGACGAGAGTTGTATCAATGCTGATCATCACGATGATTTCTCTAATGATGCTTGGCATGTTTCCGACCATCCCATCTCCAATCAAAGAACTCTGCCTTCTCCAAACACACCACATCATGGGTCATAATTTTCGAGAATTTTCTCTGTCCTTTACACTTCTTCAAGGATTTGAGAGGAGAATTGAAATGGCACATACTACAGTGGACGACCGCACATTTTCCTCGTTGTTTGGTTTTGTTGGTGGGTTTACCATTGAGTTTTCCTTCTCTCTTCATTGTTGACGTCTGATATTTTCTATTTTATCGAGAAAATACAAGCTGTCCTAAATTTACAATTTTAAAGAGAAAAAGAAACAGAATCATACTAAAAATAGATCGCCCATGAATTCGTGATGAATTATCCACAAGGTTGCTTCACTTATTACATGCCTTTCAGAATTTCCAAAATGTTCTCTCGCTTGTTCAAGTCGAAGAAAACGAAAATTGTTACTGGGAGAATGACACATTGGAGAGAAATAATGACCAATCTTTAGCGTTGATTTATGTTCGAGAGAGTAATGAAAAGAAGCAATTAAAGAATAGCTACGGCCATATCACGATGAAAGCACCACATCCCATCCGATAAGAGAAGATAAGCGCACCTCATCCCGCTTTGAATACCCCTTCTCTTCTTCTAAATGAAATGAGCAACGTTAAATCTCCTGCCTCCAATGTGCATTGAATTTTCAAATACTTGATGAACAACAAGTGGATGAACCGACAGGATTGAGAAGGTTGATGATGGGACTTCGAATTTTTACCAGATATTGCATGTCTGAAATTACTGAGCTCGCCATGAATGCAACCATTGACTATCATTCACAAATTATTGGATACTTTTCTTTAGATCTTCAATTAGAAATATGACAATGAGTTGAACCAAAGTGTTTGCAGGAAATTCATGTCCTGGAATGGAATTGCATTTTTGGTGAAAATGAAGGGCTTGTATGTTGTTCATGCAGAAGCACATGAAACAAGAAGTGACAATATGAAAGGACAAAATGATTTTCATCCACTTGCATTCGATACACATTTTCATATTTTGAAGTATGTGGGAGAATACAAAGAATTGTTGAGAATGAGAAGAGTTTGTCACTATTGGAATTGCATGATTGTTAGAAATGACGATATTTGGAAATATTAAACCTATTTCACTCTCCTTTCTAATGATCTCTTCAAAACATTCACCACTAGAACACAAATTCATGAAATGAAAAAACCTCAAAATCTCTCATGGATGGAATACTTTTTCACATCCGTTCAACCACTTTTGGAGCTTGCAGAACCAGATTTGAACCTTCTTTCGTTGAAAACTTGTTACAAAAATCCATCATGTGTTCAATAACCTCTTTTCCGCAATGGCCTTCCTCTTTTGATAACCAGTCATTCTTGTCAAGAATTGGAGGTCTTCCATCCGTTCCAAAAGATTGCAATCTAAAAGATATTTTACGGCCAAATTATCAATTTATTGAATTGTCAACAATTAAGCTCCAAATGGATTCCTGGATTTGAATTTCTGTCATCGAGAGGAATGCTCTATTTCTTCGCTCGCATCCAATATATGAATGACACTGATGAACGGACTATTAAGGAAAGTGTTGCAGATGTGAAATTTGTAAATTTCGAGAAAGATTCATTGTTATAGCTTGCAAGCTATTTGAATGACTCTCACAAATTCACCCTCTACTCAAAACCTATTTCTTTGGAAAGTGGTATTACCTTTGATACACGTGTCTTTTCTCAATTTGACAAACCATCCCTAGTGAACACATTAGAACAAGGAAGTTCTCTCTCCTCGGCCATCACTCAAATGTGTCGCAGTGAAGAACCTTTTTATTTGGAAAATTAGCAGCAAGTTTCAAGTCCAATGTCGAAGAAATAATTGTGAGAGATTCTGATATTTGTGTTATTAGAAACAAAGATGTATTTATCTGGAACTTCGCACATATTGTGCTTTATTTTTGTGATTGAAATTCAACACTTATTGGAATGGAATTTTGAAAAAGTGAGATTAATTATTCTCGAATAGAAATAATTTGATGATGATTCAAAGATGATTTTCAACAAATTTATCATGTGGTTTCATACCATTATGAGGTTCAAATTGATTTTAGAAATTGCATATCCATTTTGTGAATTGGAAGTCAACTTTGTGAAAAGATAGACATGTTCGGCAATGACAGTTGGCACAACAACCTCATGATCAACGATCGATTCGAACTGCTGCAAAAAAAGTGATCTTGATTCAACACACATTGGTTGGTAAATTTTCTAGAGTTACACTTTTACTTTCTTGAAGAATTAAATGTTTATTTCATTTATTTCACACTCTTTAGAGAATTATAAAGAGAGGTTTCAATTAATCGACAACATCTATCTTGCAGTATAATAACTTGAACTTGCATGACTTCCAGTTGCAACATGAGTCCCTTTTTGTGATCGGCGTCGTTTCACAACCACAACCACCACCACTGCCATCACAACCACCACCAACATTATTGCCAACAATCCAATGACAATTCCAATTATCGCTTCCTCTGATAATAGGGGTGGAAAATCAGTGGTATAGAAACATGAAGGGTCCGAGGGGTCCACTCTCTCCAACATGTCTTTCGGATAGGTCAATAAGAGTGCAAAAGGTTGTTGGTTTGATTTCAAGATTTTGGTCACATAGACCGCCACACTCACATAGACCGAATGATCACTGCTGGAAGATGGATGAGGTAATTCTTCTACTACCACTCTCTCCACATTGTTCGTTGTGTCCACTCGGTCACCATAATTGCCAGCAATCACTGAGAGTTTTGAAACATCGGAGGATGAAGAACTGCTTCTCACATAGGTATTGATGAATAAATCCAAATCACTCAAAAGTTGAGGCACCACTGAAACACTTCCTGGATAATCATACCAAGCAAGAGTGGCCTTAAAGAAGGGTGACGTTTGAATGGCCTTATTTCCATCTTTTCTCTTGAAACATAACTTGAGAGATTCTGAAACGTTTTTAAAGGATTGTTCTTGGACAAGAATATTCAAGGGAGTTCCATCTTGATTTTGTAACAAACTTCCCAAATAAACTCTTCCAAAACCTTCATACGAGTTTGGAGTACCCAACTCTGAGAGTTTGAATCGTCGTGTT